AAAGATTCATTACATAAACAAGGTGCTATTTACTTGGGTGGTTCCCTTTTTTGGGCTTTGTTGATATTTTCCTTGTATCGATCATGCTCTCTGACGTAATTGTTTGCAGATGTACAAGGATTGAAAAAAAAATGCTTGATAAAATAGAATGTCAGTAAAAGAATAGTTATATAAGAGCTGGGTTTCTCTTAACTACATGTATGTTTCTGTCTTATGCCTATGTACAATGCACAAAACCTTACCTTTAAGGACTCTGAAACGATAAAGATTTAAAAACACAATAAAAAGCACAAACGTAAATATGTAAGTCCTCTTCATTATGGAACGGTGTCTTTAAGGAGTGCGTATTCACTAACAAGACACTTGAATAAGTATTTTTTTCATACTTTAGGCGCATCTTCTTACATAAACACCGAAGGGCTTTCTGAGTGGGCCAATTTGAGGACAATTAATCGCATTTTGTTCGAGGATTGTCAAAAAAGAGGCTGAATGTGACCACTACGGACGAACATTAAATCCTGGGTTCTGAAACTATAGAATATCATAAAACGTCACTGTACAAGAGGTTCTAAACCTTCCTTCCTAGTTAAATCCCCCTTGAGGAGCCTCTTCCGTCAGATCTACTATGGAAAGAATACTTATATAACTGATAAATATAAAGAGACTCGAGACTGCCCTCTCCAAGGGCCCCTTAAAGAGACAGAATAATGTGAAAAAAATTGTCAAACCACTTCCTCCGATGCTGGGTCGAAGTTCACAACTTTGGTTGAGGAGGGACAGATATGGGTCAGATTTCTGTAAATGTTTCAAGGTTTCAAACGCCTCCAAGACATAGGGACCATTTAATAACGAGGGTCTTTAATATAAGTCCCGAAAGAAAGTAAATTCGGTTTTCTTTTTCAAAAATAATCTCAATTTAAACAGTTATTGGAAATCTTACTTATGAATTATAAATACGAGTGATTTTGAATTATCTAATAAATTGGCATTTTAACAAGTTTCCAAGTACCTGAAATGGAAAAACAACTCCCACCCACCCCAGATAAGACAAAAGTTAATCATAAGAATACTAAAAGTTGCTCTGATGGTTCTCAAACTACGACATCATCAGAGGAATTTGAAAATTCTCTTTTATTGTCAGAAATATCAAAAACGTCACTAATTTATCTATATGGGGAAAAAAATGAACAAGAGGCCCATGGGCCACATCGCTCACCTGAGCACTGTGGCTAGGAAAAAGTACAAATTGGTTTTATTATTGAAAAGTTTAAATCCAAACACCATTTATGGTTTTGCTATTCTTGAGAAGACGATTTTTAAAGAGTTTTCCTATATATTTCTATGTAAAACTTTGGTCGGTGATTGTGGCCCCGCCCTACCCCCGGGGGTCATGATTTGAACAAACTTGAATCTACACTACCTGAGGAGGCTTCCATATAAATATGATCAATCATGGCTTTGTTATTCTTGAGAAGAAGATTTTTTAAAGAATTTTCCTATATATTTCTATGTAAAACTTTGGTCGGCCATTGTGGCCCCGCCCTACCCCTGGGGGTCATGATTTGAACAAATTTGAATCTACACTACCTGAGGATGCTTCCATACAAATATGATCAATCATGGCTTTGTTATTCTTGAGAAGAAGATTTTTAAAGTTTTCCTATATATTTCTATGAATTTTCTGATATATTTCTATATAAAACTTTATAAATATGATCAGTCATGGCTTTGTTATTCTTGAGAAGAAGATTTTTAAAGAATTTTCCTATATATTTCTATGTAAAACTTTGTTCACCCATTTTGGCCACGCCCTACCCCAAGGGGTCATGATTTGGACAATATTGAATCTACACTACCTGAGGATGCTTCCATACAAAAATGATCAATTATTGCTTTGTTATTCTTGGGAAGAAGATTTTTAAAGAATTTTCTTATATATTTCTATGTAAAACTTTGGTCGGCCATTGTGGCCCCGCCCTACCCCCAGGGGTCATGATTTGAACAAATTTGAATCTACACTACCTGAGGATGCTTCCATACAAATATGATCAAATATGGCTTTGTTATTCTTGAGAAGAAGATTTTTAAAGAATTTTCCTATATATTTCTATGTAAAACTTTGGTCGGCCATTGTGGCCCCGCCCTACCCCTGGGGGTCATGATTTAAACAAAATTGAATCTACGCTACCTGTGGATGCTTCCATTTAAATATTATCAATCATGGCTTTGTTATTCTTGAGAAGAAGATTTTTTAAAGAATTTTCTGATATATTTCTATGTAAAACTTTGGTCGGCCATTGTGGCCCCGCCCTACCCCTGGGGGTCATGATTTGAACAAACTTGAATCTACACTACCTGAGGATGCTTCCATACAAATATGATCAATCATGGCTTTGTTATTCTTGAGAAGAAGATTTTTTAAAGAATTTTCTGATATATTTCTATGTAAAACTTTGGTCGGCCATTGTGGCCCCCCCCCCTACCCCTGGGGGTCATGATTTTAACAAACTTGAATCTACACTACCTGAGGATGCTTCCATACAAATATGATCAATCATGGCTTTGTTATTCTTGAGAAGAAGATTTTTAAAATAATTTTCCTATATATTTCTATGTAAAACTTTGGTCGGCCATTGTGGCCCCGCCCTACCCCCAGGGGTCATGATTTGAACAAATTTGAATCTACACTACCTGAGGATGCTTTCCCTTAAGTTTCATCTTCCCTGGCACAGTGGTTCTTGAGAAGAAGATTTTTAAAACATACCACCAAATTTTCATTAATTCCCAATTATCTTCCCTTGAATGAGGGCATGGCCCTTCATTTTAACAAACTTGAATCCCCTTCACCCAAGAATGCTTTGTGGCAAGTTTGGGTGAAATTTGCCCAGTGGTTCTTGAGAAGAAGTCGAAAATGTGAAAAGTTTACAGACAGACGGACGCCGGACAAAATGTGATCAGAAAAGCTCACTTTAGCCTTCGGCTCAGGTGAGCTAAAAAAGAGAAGGAAAATAGTATACACATTTCATTTCTTTTAATGCGCGGTCTCCCGAAAAAGCTATTTCTTTCGAGAGGAAACGTTTGCTTGCTTGATTGATTGTATTGTTTTACGTTCCACACGAGATTTTTTCACTCAGGTAAAGACGTTGCCATATATCGGTGTCATTGGGCTTCAAATTTCATCAACTGTACCAATGCTCGGCACTCAGGGCCACTGAGCAGATTTTTTTTTATCGTGCCATTGCCTGTCTAACAAGGGACTTTAATCTAAGGTCTCATCCAAAAGACTAGTAATTTTGACTTTCATTATCACTATCTGTGATTATATTTTAGGTTTGAAGCGGCATGGGGTAGCGAAATCGAACCTAGTCCTCCCAAGTACGAAGCGAACGTGCTCCTACTACATGTAGAGTACCTTTCTAGACATCAACAATATCGTTTTCCGGGATTCATATTTGCATAGTCATTGACAGTACGTTTTTGTTATATTTAAGTTGTCTATGTCTGAAATTAACTCACTATCTAAGGTCCTTGAGAGAACTGTGACGCTTCGAGTAAAGTGAATACTAAATTTTTGACACTACATTTTACATTCTGTATTACTGTTTACCCTTACAACCTTAATTGACAACACATTTTAGATCTGCGGCTTATGTATAATCTGGTGGGTGTGCAATCAGACACCTTCAATTCTATCCAAGGGTTCAGAGAAAAATGATGATTTAAACTAATTGCATAAATCTAATTTTCGTCCTTTATCTCTTGGTTTTCACTTTGGGGAGGTGGGAATTAAGAATAAAATCAAATCACAAGGAATACTTTGTCGTCCAAATGTGATAAAATGTAAAGGCCAAACAAAAACATCGAATGAAAAAATAATAATCAATAAAATTATATATACAAATAAAATAAAGTAAATTGGAAACAAAAAATGAATACTTTTAAAAGGCCGAAAAGTATTTACATTATCAGGTGTTTGTGGGAAGTATCAAGGACAGAATTTCCATGGTTTGCTAAGATGCTGAATTTCCCATGGTTTGCTAAGATGTTGAATTCCAATGGTTTGCTAAGATGCTGAATTTCCATGGTTGCATGACTAAGATATTGAATATCCATGGTTTGCTAATTAATAGATGACTGATTGATTGTATATTCCCATCCAGTATTTCACTGATATGGAGATTCACCATTGCCGGTGAAGGGCTGCAAATTTAATTACATGTCGGCACTTACGGCCTTATAATACAGGTAGACGATTCTCGTGCCATATATTCACTTACAGGATCATAAGGGGACCACCCCATCACCGTTTTTAATTAAAATGTTGAATTTTTGATTTGATTTGAACATATTTTGTTATGTATCAATTACATAAATGGATTGCATGGATAAGATGATTAAGCTTCTAATTACATGGGTGTGTCTCGCAATTATAATAAAAACAAAATAATTCACTTACTTTTAGATGGAAATCAACCGTTTTTAATTAAAATTTTGAACTTTTTGATTTGATTTGAACATATTGAATTATTATGTAACAATTACATAAATGGATTGGGCAGCAGGCATAGTCTATATAAGCCCTCTCCATAAATTTAATGTTCTTTCTTAAACTTAAATTTTGAATTTTTTGAACTAATTCTACTTTTGTATTACACCAGATGATGGTGTATTTGGTACCCTGTCCCAGGATCATAAACATCATAGCCTTATTTGCAAGGCATAATCTGTATATTGAGCTGAAATGAAACGATCTTTTAAGTTTTTATCAGGTGCTTATTAACTAAATAAAATAGAATTCAAGATTCTGAATTTACAGGAGTCTGATAGCGCAATCAAATTGACTTCAACATTTATTTCTAACAGATTTTTAAGGTACACGGACACGGCCTCAATTCATTTAATTCGGTTGGCCCATACAGAATCCATTTTGGTGTTGACAGGATCCGCGCCTGAAATGTACATCGTCATATATAATATAAATAGGAAATGCTTGAAATTTTTACGGAAACAGCCGCTAAATAACTGATTACGTTTCTCATTTTGTTATCCGACCGAAATCCCATCAAACAAAGTTATTTATTCTTTACTACATGCCTCATAAAAAGTCTATTCAACTGAAATCTCGATAGAACTGACCATCGAAGTGTTGAGTTTATCAGAATGGCCTTTATTGATGGGGAAGAAATCGCTATTGCTCTAATTGGAGGGATAGTAGTGTTCACAACTTTAGTTATAATCCTGATTTGTTTCCTTTGCTACCGACAGAGAAACAGGTATGTGTCTATTCTTTTTCTTCGATCTGAAGAAAAGCCTTTTTAGGTAAAGAAAATCTTAAATGTATGAATGAGAGAAAAGAGAACATATATGTAATATTCTTAAAGTATTTTCATTTAAATAATAAATATTGGGTAAAAAGGAAAGAAAATATTGTTATAATTTATGAGCTAAAGTCCAGATTGTCAGACTCGAAAATGATAAACCAAGACTTTTAAGGTTTTTCTGTTTATTGGCAATAGGCAGGTTTTCGATCGAATTCAGCCATCGACATATTGTTTCCTCCCTATATTAAATCATACTCAAGTGTTTTAAGCTGTGGAAATATTTCTATAAAAGGAAGAAAATAACAAACCATAGGTCTACATGTAACATTGTTTACTGTGAAATATGCTAATAAAAATATCTCGCTGAAAAAAGAACATTTGGGTGGATCCAGGATATAAAGTCTGGAGGGGTGGGGTGATGGGGGACTTTAACGAGAATAAATGGCAAACTCCCAGTACTTAAATTCATATAAGATTAAGAACCAAATTCTTTAAAGAATTTCTTAAACTTAGAAAAGGGGGCATGTTTTAGAAGGTTTGGAAGCTTTGGCTTGCAAAGTACAAGTTTTAGAGCTGTTTTCTTATTTTTATGTCTCTGTGAGATGCATGAACTGAAATCTGTAGTAAGTACTTATTTTCTGCTTTATTTAGAAATATAATAAATAACAGCGAGGTAGCCCAGACTAAGACTAACTACACCGACCCTAGTGACGCTATCACCACCAAACGGAGTTCTACCTATGCCACGCCTTACGATCAGTGGAAATCTCAAAACGGGTTCCTAGCCGTCCGCCATATTTCACAGAAGAAAAGCCCCGGATATTATAATGTAGATGTACAAGATGGACTTTGTGAGCGAGTACGTCCGCCAAAAAAAGCCAAAAAGGGCTCACATCGAGAATATTTTAACGTTCAGGTAAAGGCGACTAAGAAGAATCAGAAAGATTCACAAAAGGAATATTGGGACGTTCATGTTAAGAACGATTCGATAGAACCGGAAACACCCGGAAATGGGCCAGGAAATGCACAGAATGACGGACTTCCGGTTCGACAGGAAAGCCGGCGTAAAGACCTACCAACACCTTACTCCTGTATAGAACTCGATTGAAAAGACCTAATTTTAAGAGAAATATATTGATAAGTATTTATTGAGTGAAGAAAAACGAGAGTAATCGTGAATCCCTCATTTTCATATGTGACAGTGACTTACTTTGAGTTTTGTTTTTGTTTTTTATATAAAATCCGACTTTCGTATGTAACTGTGAAACCATACATATCACGTTATCATTAATGCTGAATTCCGTATCTTTACTTTTCAGAAAAATATTTCCTTGATTGGGATTTATCTCTTTCCTTGCATAATAAAAATTGCAACTTCACATGTGTGATGACTAGAAATGTTGGTATGCTCAACTGTATAGTAACAAGAAATTCTGTTATCACCTGTATGGTAACATGACATGCTGTAATCTTCACCTGTATGGTAACATGACATGCTGTAAATACACTTGTATTGTATTACATTGTATGTTGATGTGTGGTGATATAAAAAGAAAAGCTGTTCTGTCTGTGTGGTGATATAATAAGCTGGTATGTGTGTGTGGTGATATAATAAGCTGGTCTGTTTCACATGTGTGATGACTAGATATGTTGGTATGCTCAACTGTATAGTAACAAGAAATTCTGTTATCACCTGTATGGTAACATGACATGCTGTAATCTTCACCTGTATGGTAACATCACAGGCTGTAAATACACCTGTGTTGTATTACATTGTATGACATGCTGGACTATTCACTTGTGAAGAATAATGAACTGCTGGTATTTTCACCTCTGAAATGATTTGATATTCTGAGATGTTAAGCTTTTTTATAAGCTGGTATAGCCTGCCAGGTGATAAAAGTATAATAAGCTAGTAGGTCTGTGTGATGATATAATAAGCTGGTTTTTCTGTGTGATGATTTAATAAGCTGGTCTGTCTGTGTAGTGATATAATAAGCTGGTATGTTTGTGTGGTAATATAATAAGCTGGTCTGTGTAGTGATATACTAAGCTGGTATGTTTGTGTGGTAATATAATAAGCTGGTTTGTCTGTGTGGTGATATAATAAGCTGGTATGTCTGTGTGGTGATATAAGCTGGTATGTCTGTGTGGTGATATAAGCTTGTATGTCTGTGTGGTGATATAATAAGCTTGTATGTCTGTGTGGTGATATAATAAGCTGGTATGTTTGTGTGGTGATATAATAAGCTGGTATGTTTGTGTGGTAATATAATAAGCTGGCATGTCTGTGTGGTAATATAATAAGCTGGTCTGTCTGTGTGGTAATATAATAAGCTAGTATGTGTGTTTGGTGATATAATAAGCTGGTATGTCTGTGTGGGGATATAATAAGCTGGTCTGTCTGTGTAGTAATATAATAAGCTGGTATGCCTGTGTAGTAATATAATAAGCTGGTATGTCTGTGTGGTGATATAATAAGCTGGTATGTCTGTATGGTGATATAAGCTTGTATGTCTGTGTGGTGATATAATAAGCTGGTCTGTTTGTGTGGTGATATAATAATCTGGTATGTTTGTGTGGTAATATAATAAGCTAGTATGTCTGTGTGGTGATATAATAAGCTGGTCTGTCTGTGTGGTAATATAATTAGCTGGTCTGTCTGTGTGGTAATATAATAAGCTGGTCTGTCTGTGTGGTGATATAATAAGCTGGTATGGGTGTGTGGTGATATAATAAACTGGTATGTCTGTGTTCGTATGTGTGGTGTGGTGATATAATAAGCTGGTATGTCTGTGTGGTGATATAAGCTATATAATAAGCTGGTATGTCTGTGTGTGGTGATATATAATATGTTTGTGTGGTAATATAAGCTAGTAAGTCTGTGTGGTAATATAATAAGCTGGTATGTCTGTGTGGTGATTTAATAAGCTGGTATGTCTGTGTGGTGACATAATTAGCTGGTATGTGTGTGTGGTGATATAATAAGCTGGTCTGTTTCACATGTGTGATGACTAGATATGTTGGTATGCTCAATTGTATAGTAACAAGACATTCTGTTATCACCTGTATGGTAACATTACATGCTGTAATCTTCACCTGTATGGTAACATGACATGCTGTAAATACACCTGTGTTGTATTACATTGTATGTTGCTGTGTGGTGTTATAAAAAGAAAAGCTGTTCTGTCTGTGTGGTGATATAATAAGCTGGTCTGTTTGTGTGGTGATATAATAAGCTGGTCCGTTTGTGTGGTGATATAATAAGCTGGTATGTTTGTGTGGTGATATAATAATCTGGTCTGTCTGTGTGGTTATATAATAAGCTGGTATGTGTGAGTGGTAATATAATAAGCTGGTCTGTCTGGGTAGTGATATAATAAGCTGGTCTGTCTGTGTGGTGATATAATAAGCAGGTCTGTCTGTGTGGTGATATAATAAGCAGGTATGTTTGTGTGGTAATATAATAAGCTGGTCTGTCTGTGTGGTGATATAATAAGCTGGTCTGTTTGTGTGGTGATATAATAAGCTGGTATGTTTGTGTGGTAATATAATAAGCTGGTCTGTGTAGTGATATACTAAGCTGGTATGTTTGTGTGGTAATATAATAAGCTGGTCTGTCTGTGTAGTGATATAATAAGCTGGTATGTTTGTGTGGTAATATAATAAGCTGGTCTGTCTGTGTAGTGATATAATAAGCTGGTATGTTTGTGTGGTAATATAATAAGCTGGTATGTCTGTGTGGTGATATAATAAGCTGGTATGTGTGTGTGGATATATACTCTAGTTGGTATGTTTGTGTGGTGATATAATAAGCTGGTATGGCTGTGTGGTGATATAATAAGCTGGTATGGCTGTGTGGTGATATAATAAACTGGTACGTGTGTGTAGTGATATAATAAGCTGGTCTGTCTGTGTGGTGATATGATTAGCTTGTATGTCTGTGTGGTAATATATTATGTTCACATGTGGTGACTTGACATACATGTATATGTCAACCTGTGGGCTCTTATGACAGTTCATCTGTGTGGACACATATGCTTTTTGTTTACCTGAGTAGTTTCCATTCTTTTTTAAAGCAACAGTTGTGATGATATCAAAAAGAGTTAACATTAAAAAACACGATTTTTCAGCTCCAATTTGCAGTTGTAACATAATTATGAGTATGATGTATCAATACTTAATATGAGAAACTATTCAGTATTATAAACTCAAATTTTTAAGACATTTCTTATACAGCTGATATTAAAAAATAAATCAAGTATAACCTTTTTGATTGTAAAATCCTTTGAAATATGTAGATCTTCAATAGGGCATATTGACCTCATACTAAGTGGTCAGTGGATATTTTTCCTCTTAGGCCTTGACCTCATCAAAAGTCTATATTTGTATAGCATAGCGAGAGTCAGTGTGAGATTTTTACAATATACTTCCTCTTGACATGAACAGGTTTACATATAAGTACTGGTACTTCTATTTTGCAGGAAAATGTAAAATGCTCCTCAAAAATCACTCCGTACAATGATGTTCAGCAACATTTTCACATACAGTGGTCACTGAATAACGCACTGGTTCCCACAAAAGCAAGAAGACAGCACATAAAAATCAGGCAAAAACATCAAATAACAAGAAATCACCTATTTTCAAGTTCATATTCAGTAGGTTTTATCATTCCAAAGTTACATTAAGTAATATTTACATTGGTACTCATATTTCAGTTATTTTTTTTTATGTGTATTATTTACATACATATATACCTTAATTTTGATTGTCTTTTATCCAAAGATAACTGCCAAATGCTACAGTAGAAAAAAGTTTTTAAAAAAATCACCTGGAAAAAAGAGCACCTCGCATAATTTGAGAGACGGGGAGTGCAACTGATATGTTTTTATTTCACTTTTCAAAATAGTTTAGACTTTCTCCAATAATCCCAGTATGTTATTTCACATGGTGAGTATTTTTGGTGTCAATAAAATGCCAGTAATAAATAAATTACCTCTCCAGGCTAACTAACATGAAGCTATTTGCTTTATATATTCACTGTTGTATACATGTGGTTGTCAACATTTTTCTACTTCTGTTTCTCTAAAATGGGGACATAATACAAACACTAAAATCCTCAATCTGTACATGTGCTACTTTGACTACCTGGTCAAAAAGTTAAAAAATAAAATAAACTCACTTTAAAAATCAGAGATTTATAACCCCGTTTCTAATCACATATCTAAGGGTTTGTGTGTTTGTGTATGTAATAATCACAACTAATTCACAATTAACACAGTCTCTCATAAGCCTGGGGAAGGCGGACTGTAATACATTGTACATAAAGGTTTACAACAAATACAAACTAATTAAAACAAAACAATCAGTCACATTGTAATCTTTGTTACATGTAGTTCTGGTCATGTTCAGACAAGACAAAGAGACATTTTCAATTTTAAAATTACCAAAAATTAGAAAGCATTTTATTCATGGCACATAACCATTGCACAAAAACCTTAAATCTACAAAGGTATTCTAGAGTACAGTATACAAGTATATGCTTCGGCTGTTTTACATCATAATAAACCCACAAAGAGTACATGGAATTTCAGAATTGAATTAATAAAAAAATATTCAAAAAAAATTAATAAATACATGATTAACCAACTATTAGTACACCTCATTTGATTAAAGGAATGATAAAATATTCAAAGAGGAAAAAAATACATCCATAAATCACAAACTTCAAAGTGCAATATAAATACTGTTAGATCTGTTAAAACAAATCAAGACATAAAACAAAGCATCAAAACAAAATTCATAGCAAATCAATAAAATAATAAGTTACTTATTCTTGCATCAATAACGACAGATTTTCAACAGTTACGTGTGAGTCGTTGTTCTGGGTATCTTGGTAAGGTGGACTAAAGCAGGGGGGTCTCTGATGTAGATGTGTAACTTCTGACGCGGGAGAAAATCAATGGAGGATAACCTTTCCCATCCAGCAGGCTAGATGTGTTCTCCTGACCAGTCATCCTGAAGAAGTCAAAAAACAATCAAATCATCAGGTTCAAACATGGTTTACTGATTCCAATGTATTTTTCATTCAGTTTACATGTAATTTTTTTTAAGTAAAATAATAAGTAGTCAAAATACATAAGAATGAAGTTTGAAAAAAAAAGATGCACAAGTTTTAGATTTTTCAGGAAACATTAAAAACAAGAGGCCCAGGGGCCACAGCACTCACCTGAGCACATCTGCTAGGAAAAAGCACATTTTTTTACTGAGGTGGTGGTGGGGGGGGGGGGGGGGCAAAGGGGTCATTTAAAAACAGAATCTACACTACCTGATTTCCATATAAATATCACTAATCATGGATTTGAAGTACTTGAAAAGAAGATTTTAAAAGGTTTATATATATTAAAACTGTTTCATGAAGAACAAACTGAATCTACACTACCTGAGGATGATTCCACATGAGTTTCATCTTTCCTGGCCCAGTGTTTATTGAGAAGAAGATTTTTAAAGATTTTTCATATATATTCCTATGTCAAACTTGGGTCGGCCATTTTGGCCCCACCCTAGCCCCGGGGGTCATGATTTGAACAAATTAGAATCTACAGTACCTGAGGATAATTCCACATGAGTTTCATCTTTCCTGGTGCAGTGGTTCTTGAGAAGAAGATTTTTAAAGATTTTTCCTATATATTCCTATGTAAAACTTGGGTATTTTGGCCCCACCCTAGCCCCGGAGGTCATGATTTGAACAAACTTGAATCTACACTACCTGAGGATGATTCCAAATGAGTTTTATCTTTCCTGGCCCAGTGTTTATTGAGAAGAAGATTTTCAAAGATTTTTCATATATATTCCTATGTCAAACTTGGGTCAACCATTTTGGCCCCACCCTAGCCCCGGGGGTCATGATTTGAACAAACTAGAATCTACAGTACCTGAGGATAATTCCACATGAGTTTAATCTTTCCTGGTCCAGTGGTTCTTGAGAAGAAGATTTTTAAAGATTTTTCCTATATATTCCTATGTAAAACTTGGGTCAGCCATTTTGGCCCCACCCTAATGATTTGAAAAAATCACACTACCTATCCAAATGAGTTTTATCTTTCCTGGTCCAGTGGTTCTTGAGAAGAAGATTTTTAAAGATTTTTCCAATATATTACTATGTAAAACTTGGGTCGGCCATTTTGGCTCAAATTTCTTGCTACACTACATGTGGATGATTCCACATGAGTTTCATCTTTCCTGGACCAGTGGTTCTGGAGAAGAAGATTTTTAAAGATTTTCCTATATATTCCTATGTAAAACTTTATTGTTCATCTAGCCTGATTTGAATAAACTTGAAATTGAGATGATTCCACATGAGTTTCATCTTTCCTGGCCCAGTGGTTCTTGGAAGAAGATTTTTTTATAATGCCATAATTTTTCTCTAATTCATAATTATCTCCCCTTGAAAATAATCTCCCCTTTACCCAAGGATACTTTGTAGCAAGTTTGTTCAGAAATTGGCCCAGTGGTACATGAAAATGTAAAAAGTTTACGATGACAACGACGACAACAACAACGACAGACAACGGACAAATTTTGATCAGAAAAGCTCACTTGAGCCTTCGGCTCAGGTGAGCTAAAAATAACTGAAGCATTTTTTTTTCCAAATCAATTAAACATTCAAATTTGGCCTCATCTCTAAATAGGTTTTGTTTTTATATTATGTTTCATGAAGAACATGATACTGTATACAGGGCTATTTTCGCCCTTTCACACTTTAAAACAATTTTGCCCCGTTTTATATTCGCCACGTCACAGCTTTGTTAAAGAAATTGTACTGTATTCTTCAAATTCACCCCCTTTTTAAATTCGCCTGGGTTAGGGCGAAAATAAAACAGGGGCAAAAATATCCTTGTATACAGTAATATGTTATTTAAAGATCGATTGTTCTAAATTTGAAAAAATCACTATATCCTTTGTAAAATTTTAAATCTTCAATGATCTCAAATTTTTGCAATGTTGTATGCTTAGTTTTTTTATTTCTTTGAATTTAATGTTCATCTACTTCTTCTAGGAAATTGTGATAAGCCCCTTCGGGATATGGGGAAAGTAATTACACAAATTGAAAATAATCTAAAGATGTTAAAACAACTCACAGATATCTGGTGGTGACAGAATATTCAATCCATTCAAGCTTGACAAAGCTTTTTCTGCCCACATTACACAGCTCCAATTCCTGTCAGTGAAAGAAAATTACTTCAGCAAAACTCCGTTAAAACGAAGTCACAGGGACCTATGAAATTACTTCGCTATATTTGTAATTCATTATAACCGAATAAGAAATTCATTAAATTTATATAGCTGGGGATTCGAGATGACTTCGCTATATCCGTAAATTCACAATATCCGTGTTTGTACTAAACAAGTTTTGCTGTAAGTGATCATAAGCCTTCATTCATTTTAAATTGCTTTTCAATAGAAAGAATTTTTTTTTATATCCCGGTAATTACATGAGATATCTGTTCATGAAACTTTAATCTCCCATATTCTTGATATTCATGAGTGATTATTTTCATGGTTTTTAATTGAATTCAACTTTGACTTCAGCATATATTAGCCATTATCAAACTGCCCACTAATTCTTCTTAAAGTATGTCACACCCCAGTATTTCAAAAGGTATCCCATACAATATTTCATGTTAAGGACAGTTTGCCAAAATACATTAAATCTGAAGAGACACTGAGAGCAAATATTTGTGCCCTGTGTTTCTGTTGTGTTAGTAAGATAGACTGACCACGTGGAATGTCATTTCCATGTCGTTCTGGTTTCGCTGACGCTGATTTTTCTTGTAATACGGAATAGACTGGTCCTTATTCCTCACTCTCTTCAACGCGGCAGACACCTGTAAATTAAAACTAAACTTGTCAAATTTGAATTCTCTATAAGACACTTCTGATTTTTTCTAAAATTATCAACATAATAAAGAAACAATATCTAAAATATATAAAATACAAAAATAAAATCTGATTCATTACAAATTTTAGTGAAAGTAAGATGTCACTGACAAGAATTCATACATTCTTGCCTATTTGATTCACTGTTAACTGAGCATGACTCCTTCACTTATTTCTGCATTACAATGTACTACTACTTTTCTTACCCTGTCCCCACTCAGTTTATACACGCCCTTTAACATCCCTGGGTCCTTGGAAGACTTCATCTTCAGTTTGGGAATCACGTTATGTGGATCATCGGGGCTGGTCAGTATCATTATTACACCTATAACCAGAAACATCTTTATAGGGAATAACGTTTACATCACAACATGATATTGAAAAGTGGCTTTGACAAATACTGAGACTTCTAAACAGTAATATTCAATTTTAATGGTATCCTTACATTTCATAATATACATCTAGATGTGTAAATATGATATTATCATTAAAGTTTTGTCTTGAGCTTTCAAAGACACACATACTGGTCCTATATATCAAAACATTAACAAGGAGACGGCACATACGCTTTTCCTTCCCAATCTCCTTGTAATTAATTTAGACTGACCATCTGGGAACAATCTGATGTATCAACTATATATGTTGTTAAACTCTTCTCTCCAGCTCTGACATAAGACAGCTTACTGATGTAAACCCCTACAAATGATATAATAAAAACTGGCATTAAGTTTAAGTCTCATTCAAATGATAAACATGGGTATATGAAAGAGTACATAGCCCATCTGAAATCAAGTTGTCATAAGTCTCATAACTGATGAAATTTAAGTAAAATCCATTTAGTTACATCTATGTCCATTTTGCAAACAAAAATACATGTTACTTGCAGCATCATATAAGCATACCTCTTTCCAACTTATCATCAATGAAGCAAGTTAGATTTAGTTATAAAAAATAGTCATTTGAGAATGGACTTGCTCATAAAAATTTAAAATAATTTATCATGAATATATTTGGGCAGCTCCGCAGCTCCTTGTAACATCGAAAAGTAAATCAAATGCAGGAATCTTCTTATTGCTCCAGTGAGAACTAGAACTGTCCAAACTACAAACAAAGGAATTTTTTTCCAAAATATGTTTCAAACAGGAAGAAAGTTTTTCTTCCAGTGACCTTGAACTTCCCCAAATAACCTTGGGTCAACTGACACACCCTTTAACTTTGTGTGAAATCAAATTTTTATCCATAAGTATGGACCAGACACTAATTCAAATTTTTCTTCCAGTGACCTTGAACTTCCCCAAATAACCTTGGGTCAAGGTCATGACACACCCTAGGTCATGAATCTTTGTGTGAAATGAGAACCTACCAAGTTTATCCATAAGAAAGATAATCATGAAATTTTTCTTCCAGTGACCTTGTCTTCCCCAAATGACCTTGAGTCAAGGTCATGACACACCCTTAATGGGCAATCTTTGTGTGAAATGAGAACATCCATTTATCCATAAGTTGGACCGGACACAAATCATGAAATTTTTCTTCCAGTGACCTTAAAATATATTGACACACCCTTGGGTCATTCTTTGTGTGAAATGACAACCTTCCAAATTTATCCATAAGAAAGATATGGACCAGACAGAAATTATGAAATTTTTCTTCCAGTGACCTTGAACTTCCCCAAATGACCTTGGGTCAAGGTCATGACACACCCTGTCATGGGCAATCTTTGTGTGAAATGAGAACAAAAATACATGTTACTTCCATTGACTTTGAACTTCCCCAAATGACCTTGAGTCGAGGTCACGACACACCCTTGGGTCATGGGCAATCTTTGTTTGAAATGAGAACATACCAAGTTCATCCATAAGAAAGATATGGACTGGACACGAATTATGAAATTTTTCTTCCAGTGACCTTGAACTTCCCCAAATGACCTTGAGTTGAGGTCATGACACACTCTTGGGTCATGGGCAATCTTTGTGTGAAATGAGAACATACCAAGTTCATCCATAAGAAAGATATGGACTGGACACGAATTATGAAATTTTTCTTCCAGTGACCTTGAACTTCTCCAAATGACCTTGGGTCAAGGTCATGACACACCCTTAGGTCATAGGCAATCTTTGTGTGGAGTAGTAGATTCTAAAGTCCCTCTGTATGAAAGATATGGACCGGACACGATTGCACAGACAGACGGACGGACGGACAGACGGACAAGGTGATTCCTATATACCCCTCCCCAAACTTCGTTTGCGGGGGGGGGTATAATAAAAAAGAACAACTTGAAGAAAAAACAATATAAACCATAAACCCAATAGAAATGACATCTCGACACTGACCATTAAACAAGAGATGTGGTCGCTGAATAAACATGTTCCTCCAGCCCCCGTACTTCTTACACTTTCCAGTACTGGCCCCGTAGGCTTTCAAACAGGCTGACCGCCAAATTCCCTCATCCCTAGCGGCAAGATAAAAACCCCGACACACCTGTAACATACATGTTCATTAGCAAACCTAGAGAAATATACATTCATGTATTAAAACAATAAACGATAAATCCCTGTAATACGATCTCTACCTCGGAGAAATTTTCCAGGGACTTCATGTCCAGGTCTACAGAGACGACCCAGCGTAGGATGTAGTTCAGGAGTTCTACTGGTAACACAGAAATGTGGGTCATCTGAAACACATAATCAGGTTTGCATGTAACATCAGCTTAACTGGTTTGAAACACTTTGCCCAAAGCTATTTCAATGGTTACGCTTGTGCACTTATTCTTTATTCATGTGACTTGCCCCCCTCTCCCCAAAAAAGGAGAGGGCTATATTATCGCAGCTAACTCTATATAAAGTGACATACAAACTATTAATGTCACCCATCCAAGCCTTACCCTATATTAATGTGACATGCTTTTTGTTTATTTGACTTTACCTCTGTGTATATTACACTGTACTCGCTCTCTGTTCATATGACTTACCCTCTGTTTACCTACTTGAATTATCCCCTGTTTATTTTTTAAACTTACCCCTGTTTATTTGACTTACTCCTTGTTTGTTTGACTTACCCTCTGTTTACTTGACTTACCCTCTGTGTTTGACTCACCCTTTGTTTATTTGACTTGCCCTGTGTTTATTTGATTTACCCTTTGTTTATTTGACTAATCCTCTTGGTTTTTTGACTTACCCTTTGTTTATTTGACTAATCCTCTTGGTTTTTTTTACTTACCCTTTGTTTTTTGGACTAATCCTCTTTGTTTTTTTACTTACCCTTTGTTTATTTGACTAACCCTCTTGGTTTTTTTACTTACCCTTTGTTTATTTGACTAACCCTCTTGGTTTTTTGACTTACCCTTTGTTTATTTGACTAATCCTCTTTGTTTTTTGACTTACCCTTTGTTTATTTGACTAACCCTCTTGGTTTTTTTTACTTACCCTTTGTTTATTTGACTAACCCTCTTGGTTTTTTGACTTACCCTTTGTTTATTTGACTAATCCTCTTGGTTTTTTTGAGTTACCCTTTGTTTATTTGACTAATCCTCTTGGTTTTTTTTTACTTACCCTTTGTTTATTTGACTAACCCTCTTGTTTTTTTTGACTTACCCTTTGTTTATTTGACTAATCCTCTTGGATTTTTGACTTACCCTTTGTTCATACTCTGGGTAACAGGACTTTCTATGGTTGACTTCCTCAGATAGCTGTAGATTCTGTAGGTACCCCACCAAGTTATCCTCAATGTCCTCATTCTCCACACTGAAACAGAGAATCACAATCTACACTAGTCTGTCTGTAGGATTATGTACTAAATTATCAGGAAACTTAACTATTTAACCTCGGAGTAAACAAAAACAAGAAAAGTATCATAAATGATATTTACATGTACATTATCAGTTTATATGAGTTTTAATATAGTGTTAACATTATACAATGTAACTATATAAAATCATTAAAAATTTGTTTAGATTGTTGTCAATTATTGATGAACTGACCTTCCAACTGAACTCTCGCTCTCTTGTCTCTCTGTAAAATAAACAAACAGCAATAAACACAGGCCAATATTCTCTATATCTTTATGCACACTCATTTGCAAAGAGATGATATATACAATGGGTTTTCAGATTTATCTGAGTCTGATTTTATTGTTCTCCGAGACTCGTAAGTCCTAGAAGACAACCTTTACCTCTGGGACTGTGGAATGATGTGAAGTCAATCTGAAACTCAATATCTGGGACAAGCTGGGTTGCTCTCTTGTAAAACTCAACAGCTGAAAAAATTCAAAATGGTACACTTAGTTCCTGGCATTGATTTCATGAATTTACTTTAAAGTCTTAAACAGATTATGGATCCAATGATTAATTAGTATGCAGCATAAGTTGAAAACATCCATAGCACAACTACATCTCAGAATATGTTCTACAATGTTTACATCTAAAGTCAAACTCATTAACATTGAAATTACATCACACTGTCCTGTTGTTCATATTTATAGCACACCTATATCACACTATGTTCGTTTCACCTACAAGCAGTACGGATGACACTCACCTTCATATAATCTTCCAGACTGTTCCAGCTGTGAGCCCTTCATAAACAAGACCTTGGCCTGAACACAAAATACAAAATCAAATCAAAAGGTCAATCTTCTTCAAAGTCATATTCTGTACATTCATTCTCATTTCTACCATTTTTTTGTCTCAATAATCTTTTAAGGCACATATTTATTAATTGTTATTTAGTAAGACAATAAAATGTTGACCATGCTGTAAGAACAACAAACCTGTTCTACTATAAAGTGGTCTCCCTGTTCATCATTGACATGATGTCTACCCCTCGGTGACCCCTTCTTTATCTCCTGTTGCCACTGACAACGGAAGTCACTCAGCTCTTTCTCTAGATTAAGGGGGTTGGAACCCTCCTGGGTATCACTGCTCAACAAGCTAGGTATGGTAGCTTCCTTTGATTCATCCTTCAAAGAAACATGTACTTTGTTTTAGCAGTAATAGCAGTGCAGGAAGATCTTTGAAGTAAGTCAAGTAACAATACATATGAATATGTAGGAAAATCAAATTGTAATATGGACACTTTATAGTTCCAATCATAATGAATCATTCCTGAGCTACCGTAAACTACTTCAATATCCTGATATAAAACAAGAGGCACATGGGCCACATTGCCCACCTGAGAAGCTTTGACCATTCTGTTCTTTACCAGATTTCCCCTTTGTAATACATAATGCATCCCCACCCTACCCCACAGATCATAATTAAGACATTTTGAAATCTACACTACCCCATGATCTTTCCATGCATGTGCACATAAGTTTCAGCTTTTTCTGGCCCAGTGGTTCTTGAGAAGAAGATTTTCAAAGATTTTTCCTATATATTTTTATGTAAAACTTTGATTCCCCATTGTGGCCCGCCCTTCCTCCAGGGGTCATGATTTGTATTTTCATTTTTCATATATTTTTATGTAAAACTTTGATTCTACACTACCCTGGGGGTCATGATTTTTATAATTTAGATGCTTCCACATAAGTTTCAGCCAGTGGTTCTTGAGAAGATTTTAAAAGATTTTTCCTATATATTTCTATGTAAATCTTTGATTCCCCATTGTGGCCCCGCCCTTCCCCTGGGGGTCATGATTTGAACAATTTAGAATCTACACTACCCTAGAATGCTTCCACATAAGTTTCAGCTTTTCTGGTCCAGTGGTTATTGAGAAGAAGATTTTTTTAATGACCCCACTCTATTTTTCTCTTTTCTTGATTATCTCCCCTTGTGAGGGGACTTGGCCCTTTATTTTAATAATTTAAATTCCCCTTCACCCAAGGATGCTTTGTACCAAGTTTGGTCAAAATTGACCCAGTGGTTCTTGAGAAGGAGTCAAAAATGTGAAAAGTTTACAGACGGACAGCTAGACGGACGGACGGACGACAGACAAAATGTGATCAGAAATGCTCACTTGAGCCTTCGGCTCAGGTGAGCTAAAAAGGGAAAATGTTTTAAGCACAGCTAGTCTGTACAAACAGTTGTAACTTCAAATTTTCACTAGACTGCAAATTTATGCATTTGATAAGTCTGCACTTAATTTGCAACTTTTTAAAAGAATTTTTATGCGATATAAAAATTCAGATATGGAATAAGAATTCCATACTTCTTCAAATCTAGCTATACAAAAATACCCGGTAGTCCCTAAAAATTTCAAATAATAAATATTGAATGGTATATTTTCAAGATTATCATAATCACTAATTAACAATACAAAAAAACCCCGTGATATTACCACTACAATACAGTGGAGCCTCATTTATCCAGATGCTTTGGTTCCAAGTCAATTTGTCCGGATATGTGAAGCGTCCGGATATCTGAATTACCAGATAAACAAGACAAAATAACATTAAAAAAATTCTGTTCCGATGAAAAGTCGTCCGGATACTGAAGCATCCAGATATCTGACGTCCGGATATCTGAAGGTCCACTGTACATTTAAAAGTTAACATTACTGCTACATTGCCTCTTTCACTAGTCAGCAGCTTATGCATGTTCAGGTTAATTAAAAGTTTAAAATAAAGTAATTGAAAATGTGAACATGGTGAATGTAAGACTTTGAGCTGGATGTTTTTTATTTCATTTTTTTTTTATTTAAAAAAAAATCTATTTTATGTAATAAATCATTTCAGAAACACAGAGTCTTTACATAACTGGCAGAGCTTTGAAGGCCATTTGCTTGATGGAAAACTGGCTGGAATTCTCTTTATGTAATGATTCATAATGAACAGAACTTAAATTCAGTGGCACTGCTGGCTGATTTGATAAGTATGATAGTGAATATACATGTGATAGACATGTCTCCCAATAGCTGCACATTCTAAGAAAAACTTCTTTAATCATGATCATGTTTTCACCACAAATTCATAACAGACTTTCTTATTGGTTTTAGAGCTCTACACAGCTTGTGTACAATATGCCAACTTAAAATAAAATTTACTTATTTTCTTTATCTGTTTATTTCAAGCGATTTGGAAAGAATTCCTTGTAAACAGGATGAAAACTTTATCATCATGATCATTGAGTAATGAATTTGATAAACAAGATGTAAACAATCTGTACACACTAATCTACGCATCTCTGTTTCACACACAATAAGTCTCAAATCAGTTCAATATTTAAACCATTTTCAACACCAGGTAAATGTACTGACTACTTGAAAAAAAAGCACAAGTATTTCAAGAATTGTTGTGAATGGCATCATGCATGTTGCGGTGAAATTACGCAATTTCTCGGGTGGTTTTCAATATTATTATGTCAAATACAAGTTTTGACAACTGCCTTTTATGAAACTCTATCTTACCATTGTTGTAGTAGCAACAGCACTTCAAACAAATAGGTCGCGGAAAGAATATACCACGGCAGAAGAGGATAACAGTTTTGCAAGTTTCACAGCTGCCATTTTTCCACAAACTTTAAAAATAAGGACTTTGATCACCAGTGTCGGAAAAAAAACAAAAAAACTGGTGGGGGATTGTAAGAGATGTAATGGAACTTAAAGGAAAAACATATATATATCGTTTATTTGCAAAATAAATACCAACAGAGATGTTATGAAGGCAATTTAAAGAACTTCTTATGAAAATAAAGTGTTATCTTCAGCATTTCAAAATATTGCACCTTTCTGGCACATGAAGCCCTAAATACCGATCCCGACCTAAAAACTGGTCGTACTTGATCTTACGACAGGCAAGGCCAGTCTAATTTTTTTTTGGGGGGGGGGGGGTGGAAAAAATTCCACAAACTTTAAAAATAAGGACTTTGAACACCAGTGTCGGAAAAAAAACAAAAAACTGGTGGGGGATTGTAAGAGATGTAATGGAACTTAAAGGAAAAACATATATATATCGTTTATTTGCAAAATAAATACCAACAGAGATGTTATGAAGGCAATTTAAAGAACTTCTTATGAAAATAAAGTGTTATCTTCAGCAGTTAAAAAAAATGCAACAATTTGGCAAAAGAAGCCCAAATACCGATCCCGACCTAAAAACTGGTCGTACTTGATCTTACGACAGGCAAGGCCAGTCTAATTTTTTTTTGGGGGGGGGGGTTGGAAAAAATTCCACAAACTTTAAAAATAAGGACTTTGAACAAAAAAAAAACAAAAAACTGGTGGGGGATTGTAAGAGATGTAATGGAACTTAAAGGAAAAACATATATATATCGTTTATTTGCAAAATAAATACCAACAGAGATGTTATGAAGGCAATTTAAAGAACTTCTTATGAAAATAAAGTGTTATCTTCAGCAGTTAAAAAAAATGCAACAATTTGGCAAAAGAAGCCCAAATAAAATGAAAAGGGTAGAGGGACCGGGGATGCTTATATCCATGTAAAATAAGTAAAAGCGAATAAAAGTAAACTCAGTTCGCAGCTCACTGACAAAAAATAAGATCGTGAAATAATTCAATTTTTTATGTCTTGATTATTGGTACTAAAATGTGTGCGTGTCCAAGTACTAAGGAGGTTTGCATCCGAGATTACAGTGCATGGCCTTACTTTCTTACTGAATACATTCTTGTCCCTGAAAAGAATCGCAATCCTGACCTTATTTCTGTTTGCATGTGTACAACTTAAAAACAAGCTTTACACTTTTCGCAATCACAGCCTAAAAGGTCCTGCTCAGCATTATTAAAAATACATGCTTACCAAAAATTTCATGATAGGATAAAATTTACAAATACATTGTACATGTGCAACTGCACTGAAAATTTACAAATAAATAAAAATTAAAGTAAAATAAATTATTAAAATAAAAAAAAAAATGTCAGATCAAACCTGGATTCGAACCAGGATCTTCCGAATACCTGTCGAAGTTCTTTAATCCTGAACCAATTCTTCAGTCCCGCCTTGACGCATACTCACATTTCCTTTGGCCGCCAACCCCGGCTCTAATGGAAAGGAGAACACTTGACGCTCCTGACGAGAATCGAACTCAGATCCCTCCGAACTCGGGCCAGACGCTCTACCGATTGAGCTATTTGATCTGACAATTCCTTGAATGAATAATTTCTCACAGTTGACCTTGAATCAGGAAGGGTAACCTACCCGAACACTACTCAAGTGTCACTTCTTAAACACGTGATTCAGCTGGTCAAGCATTTTAGATTGGCGACACAAATGCTTTATGTATTTTGATGAATAAAAATAAAGGAAATAAATGAAATAAATCTTAAATAAAGTAAGTTCAGCAAATGTCCTCCTATATTACTGGCGATATGAACCAGTGAAGAGACACAGTACCGACGAGTCAACATTCCTGACTTGACTTGATACAGGATAACCCGATTTGCTGTTTATCAAGTGCTAAATTGATTCTCTCATTTTAAAAATGTTCAATATATTGTTTTGATAAATAAGTATATTTTATAGATCTTAAAACAAAGAAAAAAGTAATTCTAGCCTTCAGATAAAAATGCGTTTCATATTCTTTACAATAAATCAAGTACTATTAGATTACGCGCGTCCCCGAAGGATTTCGCATCGAGTGTGGTCAACATCAATAGCTCAATTCGTCTACAAATGAAACGGGCGAAGATTACAAATAGTGACCAATATAAATAAAAAACCTGATAGTGTAAAAGGACATAAAACACAGACCCTCCCTGGAAATAAAATATCCCATAGTGGGATCAGGTGCCTAGAAAGAATGAACATCCCCTATCGACCGGTCACATCCTATGTATGTAGGTATGACTTCTGTGTATTGATCAGATAGACAGAATATTCCGTCGTTAATTTTAATTTGAAATAAAGGCCTTCTCAGTTAACAATAAGGATGGAAAGGTAAGAAAAACACGGCCAAAATATAAGTTGAATTTACATACAGTCATTCCTTTTTACGAACTACTGACTTTGAATGAAGCTGCTACGGTTCTTGTAATATCTACATATTTGTCAGTAGCCTATCTCGGTTTAATAATTGATCTTACTCAAAGCATGCTCTTTAGATTCAAATAAATTGGCAGACGTTTACTACAAAACCTTTTACAGGTGATCGTGGAATATTACTTCACAAATTAGGTAAGTTGACAATGGAAAAGTCGAATTTTTCTCGTGTGTCAACTTCTAAAAGTTTAGGTGTTAGTTAATTTTTATTGCCTTTGGTCAGTTTAAACATACTTTGTTGAATTTTTTAATCAGTGGGAAATATCTAACTGCAGAATCTGTCCGATTTTTTCTCAAACAGAGAGCTACAGTTCTGCAACTAAGATATATCAAGTAAAATGATTTTTGGGCCAAAAAAAATGTTCTTCTTTAATACAAGCACTTTAATTGTCTCTTATGTGAACATGTATATTGAACATGTGCGTCAAATAAGACCATTTTCTACTCTTTTGAAATTTGCTGCCAGTCATACTAAGAATAAATGTATATATTTTATTTATATTAATAAAGATCAGTGAATTATTTCACCTAAATCATTCTTCAAATTCATATGTATATTGATTATCACCATCTTTATACATCTGTACATGGGTTATAAATAACACGAGTCATAATATTTGTAGATAAAAATAACACATGTCAAATTTCTTTAATGGATACACTGTAAAAAAAAATAACTAATTAAAGTCACGAGGAAAACTAGTAAATTTACTGTCCATACAATCACTACCTTAAAAGTAGTTTTACCAGATATTGGTATATTTACTAGATAAGATTAGTAAATTTAGAATTGATAAGTAACTTTCACTAAGTATTTAAGTATCTATACGACCAACGCTTTACGAGGCACACTAGTTAAATTCACTAGGTTTTTCTTTCAGTGTAAAGAAAACCTGTCAGAATCTTTTTGCGGTTTTGTAATAACTGAAAGAATCTTTGTAAAGATAACGAAAACCAGTCAGAATTCTTGTAAGATAAATAACATCCTACCCAAGAATTTTTTTTGATAGTAACACATGTAAGAATATATGTACAGTTAAAACACCTGTACGAATCTCTGTACAGATATGTTACATTTTGTCAGAATCAAAACGTACTGTCAGAATTTTTGTACTGTTTACAACATCTGTCAGAATTTACAATCAAAACGTACTGTCAGAATTTTTGTACTGTTTACAACATCTGTCAGAATTTACAACCAAAAGGGTATTGTCAGAATCTTTTTACAGTTAAATAACATTTGTCATAATCTTTGTGCAACTAAATAAGATCTGTCAAAATCTTTATACAGTTTAATAACATTTATTAGAACATTTATTAGAATCTTTGCATATTTAAGAAATAAGATATCATTTTTAAACATCTATCGGATTATAAATACGGGTTGGTCACGAGATCAAATTCCATAAAGCCCGAACGTCACATGTTTGAATTGTTTTGAAATGTAAAACGTCTGAAGAAATAACTAAGAAAGCGCTTACGTTTTACTAACATTGTTGCCTTGTAATTTTTTATTCTAATATACGGTTACAGATACGCATTGCTTTCAGTATTGTATAAAGGAAACATTTGCAAATGTAAATACTTGAAATTAAATGACATCTGTCAGAATCTTTGTACACTGCATAACACCTATTAGAATCTTTGTACATTTAAAATTAAATAACATCGTTTAGAATCTTTGTACATTGCATACCACGTATACCTATTGGAATCTTAGTACAGATAAAAACACCTGACAGAAGATAAATAACATAAGTTAGAATCTCTGTGCAGAACTTACAAAAACACCTTTCAGAAACTTTGTACAGTTGAACAACACCTGTTAGAATCTTTATATGGCATCATTAAAAACACCTTTTAGATTCTTTGTACAGATGAATAACACTTATAAATAAGGGTATTTGTTATTCATATAAAAAGTACTTGTCAGAATACATGTACTTGTTTACAGTTAAATAACAGACTCTTTGATCATTTATGGATAAGTAATGTAAATCAAAGTACTCAGAAGTACAGAGAGCCGGGCTCATTTACAGAGTGAAATGAATTTCTTACATGAATCATACGTTTATATTGCATTAACAAATAAATAACAAGAATATCAGATTAAAAATTCTGATGAAAAAATTATTTTAAATCTAGCAATATAAATTATAAGACACTGACAGTGAGTTTTCGATCCAAATACCACGGTCCGATTTTGTCAGAATCAAAATTAATCTGGTACATGTACTACGGCTGAATGTAAACAAACAGGCCAATCTGGTTCCCTCTCCTATTTTTCCTCGTTAGTGTAGAGAGCTACGATAACACTAATTATCAGAAATCCTTACGCTAATAAACTATGTTCTTTGACTTAAGGTAGGATTCTTCTCTGGTTTCTGACTAGATGAAACATTCAAAGTAAATTTGCTTATATGTCATATATTTAGGTGTAAAGGGTTTAAAAGATCATATTTTTCTTTCCTCATCACAATTGTACAACTTAAAATAGAAATGGTAAACTGCGTTTGAAAACTAGCAGGGACTATATTTTTGGCGGAATGGTGGCGTATGAAAATATCTGCTTTTCTGCCTCTCAAAATTATAACAGAGCAATGAATTTAGTTGTAATCTTTATACAATCAAAGACTTGAAGAAATTTTCAAATGTAAGTTAAATTAATAATAATGGACTAAACTTTCAAAATATATAAAATAAATATGATTTTTCAAACAAACTAGAATTATGTTAGCTTTTAAACGCTTCCAGTCAAAGTCCAGATTTGAGCCAAAAATCCATAAAAAGTATTTTTTCTCTCTTAGTAAACGATCAAAACTTTTTGTTTTTGTGTCATTTTGTATATTTATAAGACTACTTTATAATATGTGAAAATAAGAAAAAGTTAAATATAGGAAGCATATGAAAATAACTAATATATCCTAAAATATTAAGAAAAACAGAAAAAAATTCGGATTAGCCAATATCCAGTTTAGTTAAATTATTCATGAAAATTTGCTAATATCGTGCTGAAGATATAGTAATATCCTTTTATGCAAAAAGAACAATCTTTAAACTTTTGAAATAGAAGTAGGCATCACATGATTTGCAATAGTATTTTTATTCTAAATGTCAAGGAAAAAGACCTTGACCTGACCTTGCCTCTCATATAAAACGGTCAAATTTCACTGATACTATCACTTACTGATGTTGTCTTCTTGACTCTGTGAAAATTTCATTAATTCTTTAAATACAAGAAATATGAGAAGAATCCTACCTTAAGACTGAAGTTTTCAAAGTCATTACTACTAACGTTTATTTATTTAGATAAAATTTCGTTTTATTTATGTTGCTTTATTTAGCGTTTGTATTATCTCAGAAGCGGTTGAGAGTAAGAACTATATTTTTACACGTAGCTTTAAAATGGCGACTATGGGGTCAACATCCTGTCTTGAACAGGATGACATAAGCCGGCAATTGCTCTTTGAGCAATAAGCCCGGCTAAAAATAACTATCAGAATCTTTGTTTAGACAAAATATCACCCGACAGAAACTTTGTACAGTTGAAACACCCAGCAGAAACTTTGTACAGTTTAGTAACAGAATCTTTGAAAGATTAGCATCAGCTAGGCTATCAAACTATCAGAATCTTTATCCAGTTGAATAATAGCTGTTAGAACATTAATGAAGAAATCTTGTCAGAATCTTTGAAAACATTTAAATAACACCTGTGAAAATTGAAAATCTTTGTACAATAAAACAACAACTGCCAGCATCTTTGATAAATACTTTTATAAGTAAAACAATAAATAACAGTTTATTTGTATATAAAAACACAACATAGCAAAATATTGCACAAAATGTTTGTGAGTAATTGATCCTAGTATTTGTTATAATTCGACTCTCCATCAAAAACTGGATTTAAATATCCATCATCACTGTTTCTGAATCCATTTGGAAACTTTTTCTGAAAGACATACAGAACGACAGCACCTATAAGGGCTCCCAAGAATAAACAGGCAAACGCAATACCCACAGCGCCACCTGTAACGGAAAAAATAACCATCAGTTTGAAAATCATATTTTGTATTGTCAACCAATCAAAGGCTTGGTTGCTGCAGTTCAAGTTATTTCATGAAAAAAATGAAATTAAAAAAAATGTATTCTTTAATCTTTACATATCATAAAACGATTTCACAGAAATTCTACCTGAAGAAACACCGTTGCTTGATTGCTGCGACTGCGCACCAACATTATTTAGTGCGGTAACGCCGGCGACACTCGGAGTGCAAGGTGACGTCATTGGTTTCAATGTTGTCACTGGACAGGTGACTTTCGGACATTTCGGTGGTCCGAGTGTGGGTCTTGGACACGTGACCTTTGGACAGTTGCACCCTTGGGTAGTACACGGCTTGGGTGTTTGTGACTTGGGCCTTGTTACCACTGGACACGTGACAGTCGGACATGTTGATGGAGGACATGTTGCACATTTACAAGGACCTGCTGAATAAAATACAAGTAAATCTAATTAACTGAATTCAATATACATGCAACTTGGTACTAGCAATAAAAGCAATGAAAATACCAGTAAAAGAGCAAAAGCGAGATCCCATTTTTATTAACTTAACTGGTTGACAGAGCCATTGATATACAATTTTAACGGCAAAATATATTGATCGATACTAGCATAAGAGGAAACCGCTCACCTGGGCTTTGTTTGGTTGGTTGTTTGGTCGTTTGTTGGGTTGTTGGTTTGGGTGTCTCCGGCGACTTTGTGGTGACCTTGGTTGTCTGAGTTGGCCCGGTAGGTGGTGCCGGTGGTGTGGGTATAGAGGTGGTCCCCTTTGTCAGGACAGGTAAGGTCGGGACAAGGTAAGTTCCGGTTGTCGTCGGCAGTGTGGTGGTTGTCGTGAACTCATCCGGGTAGTAGAGCGGAATGATCCCCAAGGCAACCAACTGGAAGCTCTGTTATAATTTTCAAAATTTAGAAGTACATGTCTGCTCATGTTCCAATTGGTTATAAAATATTTAGGAAAAGTCCTTGACGAGATCTATCATTTTAACTGAATAAATTGTTTCTTATTCCACATAAAATGTTGAACAAATCTTCAGATATTGCTATAATTAAATTTATAGATATTTCAAGATATGATAAATACCACTTAAAGATAACTGAAGAATATCTAAATCTTTTTTTTTTTGAGGGGGGGTCTAATAAGACCAAAATAACCAATTTTCTAAAGTTCCTGTTACTGCTAACAGACTACAGTGTCATAGTACATGTATTTCTGTAAGTGACACCGGCTTATTCTGATATCAAACTAAAACTATTAAGCAGTGGATATATTGCAATTGTTGGCATCGGAAGAGTAGAGTTCGGTAGAGTTCGACATACTGCCTTATGTTCTACATACTTAAGATAAAAGGCTCTTTGTTATATGTAGAATCCATAATTGTCGGTTATATAATATGCCCTATGTCCTTATTTTACAATATACATGTGTAGCTGTATAAAAAAGAGAAATGAACGTACTTGTCCGGTTGTGTTGTACACCCACGGCGTGTCTACAAACCCCGTGAGGAAACCAAAGGCGCTACTGAGTGGCTCCTTCATCAGAGGTGGGGGGTAGATATTGGGGTTATCTACGGGGGATTTATCCAGCAGCACGCCACTGAAGTACCACTGGTTGTAACCAAGATTGTCAAACTGTTGGAGGAAAAACACATCTAGGTAAAAGTATCAGTCACTGCATTTTGAAGACTTTCAAATCAGAACCCACGCCCCTATAAAACCTAGCTGCAGCACTTAAGCTTTATGGTTCTATATATTGGTTTTTGACCATCTGTGTGATAAGTCTCGTACCGCAAATAAGGTGCGATTTAAGTCGCAAAATTGTCTGCCCACGGTTGGGAGAATTTCTCCACTTTCCAGTATTGATAGGGTTATTGTGGAACCCAGTTCGGTACATTACCGTTACAATGCTGAACATGAAGTCAACATTACCGCTACATTGCTGAATCAGAAGTTATCATTACCGCTACATTACTGAATCTAAGGGTTAACATTACTGCTACATTGCTGAATCAGAAGTTATCATTACCGCTACATTACTGAATCTGAGATTAACATTACCTCTACATTACTGAATCTGATATTAACATTACCGCTACATAACTGAATATGAGTTTAACATTACCGCTACATTACTGAAATTGACGTCATCATTACCGCTACATTACTGGATCTGACATTATCATTACTGCTACATTGCTGACCCTGAGATTAACATTAAAGCTACATTAATACTGAATCTGAGATTAACATTACCGCTACATTTCTGAATCTGAGATTATCATTACCGCAACATTGCTGAATCTTATATTGACATTACCGCTACATTACTGAATCTGACATTATCATTACTGCTACATTGCTGAATCTGAGTTTAACATTACCGCTACATTGCTGAACCTGAGTTTAACATTACCGCTACATTACTGAAATTGACGTCATCATTACCGCAATGTTGCTGAATCTGACATTATCATTACCGCTACATTACTGATTCTGACATTATCATTACTGCTACATTACTGAATCTGACATTATCATTACTGCTACATTACTGAATCTGACATTATCATTACTGCTACAATCCTGAATCTGACATTATCATTACCGCTATATTACTGAATCTGACATTATCATTACTGCTACATTGCTGAATCTGAGATTAACATTAAAGCTACATTACTGAATCTGAGATTAACATTAAAGCTACAATACTGAATCTGACATTATTATTACCGCTACATTGCTGAATCTGAGATTAACATTAAAGCTACATTACTGAATCTGACATTATCATTACCGCTACATTACTGAATCTGACATTATCATTACCGCTACATTGCTGAATCTGAGATTAACATTAAAGCTACATTGCTGAATCTGAGGTTACATTACCACTACTGCACATTGCTGAATCTGAGATTAACATTGCTGCTATAATACTGAATCTGAGGTTAACATTAAAGCTACATTGCTGAATCTGAGGTTAACATTACTGCTACATTGCTGAATCTGAGATTAACATTATTTACCGCTACATTGCTGAATCTGAGATTAACATTACCGCTACATTGCTGAATCTGAGGTTACATTACCATTACTGCACATTGCTGAATCTGAGATTAACATTGCTGCTATAATACTGAATCTGAGATTAACATTAAAGCTACATTGCTGAATCTGAGGTTACATTACCACTACTGCACATTGCTGAATCTGAGATTAACATTACTGCTACATTGCTGAATCTGAGATTAACATTAAAGCTACATTGCTGAATCTGAGGTTAACATTACCGCTACATTGCTGAATCTGAGATTAATCATTACCGCTACATTGCTGAATCTGAGATTAACATTAAAGCTACATTGCTGAATCTAAGGTTAACATTACCGCTACATTGCTGAATCTGAGATTAACATTACCACTACATTGCTGAATCTGAGATTAACATTAAAGCTACATTGCTGAATCTGAGGTTAACATTACCGCTACATTGCTGAATCTGAGATTAACATTAAAGCTACATTGCTGAATCTGAGATTAACATTACCGCTACATTGCTGAATCTGAGATTAACATTAAAGCTACATTGCTGAATCTAAGGTTAACATTACCGCTACATTGCTGAATCTGAGGTTAACATTACTGCTACATTGCTGAATCTGAGATTAACATTATTTACCGCATCTTCGCTAGCCAAGGGTGACAATCTGCTCCTATCCATTTTTCACGAGGAGAGGAGCGGATCGTCACCCTTGGCTAGCGAAGATGTATTTACCGCTACATTGCTGAAACTGAGATTAACATTACCGCTACATTGCTGAATCTGAGGTTACATTACCACTACTGTACATTGCTGAATCTGAGATTAACAGTGCTGCTATAATACTGAATCTGAGATTAACATTACCGCTACATTGCTGAATCTGAGGTTGTCTAGTTGCGCCTGCGTAGTGAGGATTTCTTGTATCTGGTCTGTGATGTAGTACTGACTGACTTGAGTCAAGTCCAGACCACTCGCTGTTAACATAAAAAAAATATATCAAGAAATAAAAATATAATTTCAAAGTGATATTCAGCATCGGCTAAAAAATTTCCAAAAAAAAATTCTGTTGCAATTTTGCACAATTTTGATCAATTTTGTAAATCATCAATTAGTAAGAAAATGGTTTACCCATGAACTTGATGACAAAGTTTTGCCTTTGATTTCCCGGGAAGCAGGGTCCAATGTCGAAGGAGGAGAGATACGGAGTGGAGGGGTTCAGTTTGTGTACATTATGAATGATGGCGAAATCCGAATTCTCCTGTAAGTTTTCAAATACAACGAAGTTAGTCTGAGATTGACGATCTGAACTCTGATCTTATCTGATAATTATACTGGTTCACAATTGGAAATCTTATTTTGAATTCAAAGTAAAAATTACAGACTTTCAGTGGTCATGAATTACATGAAGGTGTACATAACATTTCTCAAACAAAGATTTGATGTTAAAATAAATGTAACTTTAAACTAAACAAAAATTGACACCATCAAAAACGAAAACAAAACAAGAAAGAAAAAACAAAAGCAAAACCAAACAATTAAAAAAACAGAGACAATTTAACCAAATATTAGAACTGTACTCACCGCCCACACATCAAACCTGACCAGACTCCCGGGGGTGATGGACGTACCGATTCCCTCCTGCCACCCCTCCTTTAGAAAAAAAATACGGCGGGTGTACTCGATCAGTATAACAAAGACATGCTTCACCATTAATTGTAATTTATTGAACTTTCATTTCTGACTACGTATTTTACCATATTGTTTATATATTAACCCCCTCCCCGGTTAATACAATACTCCCCAGAGTTTACATGTAGTTATTTATAGAACTTACTCCCAGGAAATACCACTCCACGGTTTGGTTTTGTCCTATATTTAAATCATAATACAGCCCGATCCACACATCACAGAATATTTTTCTTGTGTATCTCTGAAACATCATACAGTAATTATATTAGCATTATACGATATTTTATTATTTACAAATAATATATTCGATACACTTGAAAACATTTTTTTCTATCGAAAGAAATTGTTCAAGTGTCGGCAGACCAAAGAATGGTAATCAGAAAAAATAAGCGAAAGGAACCCAAGTGATTTTTTTCTGGGTAAAGTGAAAAAAAATAAGTTCTTGCCTTTCCAACATACTGAATGGTGGCGTTTTGAATCTTAAAGAAATCTAAAGAATTCTGCATTTGTATCCGGGTCCCAGGTACCGCTGTCTGATCGACAAACTTATCTCCCCTTTCAATAACCGTCACAGGATCGCACGCACCAGTATAAGGGTCCATAGAGTATCGAACACCTTGGGGGAAAGAAACACAAAGGTTTGTTAAAAATATAAACATTAGGGTTCATATGGGAAACATAGTTGATGGACCTCTAATTATTCTTGAAGCTTATAAAGAAATTTAATTAGTCTTTAAAGTGGTCAATTTTTGTACAATGAAAATTCCCATATGTCCTAGCTGCGACTAAAATGTATGAATACCGTCATGAAAATCGAACACGATCTTGGAGGGATCAGTATCGTCGCCGCCGGCTGACTTTGTCTCATATCGTACAAACTTCCTTTGGGAATCAAACCAGATCTGAAGCAAACCAGAAACATAAGAAACTACAAAAACAACAACAACAAATAGCATTAAGAAATCAGGGATAACGGAAGGGAAATACGATTTACCGTTTCGAACGTGACTTGTTTGTCATGCGTGTTGACCCGTTCTATGACTGCTGAGAAGTCGCTTGGAACAGGCAGCATAGGCTTTCCAATATCTTTCCCAGCGCAGAACATACCCGGCTCTGTCTATATATTAACAAAGAAAAAACTCTAATAAAAATGCGATGAATTATTAAGTATAAACAGTTTATATTATAAGAATGAGTCTGTTTATAGAGTCGAGGAAATTTCTGTTGAATATCAAATCTATAGATATCCAACATAAGGTTTTCCTATTTCCTATTATTAATTCTGTATGAATGAAATTTCGCTCCAAAATTGAAAACACAGGCACGTAGCATCGATATTGAAAGTGGGGGGGGGGCAGCCACAGAAATTTTTTTTTTCACTTACCTGAAAAAGTTGACAAGCAAAAAAAAAAAAAAAGGAAAGGAAAATTGCCCAAAATCCTATTTCGTGGGGGGGGGGGGGGGGGGGGGTTAAGAGGCAAACTTTTTCCAGTACCAATTCCTTTCGATATCCATTTTTTTAAGCTTACAATATTATATTTCCTTCATATTACAGGTAAATATCAGTATCTCGAACATGGGATATCTCGAATACCCTGCTTATGTCGAAGTCAGTCGCCGGTCCCGGCCGTTTTCTCTCTATATATGATTCAAAAAACACCTGATATCTCGAACACGGTAATCTCGAATACCCCGCTTATGTCGAAGTATATTCAAAGTCCGAAGCCCTTTTTTACCTGGGGGTCGTAACATAAAGGCTACTTAAGTCTTAGACCGTGCTTAAGTAGGACTTAAGTACAGTCTAAAACTTAAGACCGTAACTAGAAGCGTACTTAGATTTGGCAATCTTAGCAAAACTTAGGCGGCCGGTAGAGGTGACTTAAGTATATCTTAACTTTCTTGTACATATATTTAGAATTATTTAATGTTGACTTTCGATGTTTAAAGTTTCCTCTATTCATATTATGCATTAAAGAAAATAATTATCTATATTTGACGCTGATTTAAGAATTTTATTTTTTCGTTGGGAGGGGGTGGGGTGATCACTGATCCCAATTTCACTCACAGCACAGCACAGCGCTAGCATACATGTAAATACAAAATTTAATTTTAGGGATATGTCTGAAATTAGTAGGACTTCGGTTATAGAAATATCCCGATTTTTGTTTTGTAACCTTGATTGTAAGTATATCATTAAACTTCTGCATTTTTTGCTTCTGACATACGTGGCATTATACATAGCCGGGATTCAAAATGTATCGAACTTTTTAGAGTATCAATTTCAAGTGAATAGGCGGTCGGTTATCTTTTCTTGTCTGCGATAATAACAGGGTAAGTGAACATTTATCAAAACAAAAGAGTTACAAGAGGTAAACTGAAAACACCTCAGGTGATATAAAACAATTGTCGTGAACATTTACAATGAATCACAATTCGCCTCCTTCTGACCGTGCAGTATTTGTTTTCAAACATTCCGAATAGTTTACAATATAATTATAATTTTAATACGAAATCTAATCTAACATAACTTAAACCGATAGGTAAGGACGTCAACTTTAATATGTAATTAATTAAAACCCTAACTGAATCACATTTAGCAATATATCTATATAAAATCAAAAACTATAGGTTGACTCATGTGAAATATTTTTAACATAAGTCTGACTTAGCTAGGACCTAGCTTAGTTCGCTTTATGTTACGGTTTAAGACATACTTAAGCAGTACTTAGACAGGTCCTAAGATTGTGCCTAAACCGTACTTACGACCCTACTTAAGTCAAAAACTTAGCAAGCTTTATGTTACGAGCCCCTGGCTTATCTCGAAGTGCAGTGAATTTTTCGGTCTACTGAACACACATGGCGTCGTGACTTCACACACTCTCGGCAGTGGCTATTAATTACACCTTCAAACTTGGGGAATCTTAATTAATCCCAAGCTCATGTTGATGTCGGGTATTTGTAACAGGTTAATTGGTTTGACAGCTTGGGTGTTTGGTATAGTCTACGACCGATAAAACAAACCACTTCACAGCAACTCAGAAATTAAATTACCGATATTGCATTTAATAAATATGCTCTGTATAATTAAATTCCTAAATTCATAAAACAAAAATATATTTCACAACAAACTTAAACAGTTAAGTTGCAGTGCATAACGCACAGTGATTGATTACATTCATGTTTATCTGCGTATAAATAGATAACCTTGACCGCCATTTGCATTGTTAGTTTCGTAAACTATGTGTTCCTTAGTAGTACTTCGTAATGTTATACATGTAAGCTATTAATATCAAGTACACAGTTTGAATACTGATTATTTTTTTAAAAACATTTTTCACTAAATTTCATCAAATTATGTTTTTAAAAAATTTTTATTTTCTTACAGAAGGTTCTTCAACTATAACGCTAATGATACCTCCCGTTTGACCACGTAAGCATGGCCTGGAAAATGTAAATTCGCTGAATATGCAATAAGGCATGCATATTAAATTGTTTTACAATTATACACGACAAAGAAAACAACAACATTGTTTTTCTTAATATTTTTTGTGCATATGCCTGAGACTTTACCATAAAGACTGCATGTTTTGTAATACAGGATAGTGTTACGCATGAAGATATAAAAAAACGGGACATCGTTGAACTTTTCTTTGTTTCGAGATAATGATATTTCACTGTACTTTACTTTCGTATAAAGTGGGGGGGGGGGGGGGGCAACCAGCCTTTAAAAGAACAATTTAAAAAGTAAAAGTATTTTTGGCAAAAAAAGTGGGGGGGGGGGCAGCCCCCCCTGGCCCCCCCCCTGTTGCTACGTCCCTGAAACAAAATTGAGATTTATGACTAACTACCTGGACGCTGTCAAGATCTGAGGGAGGGGAGGGGAGGAAGTTGACGTAATCCCCCACGGCGTGGAATCTGGTCTCGTTATTGTTGTAGGACCCCCGGAGTTCTAACCGTACTGGAACCATAGCATCGGGGGCCGCGAATGGCATCGGCCATCCTTCAGCTGGGGGATAATCCAAATTGAAAATACATCAAAGTATTTTGTCTCATTAAAATTGATTCAAATATTAAACATGCACGATACTAGCATCAAGAAGATTAAACAATTGCTCAACAAGTTGTTAATTGTAAACATTGGACACTAACCTGCAAAATAAAGAGTAGCATCCATCGTGACGTTGTACTGGAATAAATAGACACACGTTGTCCAGGTCTGGACAACTGTTGATCTGATGAACTGAGTTCCTTGGTTTACCTAAAACCAAACAAGTTAACATTGCTAATATTAGGACCATCCCCAGCTTAGTTTGGACTTTCAGTAAGGCGCAGCATTCTCGACGTTACATATACCTGGTATTAACCTCTGAAATTTAGACAGTTTTTTTCATCACTGTTGAAATATACATGGGATAGAAATTCCCGAATCGTTGTCAACAACAATTTAAAGTTCCTGATGTTATCAATTTCTTAACCAATGAGAATCTATTCGCCATTTGACAGGCGGTAAATATGTAGCGCCGAGAATGCCACGCCTTATTGAAAGTCCAAACTAAGCTTGAAATGGTTCTACTTAAAACTGTATTTTTTAAAACTTGGTTTTAATTCAACATAACCATCAGATTCACCTTATTTTTTTTTTATAGGATTTGATATCTTAAGCTTTCAACAATCATTTTGCAAAGAAAAATTTTATACATTTTAGTTTTAAAATTTGATCAATTTTGTATATCTTTATATGGAGCTCATCTTCTAAAGGAGATCGATCAATATAGTCTAAAAATGGCCACAACCACCCAAATTTCTTTACTATTATGCCCTGTTCACACGGAGAGTTTAATTCGCAGTAAATTAATGCGAAGTAAACTAATGCGAATTAAAATAATGCGAATTAAATTGCGTTCACACGACAGCTAATTCGAAGTAAACTAATGCGAATTAAAATTTTACTTCTGCAGCCCGGCGTCAGCACGGCTATCATGACGTCATTTGCAGATCACGTCACCTTATGCAGAAGCAGATCCGTTTCACAGGGGCCTGTAACATACTGTATTTGATTTTACGTAATCACTATATGTTTACAAAAAGATTTGTATATATATATATATATTGATTACGTAAAATCAAAAACAGTATTTTACCGGCCCCTGTGATCCGTTTGACATAATGGCAAAGTGTCTGTATGCACATTTTGATGATTAACAAAATTTTCCATAGTTTTTCACTCAAAAATAGCACATGCACCTATAGCTGACCACCGACAAGTGGCATTTAAAATTTTGCCATTACGCATGCGTCAGAATTTGATATAGCTTCGCTTAGCGTTCACACGGAGCTAATGCGAAGTAATTTAATGCGCAGAAAACTAATTCGAATTAAACTAATTCGCATTAAATTCTCCTTGTGAACGCTAAGCGAGCTAATTCGCAGTAAACACTTACGTTCTAAAAATGGCCACAACCACCCAGTCGTCTTAACTATTACATGTATTTGCATGATACTTTATGTGTCCCAACTTTGAGCATGCTCTGAGATCGATAGAATTTTAACACCTAGATGGGCTACTGACAGATAATTTGAACAACCATGATTTAAGTCAGCATTTCGTGAATTCTATTTTAGTTAAAAAGTTAGCAAATACTAAAAATTATTGGATTCTATTAATTGTGACTGACATACATGTTTTTAAAATAAATTGTTCGATCTTTGTTTTCTACTTTATTTGACAACGGATTATGTCGTCTTCCCTATCAATACGTATGTCTAACAGTAAGTGTGACTCGGCATGGAATACTCCCTCCTCCTAGGCGCCTGAACCCTAGGAAATTTCGAAGGATATGTTGTTTATGTTCAAAGATATGCATTTTTGTATATTTTTTTTAGAGATCGATCACTGTTTGTTACACATATCTTCAACCTCTGTATTTCATTTACATGTACCTAGCTATGTAAAAGTGACATTCGCTTGCATTTTTGATTACATGCCTGAATAACATATGAAATTACAGGTACATTTATTATTTTATGTACAATTGAAAATGTCCATAAAAATAACAGTTCAAAATATTGCATTAATGATTTTTTTTACTTACAGTAATGGATTGTTTAAATATATCGTATAACTGTTTTGTTGTTGATTTCCAAATTTCTTTTCCAAATAAAACATCATCAAGAATATATTTGTGTGTTTTACATTTACCTGAAAAAAAAAATCAAATACCATGTGACATCTCTTATTTAAACAAATAAAAAGAGTAAATTTTAAATATGCATTTCTCGTATTTCTATATTCGCAGCCTTTATTTCAAACAATTTTACTCACTATTTACAATATCAATTTCTGTATATTCTTGAGCGTTTTCATCATATATAATCCGTGACGTATGACCTTCCTGTGTAATTCGTATACTGCTCAACTTCTCCATTCCTATGACGTATTCCTCAATACTGACAGTGCTGTTGTTATGTAATAACTTCCATTCCACTGTCGTAGAATAGGAAGGCGATAATGCAGGTAGTGGAGAGGCATCTGCAGAAGTAGAACTTTATTTTGTCACGCATTCATTGATATATTAGGACATGTATTCACTGCACACCAAAGAGTTCTAAACATGTGGAAAGGACAAGATTGATCATGACTAATACTTCTTTTTGGTCCTTTGTTTATCAGTCTTTCTAAGGACACATTCGAAATGACATCACTGAAAATAAGAATTATTGACAGGAAACACAGAGTTCAAAGGAATTTCCAAATGAATGTCCAAAATTTCTTATTTTTTAATTAAAAATTCTCATTTTTTTAAATTCAAAATTCCATCCATTTTTAAAAAGCACATCTTGTTCAGGAAAAAAAAAACATTGAAGAAAAGGCAACTCATAGTTGTAGTCATGAAAGAACCTACATTTTATTTTTTATTGGACACTATCACAACATTTACCTAGTGTGTTAATTTTTTAATGCCAAACGGGGGGGGGGGGATTCCATTGTTATCAGATCTTGTCCTTTATGCATTTGTAGTCATCTGTTCGTAATTATAAAATACGGTATATTGATATTTACAGTGCATTATTACTTAACTTATAACCAATTTAAGATTTCTTCTTATCGCGTAAGTTTTATATATTAATATGAACTGCATTTTTTCAAATGTAATATATTTTGCACGTCTTTCGATTGACTCTCTGCTCGACAATATACTGCAGTACATGAATTGTGTTTTAACATTTTTCCTGGAATTATATGCATTGTTGGTACTCTGTGATGAAATGATTAGTACATTAACTAATCAATATACATGTAATTCTACCAATGCTCAAATTAAAACACATTTAATTTACAATTTCATAAGAATATACAAAGTCCTTATTTTAGGAAAAAATATACTATGTAGTCTGACTTTCCAACGCCAAACAGTTTTTAAAAAATGTTCATTTTTAGCCTTCCTGGTAAGAGACAAGAGAAGCTAATGAGAAAGTACTGTGTCCAAAATCCGTTCGTTTGTCTGTTTATTCAGTCCTCTTTTTACAGTATTTTTTCCCCAAAAACTAAACGCATCAGTTTCGTTTAGAAGTGAATACTGATATACATCATACGAAATTATTAAAGTTGAGTGGTGTTTGCTTCGCCACACTTCACCTATAGTTGTTCCTTACCCGAAGTATTGGTGACAGGAATACAGATACTCGTGTCAATCTGGCCTCGAACAACAGGAAAAATAATCAAACACAAGCTATACAAAAAGAGGGCTCCCGCGGGACGCATTATTAAGCTCTGAAAAAGAAGTAATAAGAATTTTAAAAATAAAAATGAGTTCAAAGTCAAATGTTATTTCCAATTCTATTCATCAAACTGGAATGATTTCATTACGCAAAATGTTCTTCGAAATACAGTTTTGTCCAAGTTCGAAATGTAGTGTACTACAAGTATATACATGTACATGTAAATGTATTTCACATTAAACGTAGAATACTAGAGAAATATTCGATTTTCTCTCTCTTAATCCGTTTCAATAAGTCTTTACAGTACTGGAGCCGGCCCGGCGAAAGCAAATTTGGCTTGGGGGAGGGGGGCTTGAGGGGGAGAGTTTCACAATCAACTATCAAAAATTCCTCCTTGACAATTTTTTATTAAAAAGTCATGAGCCATTTTTATTTTGGGGCACAAGCATAGAGCAGGAAGAGTAGAATTGTTTTCTACAATTTTTTCAAAATTATTGAGGGGACTTCCCCCCCCCCCCCCAATCCGAGGGCAAGCCCTTCGCTTCATACGACCATGCACTGTATTACAGTAGTTTATACAGGTCATATTTTGTAAATATCCGACTTATCTCTCTCATGTGACCTTAGATTTTATTTTACCTATGCCCCTCACTTTATTTCTGATACTGGAAGATATGGACACAGATTTTACAGCATTATGTGTGAATTATATATACGATATACTTACATTGGTAACACAGGGATTCCTGATATTATTTTGTTGTGTAATAGAGAAACGTATCCCGATTAGATCTATCAGACATCATACCCAGTTTGTTATCTAGACTACACCATCATTACTATCTTATCACAGTTATCGTAAGGACACCGAGGTTCAGTTGACAAAATATATAAATATATACGTGTTTAATTTGGAATGTTTATTTGTAGGTAAGCCTTTGTCTATCGAAATATCAATATCCACTTTCGAATCGGGAAACTCACACGTGCTCACTCGGTTTGAAAGTCTACAGATTGGAGACGTAGGATAAATAAAAATAATTTAAGTTGAAATATGTGTCTCAAATAGTATAATTTCATTCATACTAGTACATGTGGTTGTGCATTTTCGAATCTATGAAACTATCCACAATCGTCATGTTGATATATCATCAAACTATTCATTTTGTATGTATACCTGTATAGAAATATGAGAAAGGAGTTTGTTTAGGAAACGCTATTTAGGCAATGAATTGTTTTTAACTACTGGGTGTAAATAACAGTGTGATAGTGCCATCATCTCATTGTTTGCCAGCAACACTCAAAATTTCAAGGCCCAATCTATTTATTTATTGTCTTAGAATTAGAAATACACACACAAGCCCTCACACAAACACGTGAAAGAAAAGATACAAGAAAAGTAAAATAAACACTGTATGTACATGCACGTAATCTGAGAAAACAACTCAAGTAAAAGGGCAATAAAGCGTACTATCGTTCAAACGACTTCTTGAAAATGACATGACCTAAATGACCAAGCCGTCAGTTGCGGCCTCTGGTATGCTATTTATGTCACTTCCGGTGAGTAGCTGAAAAGTGACGCTGACAAGTTCCGGATTGTAAATTCCAAACAACGGCCATAGTGGCTCTGACAACTCCGAAACCACAAGATTCTTGAAATGGAATACGATCTTATTGGATTTAGCATCCACAACGATCCAATGACGTTTGACGGTATCCAACAGAAACCCATAGCGCAGGCGCACACTGGTTCCAGGAGGATTTGGTGTGCGTGGAGACAGGGCATTGTGTGCCAGGAGTTGGCCATTATGCCAGGTCTGCAGACATACTTTTCCACACACGTGACACCCTCTAGCACTCACTGCCCATGCGTATGGATAGCAGTCGACAGAGTAGTGTTTGTCAACTACATCTAGTCTGGCCAGGGCAATCTCAAACAGCATGGTTTGTCTGATAAGACGGAGGACCTTATACTGGACAGCCACCTCAAAGTAAAACAGGCCTGTCTTATACAGCGGAAGGTTCGCCATCGTGCCGCGGTAGTTGATCAGACGACCGGACTCTTTGGATTGATGGCTTCCAAAATAGGGACGCTTGACTGGTTTTGCTTTCATGTGTTTGGCATTTTCTGAAATCTCGATGCTGGCATGAGAAATGGAGGAGTCGAAAACGAATTCAGGACCTAGCAAAAAGGAATAAAACTGTTAAAAATCGACAAACTAATTTTGTGCTTTATTTCAAAATTATTCTCAAAATATTATGCTCTCCATATATTCAAATTACACGTAATGAAACTACAAATTTACGTACAGATGACGTCACCCAATACAAGATCCACTCCAGGCGTGAACGTTCGATCCCCTCCATCTGAGAGGAATGTGATAAAACAATTTAATTTACCTGTACTAAATACTGGAGTATTCATTTAATCTTATTTGCTATAATAACAAAGGTTAAGTAAAACAGTTGCGGTTTGATACCTGTTGTGGACGTTGATGCACTCTTGATCCTGTCTTTGTCTACAAGTCCAACAATAGAAAAAATCTGAGTTACAGTAAAACATGGTTATAACGCGTCATCTGTGATGCTAAACCTTTTGGTTATATCCATTATGTACCAATTCAATAGTTATATCTATAGTTACATATGTAACAGATAAGTAGCTTACTAAATGTGGCTCCGGAGTCCCCTCTCCCAGTCAGGACGTAGAAGGAGTAACCTTCAGTGTTGACCTGCTCTCCCATAACGTAGATGTAACAGACGTGTTTCCCCGTCTTGTTCCCCACGAACGGGACGCTGTAACATCCCTCTGACTGAGCGCAGTCCTCCACCAGGGGCTGGGTCAGGTTTCCCTCGGGGTCCCTAACCTCCGCTCTTACTTCAACCTCCCCTGGAAAAATGAAATTAAAAACAATATGCATGTAGCTTTATTGGCGATGTACAAAAGTTTCAACCTCCTAAAAGGGTGAATTAAGATAATCATTATTTCCAAAAAAAGTTAGCAATTTACAAAAAGTCTAAAAGATTTCAGTGTCATTTGCTTAAATGACTTTAAGGAGGGATGCTCACTCTAAGTCTTACCCTCGTTTTGTTGATTTCCATCTACATCAAAAAGTCGGACGACAACCGCGACTTCCTCCTCGTCAACAATGACGTCATTGGTCACGACCTGTGTGTTGGGGACATACGCGGATGTTGACCAAACATGCCCACAGCTGTTCAGGAATTCCTGAAACTCGTCGCCTAGGCAACTCTTTTGGAACTGTAAAATAAAATGAGAAAATAATGCAATGTTTCATGTTTTGGATAAATGTCATGTTTAAAACAAGACAAGACAGTTTCAAAGCAAAATTAAAACAATTGCAATGTAATGATAAAAAAGATAAACCAAATGCACTTTTAAGCCATTTATTCTCATTTTCGGTAAATACTTGAAAGTATACAAGTATAAAATTTCTGTATAAAATTATAAAAGATAAGAATTTTGTGGCACCAGAATCCAAAAAGTTAAAATGGGAGATTTACTTAAATGAACAGAAAAACACTGGGAATTTTTCCTTCGGAATGCTTCAATATGTACAAAGGACACCAAAATAATTTACTTTCAATATAGAATTCTTATGGGCTTCCTTGCCACAAATTCTTTTCTTCACAAGATAAAAATTGCTGAAAACAATTTTTGTTCTTTCTGTAAAACAGATCCAGAAACATTGATTCATCTTTTATGATTGTAAATAACTATTTTTTGGAAAGATTTTGAAAATTGGTATCAAACATTTGAAAATGATTATGTAATTTCAAAACAAAAGGTGATGCTGGGTAATATTGAAGGAAATTGTTTAGAAAATTTTCTCATCTTGTTAGGAAAAAAGTATTTGTATTACTCAAGAACTCAATGTACTATACCTAAATTTACAGAAGCTGTTAACATTTTTAAGTATTACAGGAAAATTGAAAAAATATTGTGAGAGCAATTTTCATTGTAGAACTAAAATGTATAGTAAATGGGCAATGTTTGATTTGATTTGTCATACACAATTTCAATTATTACTTAAGGTGTAATTATGAAAGCTGGTATTTTGGGAAAGGTGCACAGAGTGCGTGTGGTATGTGAGGGTGTGTTTGTGTGTGTATTTTGTTTTTTGTAAGTATGAAAATATTCAAAAATAAAGCATTAAAAAAATACTTGAAAGGCTTGTACCTTGATATCAGCATTTTCGTGAGGAGTAATGTCGAATGGTTTTTCTTTGAGCTCTTTCAGTCGTCTTTTAATGGCGTCTTTCATGTTTAGGCACTCTGACGGAGTACTGTAGGTAGAGACACTACCAGCCACCTCGTTGGCGTCGTCCATATTACTTCTATGGTTGCTTAGTTCCTCCGTCTGCTGCTGCAGTCGTATTTTCTTTGCTTGAGTTGGAAAAAAATATTTGAAGAGAACATAATTACTAGTACTTGAAAAAAACTTGGCGTTCAAACATAAATATGTTTTCTTCTAAGATACTATATCGTACCTTTAACAATGGCGTGAAGTTTGTTTTTCAGTTCATTCCGCCGTCTGTCAACAATTTTCTGACATCTATCAAACAAAACGTCGATCTCTTCCGTTACGGAAGTCTGGAGAGTGTCCATTTTCTTGACGATTTCTTCGATGGATGTAAGAGTGTCGTCTGCTGAAAGTTGGCGATGTTTAACCTCAGACACTAGGACCTCGATAGCCCGTTTGTTCTCTAAGTAAACATCTTCAATATTCCGAATCTCGTGGCCCTTGGATTCCTGGTGCTCTTTAACAGCACAGAGAGCGCAGACTGGTTTGTCACAGGACTTTGAATAGCAGTAAAACGCAAACGGTTGGTCCTCATGACCATGGACCTTGCAGGTGTGTGTATGCTGGTATTCCTCTAATGTGGCCTCCTTGAGATCTTCAATGTTGACCACGTCGTGTGTTTTGGTGATCTTTGTCCGTTTGTGGGCGTCAGTGCATTCCCCACATAGGAACTGTGAGCACTCCTTACAACGATTAGTAGCCTTCTTCTTCATGGCACATTCCTCACACAGAATCTGTGAGGACTTCGTTTGCACCTTTAGGTAGTTAATGAGGTACTCCCGACTCTCGTCTACCGGAAAGTTGTTCATGTCGCCCCCTGGGATATCGTGCGATTCGTTACATTCGGAACATTTGATGACGTCACGTGTCCTCATGGTTTTGATGCACTGGTCACAAAAGGAGTGGAGGCAGGGCAGAACACGAGGTCTCCTGTCTGTGTCGTTGTATTCGTTCATACATATGCCGCATTCGAGGAATTTCTGTCGCACGTGTTCGATTTGGGGACGCAGTGACACCTTGCTGGAGACGCGTGGAGACTGCGTCATAACCGGAAGGTACATTTTAGAGGACGGTTGATCCCTGCGTAAAAAAATGTGCCAAGCTATGAAAAATGTTTCCCCTAAAATTACTGAGGTTCAAAATTCGAAACATTTATCAACAAAATGAGAAAATATTGATAGTTGAAGGACACGCAGTCGCTAACTGTTTAAAAAACTGGGAATTCTCTTCAAATTTTTTTTTACATTTCATTAAATTGATAAAAAAAAATGCATTGCATTTAATGTGTAATACATTATAAGGTCGAAACATAAAGTCATGGAATAAGTTAATCTTTTGTACAAATATTTTTTAGATGTTTCAGAATTTCGAGAAATGAATTTTGATGAATAAATCAGAATTAAAATTTTACTTTGGAACGGAATTCAGTAAAATATACTTACATGGCGGATTTCGACAAGTAAAATAAAAACAGAAAGTATTTAGAAATACCAGGTTGTGTTTTTCAATTGAATGCACTGTCTATTGTTTTAACTTTTTCTATTTAAAAACGTACAATAGCTTTTGACTTTTCTAAATTGTGCGTGACTTGGCATGTTCTTTAAGTTATCCGGGATTTAAGTTTCCTTTTCTAGATTTTTAATTTAGTTTTACAATATGGCTGCGCCCATTGGTTGCAAGGTCAAAATCAAGAAAATGCCTCATACTTGTTAAGCCGGGATTTATTATTTATTCGTACTTTGGAGTATTGTTTTAGAGATGAAATATGATACGTTGTTTACAACATGCTGTGCATCGGACCTTTTCTCTGACTAGAAACACTCTGTCATCTCGTTCCTTCTCGCAGTTGATAGGCAGACGAAACTGGCGAGGATGTACTTGTGTTTGTCCGCATTTATTGCACCACAACCGACAGGTCCAGAGATCACACACCAAAGAAAGTGTAGGAGTGGCTATTGAAGCACCATCGGGAAATTCCCCGTCCTTAAAATCTTTGTATGAGAGTGTGACACAGACATTAACTGCTGACCAGAATGAAACAATCAGTGAGACCTCCGATATATCTCTACGATACATCACTGTGCACTCACTGTATGACTTCTACGAGGAGTGCCCTTTTGGGATTTTGTTTGATGTTTGCTACATAGACTCACATCCTGATGGGGTAGTCGGGAAGGGCATAAAGACGGTGGTTTTCTTACCGGGATCCCCTGGGTCACATTTAGATGTGTTACCCCTCATGAAACCTTTAGCAAGAGCTGGGTATAGAGTCATTGCAGTCAACTTTCCAGGTCAGATAAAAATATGTTTAGAATATGTGAAGAGATTTGTTGAAATTCTTTTTTAATGCTACAACATCCTGCATGGTTCTTCTCTTCATAATATGTGACCATTGGGGTTGATCACAGTTGTGCCTTCATTCAGAAAATGTCAAATGAAACAGCTTACAACTTATAACTTTCACACTTCAAATTGCATGAGCTAGTCAAGATTGTTGCATCACTGATGTCGTATGTCAATCTAATTAAAATTGGTTCAGGTTTATATTGTGAAATTTTTTAACAAAAGATATTGCAGTCAGTAGACTCAATTATTTTTAGTTTCTCCACAAGAACTAAATCAAGTAAATGTTCATTATAACTTTTAAAGGACCCATAAATATATTCACCATTATTATGCTTCCTGTCAGTTTGTGTTATATTGCATTTCCATAGCCAAGTATAAATAGACATACCTGGTTCAGAACTTAAGGTTGTTTAATTTTTTAACAAAAGATATTGCAGTGTAGATGCAATAATTTATTTGTTTCTCTGCAAGAACTAAATGTTCATTATAACTAAATATTAAGGATTTATAGTTATATTCACCAACATTGCTTTTAAGGAAATCGGGGAGGATTTCATAAAATAATTTGCTTGACTAGATTATAAAAATTTCAATAATAAATTTTCTGTGTTTGTGTACTGAGCTCGCTGCACTCGCTATAACCACAACAGATACAAATACATGTAACTCTAATGGAAATCAGTGTGGTATATTATATTTCATTCTGAATTAAAACTGTTCAATAATTATATAATTTGTAAGGAAATAACACAGTTTTTATAATTATTACAAATACAAAGAGAATTTATTTTTAAATCATTAAAAATTGTTTTAAGTATTATTTGAATGACAGTAAATATAATAAAACACTTAATTGTTATGAAATTCATGAATTAAAATGATTTAGAAGCCTTTTCTGATGGACTTGTTTTAGAATCCAATATATCGCATATCGCTTTAAAAAATATTGTATCGTATCGTATCAAAATTTTTGACTCAATACACAGCCCGACTGATAATCATAAAAAATTCTTTGCAGGTTTTGGAAAAACCAACCCTTTTGTCAAGGCCCATGAGTTCATATTTAGGGGAGCTACAGATGAACGATCAGACTTTGTTCTACGATTTCTCCAGGAGCTGAGCATTGACAAGTAATATTGGAAAATCAATTTCACAGGTAGAGATATCTCTAGTGACAAACATGACATTGTATTAATTTCCTGTTGTTTTGTAGGGTAGACATGTTAGTGGCTCAGGGGTCTGGGTGTTACCCCGCTCTGGATCTGGCGGCCTCCCACACCTGGATCAAATCTCTTGGTCTTGTTTGCCCTGGAGGACACAGAGTATTCAGGTAATCACAATCATCAATAAATATATCACTAAGGATTACTTCAAACAATAAAAATATTTATTTTGTGCAAGTTTTCAAAAATTGGAACAATTTTGTTACTTTAATAACAGTTTAAGATTTACTTGTAAGATTTGTGAAATATTCAGCTGTTCTTAAACGAGATAAACTGTAAAAAAAATCTGACTGTCCTATCAATGAAAATATTACATTTGTATGAACATTAAAAAAAAATGTGAATTTGTGTTGTAGAGGGATTTCTCCATATAAGGGTGTTCAGAGAGTGGCCAGGATGTATGATAATAAATTGTTACGATTTTTCCTGTTATTACGGGTTATGATTGACAAGTACATATTTCGGAGGATTGGAACACGGAATGTCCCATTGCTTCACATCATCAAGTCCACTGTGGAGGCAGCCAACTATCAGTTTGAAAATGTAAGTTAATCTGTACACATTTAGGTTTATCTATACAATGTATCAGTAATCTTTTAGTTTGTTTCTAGCAGTACAAAGTTTTATTTAAATCATTTATGTTCATAGTGCACCTTCTTGAAGCAATGTTTATCTCTGATAGATTGTCTTTCTAAACTCACCAAATATCCTCATTAATTTCTTAAGTTTTGGTTAGATGCTACTTCCATCTCTTCATCTTTGATCTGAGCTGTGATAAGTACCAGAGTTATCCCCCTTAAATCCATCTCCTACCCAATTGGATCACCTGGCCCTTTTCCATTGCACTCTAGAAAAAGGGTGAGGTGATCCAATTGATCTCCTCCCCTTTCTTTTTCTGTACAATATTCATAAAAGCTGTGTCAGTTATTTTTTGCACCAGACTGATGACTTGTTCTCATTGTCAGATGGAGACCAATATATTTGCCCTGAGCAGTAGAGGCATACCTGTAACGTTTGTTTACTCGGGTCAGGACTCGGTAGTAGAGACTGATATATCAGAGGAGCTCGCTCAGAAAATGAACCTAGAGCCTGCGGAATTCGCCAAAATGGATAAAAATGATAATTTTATTTTCCCAGGTACACATACAGAGGGATATGTCTTATTTCCTATCTAGCTTGTAACAGGAGCTTTGATTGGTTACAAAGTCGGGTGTAAATACCCGATTTGTAAATAAATCGTGACGTCACAATGCATTGTAGGACGTAGTAAATCTTATATCGATAGCTTGATACACAGCTTTATAAAGAATTATTTGGGTACATATGTCAAATTAATGATTGGACCTGGATAACTAATATTATTTCCTTTTTTTGATTGGTTACAAAGTCGGGTGTAAATATCCGTGCACCCGACTTGAGCCGGGTGTAAATAAACGTGACGTCACAATGCATACATTCTCTATGATAAAAGCAAAAAATCATGTTTACAAAGCATTTTTATGGGTACAAAGGAAATTATTTGTATTCCATACACCCTTCGGCCTTCGGCCTCAGGGTGTATGGAATACAACCCGGGGTAATTAATTATAATGTCCCTAAAGTGTTTAAAAAGATAAATGTAATGATTATTTGTTCAGGCCATGCTGATACATGTATCCTATAGTTAGCAAATTATACATACTAAAACATATAAATATTGTGTAAGAATGTATTTTTATTTGATTTCTTTTTTTTCAGACAAAAAGAAATCAGTGAAAGGTCTATATATAGAACAAGGGAAACACAACCCAATAAAAACTCAGAGACACTGTGATGTGATAGCACTGATGTTACTAGACGAACTAAAGAGAACAACAAGGAGCCAGTCCTGATAGGATAAAAATTGATTAAAATGATCAGATTGTTACTGTAACACAGTATACATGTATGTTCTGTTGAATGGATTGAGAATATTTTCATTATTTATGCTATAAAAATACCAAAATTAAACAACAAAATCAATAATCACTTCTGAATTTTCTGACTGGAGATTATATCATTCAGAAAACGGGATTATGAAAATTATTTGTGAGGCTGGAGTGGAGGGAAACTGATTTTGGAATTGTGTTCTAAGATTTTTTTTATAAATAAAGGAAATTTGAGTTTATTGTAATTTAAACATCACATCAGATGATCATGTAATAGGCTTCATATATCTATCTTTTCTGTCACCCCCTCCTCCCCGCTCTTCCTAACCCCTCTTTTTTCCTGGAGTCTGTTCTTGGTGGAGGAGAATATACGCCTCTCTCCATTTATTATCCCCTTGCAATAGAATTAGAAGTGATATAGTAACGGTATTGTGTGTTTGTTTGTGGTTTAGTGTGCACTGTGCGAAACGGAAGTGACCTAATTTGCATTGGGATCGATGTCGAGTACTGCCTCTATTTATAGATATGCTCTTTGTGAGGGGATGCTCCGCTTTTTGATGCCCTTATTGTGGTTAGAGACACCAAAGAGCGAAGTCAGGAGTGCATCTCTGTTTACGTAGAGTGGTGTTTACTGTTTATTTAACAATGAACGCCATAACTTCTCAACAATCAGACAAATCACATAAAATTATTACTCTGGATCTTGTGATGTAATTATTTCTCATTTAAAGAATTGGAATTCTTCGAGGCCTATAAATACATACACCGCGGCCCACATAGGGAGCTCCGTCTTTGTAGCTGGGGTCACCAAACATAAGAACGGATATGCATTGTACTGAAATGTCATTAAAATCATTTATGCAGGTTGAATGTACTTTTTTTTTTTAAATCGCTAATTTGAGAAACCCGTTATGTTTGACAGAGAGTTTTAATTCAGGGATACAGTGAAAAGCCTATTTCTTCCCAGGTACTCATTAAATGAATCCCCCATTGCTCTTTCTGAGTGTCAAGCTATGTATGTCCTATATAATAGGATTAAAATTTTAAGCATCATTAGTCTCATATACGTACATTGAGAAGTGCGTTTATAGACCAGTGCAACAAAATATCGAACATAGATCGGGTTTTCAATTATTTGATTGTAAATATTTTTATACCGTTTTTTTGAATGACAGCTAGCTGCAGATCTGTAGCTCTCTAGTGTGAAGAAAAGGGGATGGCCATTCATCCAATTTTATTCTTTGTATGAGATATTTACTAAAACATGCAGCAAGTTATTAATTATTCATTTAACTTGGTGCTTCCTGACAGCTCGGAACACTACAGCAAAACGGTGCAAATAAAATATTGGTTCTCCGAAAGTTACTCATACGTGGTTCCAGGAGGTATCTTTAAATTAGCAAAAGCTATAGCCTCTCTTATTTCCAAAGGAAAACTACATGTGCCTTTCAGTCAACTAATATTAACCAAAAAGATCGGGAAATGAGAGTGACTAAAATCCGCCATACAGTCCACAGGCACTTGTTTCGGTAATTATTTTATAACCCATAGTATAATAATAACATTATTAATATACATGTACTATGGGTCAAAAATTTATTATGGTTAAAATAAATGGATTTATTCCGTCTTTTGGTTGTGTCTTATCCATAATTGACAACTAGGAATACAGAGGATATTAAAGATTAAGATTAAATTCATCTCTAAAAAAATGTTTTGTTAAAAATAAGGTGACGATTTATTCCAACTCCAGATGTATATTTGACAAGTCGAGAACTAGGCTGTCCATGCATGTTTTGTTATATGTTGAATATTTACGGTCTATAGCTCATGGTGTTTTTTGTTTATTTTTTAACGCCCTTTTAAATGCGGTGGATCGTTTTCGTGCCAGCATCCACTGCGACAAAGGACCTCGGTTTTTACTTCGTTTTCGAAGGCCCGCAGTGAGATTCGAACCCACGATGGAATGTTATTCGTAAACTTAAGAAGCATTTTTAAATGTCCTTAATCAATTTTAATTAGAAAAGGTAATGTTGATTGAAAAAAATTAACTGCTATCTTTTGGTGATAATAGCGTTGTAAACATGATCGAATTTCCAATAAAAGAAGAAAACCTTGCACTTTTGGAGCACTTTTAATAATGCTAACAATGAATTTATTTTGTATTGTCATATGAATTTAATTGTGATGTACCAAATGCCATCAGATTGTTCCTTTTTCGCTGATTCCATTTTGTTGTGCTCTATACGACGTCGCTTTGTGATTTTATCTCATTCATAACAAAGAAATATATATCATTTTCGGATCGATAGAAATTGAATTCAATATATCATAACTTCAATGAAATGCTATACTTCCCAATGGCAGCTTTTTCACTGTCAAGATTATTTTGATCACGTAAACATTTTCTTCGCGAACCCTTTAAAAACTGCTTTTATACCAGGGAGCTTTTCATCTTCATTTGTGAGATTTTAAAGGAAAACTGTTGAAGTTCGTCGTTTACTTTTGCACTTTAAATATTTATTTTTTATTAGCGATTTTTAATTTATTGGAATGTAAAAAGGAGGAGGGTGAACGTATGTGCAAACTAGGTAAGTTTGACTATTTTACGATATATATCAAACATTTTCAGAGTTTGGTATAGAAATATATGTCATCTGCTGCTCCCTCCCCGATCCCTCCCTTATTCCGATCATTGTGTGATTTGTGTATTTATTCACTTTTATCTATTTATTGTTCATTGAATCATTTAAATTATTTCTCTATAAGAGGTTAGTATGTAAAGTAACAACTGTCTAATATGAATTCAATAATCTTTTATTACCAAATATATGTAATCGAGGTGGTATTCATTTGAGAGAGAAAGAGAGAGGTTAAAAATCATTTCAAGACGCATTTAAAATTAAGAATGATAAAAATCTTGTTCAAATTTATAAGTAACAAAAAGTTTTAATTGTCATTAGCTTCTAAAATTTGACAAGTTGTTTTGATCAAAACCTCACAAAATCCTAAGTAGGGTTCACAATCATATATAAGCATTATTTATTACATTAAATATCATACATATGTATAACCATTTAATCACAATTAAGTCGATTCAGCAACACTTGGCAAAAAAGTTAATTCACTGAATTTTAGCATAGCATTTAATGTCCGTTATTTCGACAATTAAAATATCTATGTGAATTTATAAGTTTACAAGCGAACAAATTAAACAAAAATCAAACAAAATAACGACCACGCGTCATTTTGGGAATCGTTGACTTAGAACTACCCGGTTAAGGAACTAGCAATCACTTAAGTCGATTAGGAGACGGTTTCACAGGTTCGTAATCAGGTTTTAAAATAAAAAAAAAAAATACTCAATTTCAATTGCATGCATTATAGTCTTATTAGCACATAATCTTGTAAATGAATTGTATAAAGAATTTTCTTTGAAGTTCATTGATTTGTTTTCATTAAGTCGAATTTAATCAGATTTGATCCATTTGATACAAACTTCTACCAAAAACAGTTAAAATAGTGAAGTTGAAAACATTTAGGGAATAGGGAATAAACGTCTATCTTTTACAAGTACATTTGGTCATTCCCCACAAAATTACGACCTGTGGCTGTTAAATATATTTTTAGAAATAAATAAGCTTTCTTTAACTGACATAATTGTTAAATATGGAAAATGATGGAATATGGTGTAATGAACCCAATGGAAATAACGATTTTCTTAACATTTATAGCACTTAAATACCAATCCTAACTCTTCACCCCTACCCACCTCAACGCTCCTTGAACTCACACCTAAATCTTTGATCTACCCTTATCTACCATTCATAAGCTTAAGGACGTTCGATCCTGAGATTTTGAGCGTATTTTGGTCAGTTCCTTTATTTATAAAATTCTGCATCATTTTTAAGTTCTAACATTAAATCTAAATTCTACAGTGCAAATTTAACTATATTCAATGAAAAAACCGCGATTAAATTCCATTCAAGTAGAATTAAGCTAGGGACTATATTTTGTGGCGGAAGGTTTTTTAGACGAAAATGATCAGTTTTTCCAGTTTGAACTAAAACAGTACTGTTAATTTTGGATTCCTATTTTTCCATCCTGGTTGCACACAAAGCTGTTTTGTTGAGTGAAATGTGTTATGCTGGTTCTGAAATATCTATTAAATTATTTCTTAAGAATTCTATCAAAAAAGTGTGACAAATATAGTCAATATAATCTGAAAATCCGGGAAAAAATTGAGCCAATTCCAACGTAAAAATGACACTTTTTTAGTAATATCTGAAAATTTACATCATATACCCCCACTTTTGATGTTCTTTTCTAAATATTCAAGACAAATTTGACCTATTTGCTTAAAATCAGAAAACGTTTAAGACTTTGAAATAATTTTCTTGCTTATTAAATTTTCAATGCCAGAAAAATCACGTTTTATTAGTGCAGAAAGGTCAAATAATTGATTATGCGAAGCAATTTGAAACTTTTTCTTAGGCACAATTTTTAAGTGTCTTTTTTTTAAACAAACTGAGAGTTCATTTTGTTTCATGCTTTAATTGGATAAAAATATTGGAGGGAAAACGTCAAATATTTAATTTTTGATTAAGACACAAATTTCAGTGCAAGAAAGTCATAATTAATGTACTGTAGCACCAAGAGAAGCGTATTGACCCCCATTTTTTGATCTGAATTTTAATTAAGCTATGTATGTAGAAACTAAAAATATACTTGGCAAAAAAAGTTTAAGACTTTAAATATCAGGATCGAACATCGTTAAGGATGTTAATTGTCTGGTCCAGAAAACATGAAGACAAACAAGCTTTACGTAAAAGATGCCTGTGTAATACTGTATACGATTTGTAGTTCGATAATTGGGTCAATACTTTCTCGTTCAATTATTCGAAGACTTTTAATTAATTACTGAACGTGTTTAATGGCAATGCGATATAAATGTGGACTTGCACGGAAAATAGAAAACGAAGAGACGAAAATAGTTCTCTAAAGAGGATTAGAAAGGCTTTTACAGGTTTAAAACTCGTAAACACAAATACCTGATGAATACATCGACTCCTGAAAAACGAGTAAAAATTAGTTATAAAACATCTCCACACCACCATCACCAACTATCTTACCGACCTGACTTTGTGAGATATATAAAAATGAATTGGAATCTTAAAAAAGTAATGTTTAAGTCAAAGTTAATGTGATAATCATAATATCAGACCAGATTAATATTTCTTTTGGGCAACGTGTTTCTATTTTTCTCCCTCTTTAATCCTTTTGATCTTAATACTTTTCAGATTTATTTTCGGAAAAAAAATATCTTGTACTTTAATTTTCTGTAAATAGTTTTGAAATTAAATAATATTTGTGTCATTTATTTAATGAGGGGACTTTCATAGCTTTTATACATCCATTCCCCACGATAAATTAAAGTCAATGCTTTAGCATCATAGAAAACTGCTTTTTTTCAATAAAACACGACTCGTTAAGTTAACTTAACTTTGTCATTGGTCATTTGCAAAATTATCAAAGTTTTATTTAAAAACATTATGATTGATATTGTACAATCATCAAACAAGTACTCTGAAGCTGTTATTAAGATGTTCGAGTTTTAGACAGAAAATATCTATATTGGCTTTGGAGATCATGTCTTCCAATAATCTGTTGGAATTCCAATGGGTATCTATTGGGCGCCTGATAAAAGCAGGCTTATTTGGTATTCATACGAAGCTAAAAGTATCAATAGACTGATACATGAGAAGAAGAGATCGCTTATGCCTATCATCTCAACAATTACATGTAGATAAATCTGTAACAGAGACATTTTATTGACTCTGCTGTGGATTGAACCCGGGCCCCTGGCTTGCCAGTCCAGTGCTCAACCAATTGAGCTAAAGGGTAAACCCACTAGACCAAGCCAGTAGGATGCCGTTCTTACACTACTATATTGGCCCCCTTCCAGAAAATGCTATGGTCTCATCTCTTTTGGAGTGCTGACGCCTGTGGGGCGAAGTTCTGGGGCCAATCACTTTCACCCGCCAGAGAACACCCGGGTCCCAACGTGGGCGCCAAATGTAACAGAGACATTTTATTCCCTCTGCTCGTGATTGAATCCAGAGCTTGCCAGTCCAGTGCTCTACCAGTTGAGGTTAAGGGTTAACCCACTCGCCCAAGCTAGTAGGATGCCGTGTATCTTACACTACTACAAATCGACAAGTGTTTTCATGAAAAAAAAAGCTTCATTGACATGACGATTTGACAGCTCCCAAGAATGAACGGATTTTTATTAAATTCGTAACAATAATTAACAAATTTCTGAGAAGTAATGTTCTAAATGATATCACTATTCTTATCATAATTAATAAAATGAATAAAAGATGCCTTATATGATTTTTTTTCAATCTCCATATTTCTGCAGACCTTAAATTATAAATTTCTGTGGATGACGGCGTGAAGTACACCATTAGGCAAGTGTTAGCGTACCTAAATACCATAAAGCGGGGATTACCCGCGGGAGATTGAATTTCACCTTGAAATATTTGATCTTGTTGTTTTTGCAGGGATTATTGATTAAAACAGATTAATACTAGATTAATTAATCGGCATGAACGCAATGAACGTTCAGTTCGTGTCAATAGTCTCCGGGAACTCTATGACTGGGCTGATTTCATTATAACTCCGCATCGCGTGCACCATTCCAAGTGTTCGTTTTTCCCTTTACGTGATATCGCAGAGTGTTTTCATTTTTTCCTGCGGATTCTTTACGTAATATATTCCTGTGAAGGACTTTAATGCACATTCCATACTTATGTAAGTCTAAACGTTTTTTTTTTCATTTTACCGATTGATAAAAATTACCGGTTATTTTTTTGAAAGAATTGAATTAGGAAAGCCAAAAACAAATTCTACAGAACAATACAAAGTCAGGAATCAATTAACATTCAAAACAGGTGAAAATATTAATATAGAAGGTGAAAAAAAATCAGCTCAATATCTACAGCTTCTTCCCATTTAATTTTCTTAAAGTTTCAAATGATTTTCCATTATTATAATGAAGTGCCTCGAATTTCTGAATTTGCATACAACTCTTCGTCATAAATTGCATTCAATGAAGCATTTGTAAAATTTGTATATGCAGAACATTTGATTAAACGCCGTTTTGAACCATTTCGCATTGCAGTACATGTAAATTGTAAAGAGTTGAAACAAAATTTTATTGCTGCGTTTGTCTCCGTTTTACTTCCAGGCTAGCTGCAGAACTGTAGCGTTATGGTTTTTATATATAATAGTCGTTGACCATAACGTTATGGTCAACGACTAATACGGTACATATTAAACCATAACGCTACAGTTCTGCAGCTTCTTTCTCAAGCAATGTTTTCGTTTTCTTCTGCTGCCAATTCAAGATCTTGATTTTTCTGTCTTGGTTCTTCAATAGATTGATAAGGTGCTCTTGTTTTAAAGGTTATTTCTTGATTAATTTTAAGTGATATGAAAATGCCTTTTTTGTCTGGCGTTTTAAATGTTACACGATTTACCTCCATTTGGAAAATAATGGAACATCGAGTTTTATGATGTAGTTCAATCATGTAAAAAAAATCAAACTGTGACGGTATGGCTGTTTATTAATTCACTGAAAATCGCCGCCAGTGGCCACTTTATTAATATCTCTCTAGCTATTAGGGTGGTTCCGTATTTTTATCATTTAAGATTTTTGTGTATCAGGCAGTGAAAAGAATACTGACACAGAACGTGGGGAAACTGGCTGCTATTCTAAAACGCAATCACACTAAGGGTAATTAACCTGCACTTCTGTCACAGAGAAGGTTAACAAGTCGGGATCGATCTCCTATTGAGATGCTTTGACGGACCAGTCTCTGGCATCCTGTCGTGAACAAGAACCACTTCTCTCGAGACCATTTGGAAATCAGAAAATAACACGTAATTACTGGAATATGCCAATAGCATATAAATGTCGCAAACACAAATCTGGCTGTCAATTGGTTCATTTCACGAACAGAGGTTCCTTGCATTATTTCATTGCCCGTGGCTCTTCAGATTTATTGATGCGGATGTATATATATAGATGACACTTTAATGATTTTTCCATTAATTTTTTGTTCTTCTTCATTTTCCGTAAGTAAGAACTTGGTTATCGCACCGGATGTTCTTGACCACGTGATTTCAATCTTTCAGAGTTCCGTGCCATGAGGATGAAGAAGGTTCTTTGACAGGAAAGTAAAACAAAAGGAAGAATGGGATCTAACGACATTTCTGCCCACGTGTACGAGCGTGTAATCAGCATTATAAGTAAGCCGCCCCACAGAAGGACTGAACTAGAGATCTGTCAGATCCTATCCTGGTTCAAGAAAAAGTCGGAATTATTCAAACAACTCAAAGACGGTAAGTATCTATGTACCTAGCAGAACCCGGAAGCCAAAGTAGCTTATTACATATGTTCGTAATTTTAATAAAATTAATGGTGAACTTTATATCAATTTTGAATGCACCAGTGATACTCAAGGGTATATTGTTATTTCTAAAAATGTTTCTTCATTGGTAAAATTGGTGATGTTGTTTTTTAAATTTTCTAAATGGTTGGGAAAATAAAAATATCAAAAAAATATTCTTTATACTTTATCAATTGTAGAGCATGTTTTAAGACGATTTTGAATGTAAGAAATGCTATTGAGAACAACAATATAATAAATGGCTATTATCCACCGAAGAATGCCTACCTTTGTGGATAATTTGTCTAATTAAATATGACATATCATTGTACTGTCGTGTTATGGTCAGATATTGGTTCTATCTTATCAAAAGTTTAAATATTAAGAAGATAAATTCTCGATTTTCTGTGGCTCTCTAAAATTAAAGACGAACTAAAATTGGATGAAAATTGTCTGACGTTTCAAACAATTCTGTTCACAAATTAGAGAAATACCCATTATAGTTATTTTGTTAGGAAGAGAAAGGTGCATATGATTCCTTGTGTTCATGTGTGAAAATGACATGAGTTTAAATTGCATATCTATGAAGAAATAGCATCGAAACAACGGGAAAAGAAATTCATTTAATAATTCATGACAAAAATTGTTTCTTATCTCTTTTCAACAATTCAGTACTGCTATTCCCCAACAGGTACACTTAGGTTTTTATACGCGTCGAAAACTTAAATGTTTTTTCAAGAACAGGGTGGCGCAGTTTGGAGAAAACAGAACAAATAAAAATCTTCGCATGTTTTGAACGTTTTAATAGAATTATTGTGTTCAAACAAATAATTGATATTAAAAGCGTATACCGCCAGGACAGACATTATGATTTAGGAGTGAAGATTACCGGGTTTTTACGTCGCCTAGATAATCAGTTATTGTCGTTTAATGATTGAAAGGCCATAACGGTGATTGATTTTCCCTAGATTTAATTATCTACTGACAACATGTTGATTTCATTTTAAACCCCTTTTCGTAATTCTTTTATCTTCTGATATTACTAAATATGAGAAAATAGGTGGACATCATATTTCAGTGATATTTGCACACAATCCCATAACTATACTATTCATTATCGACCTGTTTGGATTAACGGGAAAAGAAGGTGACAAGGGCAATATTAAATACGGATAAAAACGGATGTCCCGACAGCATTAAGTGTTCACAACAGAATATATTGGCCTCTTCTCCTAGTGAGATTGGAAAAATAATTGTTTCATATCGTTCTCTATGTTACGTTTAATCGACTGCTTTCCTTTTTCTATAATGGGCGTTAAGGTGTAAAATCCTAGTCAAGTTCCTACAGAGACTTTAATTCAATCGAGTAAGTTACAAAAAGCGGGAGGTGTCTCGCTCCTTTTGAAATATCCTTTGATGCATACACATTTATCTTGCTACAATACGAGATATCGACAGAAATATATTTATGAAAATTACACGACAGCCTTCAGTTTTTTAACTTCTCAAACTTTCATCCATTCATAAATCCACCGAGTGGCTCCTGATAAAGAATGGCACTTTAAATGGCCTACAGTTGCCTAACGGAATGTGAATCACGTAGACTTTCTTTCTACATACACGTATATAGACAGAGTCAAGTTGAAAAAAGAACATAATGTATATCTTTCCAAATGATTTATTTAAAATATTCAGATGACGTCCTTCAACTCACGTTTCCTCTATTCTTGCAAACCTAACACTGCTATTTGATGAAGCTTTTAAAGAGAGGTTCTGTGGTAAGAACTTTTCTATGACGTAAAAAATGCACCAATTAGTGGTGAGGTGTCTCAGGGCCGTAATCTTAGAACGCTCACTGACACTGAGTATATTGTTACAACTGTATATCACTATCTTGTTTCAAGGTCGTATCTCCGAGGTCAAGGCCACACGGCAAATAAATATTATACCAACACGAGGGTAGTTCGCTTCACACTTGATTTTGTTCGCTATGTATGTAATACCGTCCGCCGATTTGCTATCGTGTGAAAAAAGTAGTGAAACAAAACACCCTCGTTAAATATAAAGCACTGAAACTGAACGCTTTCTAACTTTATGTGGTTGGGCTGAGAGGCGTCCCAGAATTACATCGAAAGTCTCGAGAGATAGAGATTGGCGCAGTTTCTTGTTTTTCCATGCAATGAAGAAAGAATTCATACAATTTGTCATATTCAAGAGATTTTAAAATTCGAAATTTCATGGGTAATTTTTTTTCTATTCTTAAGAAATCGAATAAATTGTAGGCCTAGATAAGGGAACCATCATGTTGTAAATTTTGAATTTACTAAGGGGAGGTAAATGCAAAAATTAAAAGATGATAGCTAGTCATCATGTTGTAAATTTTGCATTACATGTACCACCCCCTAGTTCATTTAAAGTTTAGAGCTTAATAAAACACAGTTTTTTTTAATTTAGAGATTATTGCTGACATAGTGAAGAACTGTGAATTCGAGACAGACGACAAAGATGACGTCATCATAAAGCAAGGAGATAAAGGCGAATGGTATGGCACAAAAGGGTTTAAACAATTATCATTCAAACACTCTTAAATGCTATTTCGTGGACTTTGGTGCCTTCGTCACAATAATTTGCAAAAGATTATTTAAGTTGACCCTCGGTGGGTTTTTTTAAATGTATCATTCTACTTTTAAAAATTATTTTCCCTTAATTTTTTTTATTGTTTTCAGTTTCTTCATTATCCTAAGTGGAACAGTATCTATTTATATCAATACAAATTTTGGTGCTGATGATGACGCGGGAAATACGTCACCGGAAGTTGAAGTGGTGAGAACTAAAAGCGGAGTACGAAACAAACCACTTGATAGGTCTATTTACGGGAATTATGTGGGCAAAATTGGTGAGTTCTCATGATTTTGATTTTTAAAATTTTTTAATTAATTAATTGAAACCCGAACCGTTGTAGATCGATAAACCTACTCTTTTAAAATTCCTAAAAGCTAGAAAACAAAACAATCAGTAATGATTGGTAGATAAAGTAATTTTTCACTATCTTGTTTTAATTAAATTGATGCATTTTCTCACAGAATGCAATTGACTGAAAATACAATGTTTTAATCTCAATGAAACAGCTGAAACAAATCTATTGTGTCGCGTGAAGGATTTGTCCTCTGCAATAATCGAACACAATTTCATCTCACTGATGAAAGGATTTTTTTCTCTCTCAATACTTTGGTCCTATAATATCAGCCCTCATCAAACGGACCCCATTCTTTATAGGACACGGGTATAAGAAGGTCGCGGACCCCGGATTATGTGGAACATTAACTCTGTGTTTATCTGGTGCTAGGGATCCATCATTATATAGTCACAAACAAATTAATCGGCAAAATGGCCGACGATTTCTTTCTTGATAAGCCAACTTTTCTCTAATCAAAAACTTAAACGAAAATCAAACTAAAGAGTTCACTGTATAACCCGCTTTAAAACACAAAGTACATCTACAAAGAAGAATATAAAATTTTTTCTTTTTGCTTATAGATGCTGGGCGGAGTTTTGGAGAGCTAGCTCTGATAAACGCCGATTGTATACGGAATGCCACGATCATTGCCGATGAGAAAACCGATCTGGTTATTGTCAACAGGGACTTGTACAAGAGATCACTCCATGAATTTCAGGCTAAGGATTTTGAAGATAGGAAGCGGTTTGTGGACAGCCATGCCATGTTCGATAACTGGATGCCTAAGTACAAAAAGCAGATGGCAATGAGTCTAAGGCGGGAAAAAGTCCTGTTTGACTCCACCATTGTCCGCCAGGGGGCGCCCGTTGATGGCATTATGTTTTTGTTAAGGTGAGATACCAAAATATACAGACCTACAAAAATTTGTGTAAAAAATTAAATGTACAGTGTATAGAGAAAAAGAACAATATTCAAGCTCAAAAGTCCATTTAAAGAATACAAATCAGGAGATGAGAAAACAAGAATCTCTAAAACATCGAAGTTTGGATCAGGCGCTATGGAGAAGTGAGCATTCCCTACCGACCGGTCACATCCGCCGTGTGCTCCCTGGCATGATCAAGAAATAAAGGGAAAATTCTTCGACAGTTCAATTTATAAATAATGGCCTAAACAAAAAGTAAGAAGAACGTAATTCAGCATTTGACTTTAATGATTAATTGTATTTGCTGATAAGGTCATTGAATCGACCATAAAACTTTAAAAAATGAAAACTCTAAATGAGACTGTTGATATTCTTGTTACATCAACTTGTTTGTCAAGAACTTACCTCGATTTAGAAATTGCTCTACGTAGAACATGCTCTTGGGAATCGAATCATCCGTGAGATATACTGTTAAACCCTGTATTCAAGTGATAAGTATACATTGCTGCCTACGTAAATGGAGTTGACGATTGAAAAATTAAAGCCATAACGTTTATCATAAAGCTTTGTCGTTAGATTACCATTAGCGTTTTAGATGTGTCAGATTATGTGGTTTCTTTTATTTCAAAATCCTAATTGACGATACATATTTATCTAAATGTCGGATTGAAGGCCAAAGCAAATGTTTTCTCGTCACGAATTAGATTTTGATACATGTTAATACAAAAATATATCCTTATTTCAGAAAGGTAAAAATTCTGACCAAGACATCAAAAGTTTGTTTAATATAGATTAACTTCAGTGTGACCTTGGGAAGAACGTACATTGAAACTAAAACACTAGCATTCAGGTTTGAGTCTCTAAATCAGTTATCTGTGCCTGATACATAAGAACTCACACTTTTGAAAATGAAATGGCAAGTCATTTCTTTAATCTTAATTCCATTTGTAAGGGCAAAATGTTAGATGGTTCTCATGTCTCGTTCCAACTGTAAAGGAAAGCGGTATTTCTAATCTTCCTGTCGCCACTCTGATTATGCGGTGGTGGGAGGCTATTGAGAGAATTCAATGTTAATTATCGGGAGCGGCAAAAGGGAAAGCCAGCTTAATGCACCGATGAAATAATCCAATTTCTTACAGATCATTAAACCAAAGAAATAATCCAATTCCCAGCATAAGATTAAAATGTGATTGGATTGGAACTCGGTGCGAAAAATGCAAATGTCTTGCCGACTTTTTAATTTGTTCATTTTTAGCTCTACTGGTCAGAGACCAGAAGAGCTTATGCGATAAATGTCTTCCGTCTGTCCGTCTGTCTGTCTGTCTGTCCGTCTGTCTGTAAACAATTTTTCAAAATGCTACTCCTTTTACAATTTTGATCTGATTTCAATATAACTTGGCACACAAGTAGACTACACTAAGATACATAATTCTGTGTATCGGTTTTTGATTTTGATAAACGGTGTTGCCGTGGTAACTAAAAATAGAAATTTCTGTGAAATTTCTTTAAAATGCTACTCCTCCTACAGTTTTGGTCTGATTTCAATATAACTTGGCACACAAGTAGACTACACTAAGATACATAATTCTGTATATCGGTTATTAATTTAGGTGAACGTTGTTGCCGTGGTTACTAAAAATAAAATTTCTGTGAAATTCTTTCAAAATGCTACTCCTCCTACAGTTTTGGTCTGATTTCAATATAACTTGGCACACAAGTAGACTACACTAAGATACATAATTCTGTGTATTGGTTTTTGATTTTGATAAATGGTGTTGCCGTGGTAATAAAAATAGAAATTTCTGTGAAATTCTTTAAAATGCTACTCCTCCTACAGTTTTGGTCTGATTTCAATATAACTTGGCACACAAGTAAACAACACTAAGAAATAATTCTGTGTATCGGTTTTTGATTTCGATGAACGTTGTTGCCGTGGTTACTAAAAATAGAAATTTCTGTGAAATTCTTTCAAAATGCTACTCCTCCTACAGTTTTGGTCTGATTTCAATATAACTTGGCACACAAGTAGACTACACTAAGATACATAATTCTGTGTATTGGTTTTTGATTTTGATAAATGGTGTTGCCGTGGTAACTAAAAATAGAAATTTCTGTGAAATTCCTTTAAAATGCTACTCCTCCTACAGTTTTGGTCTGATTTCCATTTAACTTGGCACACAAGTAAACAACGCTAAGATACATAATTCTGTGTATCGGTTTTTGATTTCGATGAACGTTGTTGCCGTGGTTACTAAAAATAGAAATTTCTGTGAAATTCCTTTAAAATTCTACTCCTCCTACAGTTTTGGTCTGATTTCAATATAACTTGGCACACAAGAAGTTTACACTAAGATACATAATTCTATTTATCAGTTTTTCATTTCGATGAACGTTGTTGCCGTGGTTACTAAAAATAGAAATTGCTGTGAAATTCCTTTAAAATGCTACTCCTCCTTCAGTTTTGGTCTGATTTCAATATAACTTAGCACACTAGCAGACTACACTAAGATACAAAATTCTGTGTATCGGTTTTTGATTTCGATGAACGTTGTTGCCCTGGTTACTAGAAATAGAAATTTCTGTGAAATTCCTTTAAATTGCTACTCCACATACAGTTTTGGTCTGATTTCAATATAACTTGGCACACAAGTAGACTACACTAAGATACATAATTCTGTTTATCGCTTTTTGATTTTGATAAACGGTGTTGCCGTGGTAACTAAAAATAGAAATTTCTGTGAAATTCTGCTACTCCTCCTACAGTTTTGGTCTGATTTCAATATAACTTGGCACACAAGTAGACTACACTAAGAACATAATTCTCTTTATCAGCTTTTGATTTCAGTAAACGGTTTTGCCGTGGTAACTAAAAATAGAAATTTCTGTGAAATTCCTTTAAAATGCTACTCCTCCTACAGTTTTGGTCTGATTTCAATATAACTTCGCAAACTTGTAGACTACACTAAGAACATAAAGAGACTTTATCAAGGATCATTATTCTATCTATTGCTGTTGTTAAGTTTCAATTCCCAACTGCTGAAGTACTTTTCTCTTCCTTTGCTATAAGTACAAACCAGTAGAGCTTCAGTCTCGACAGAGACTTCTGGTTAAAATTTCTTAATGATTTATTTAAATCTGGTGCATTTAAGTAAACGTAAAATCATAAAAACAACTTGAGATCATAAAGCATCTGCTAAATCAACTCTTTATCACATTTATATAATAACAAATTTCTAATATCCAGTCCAATCAAATGTTTATGTAAATAACTTAATAAGATACATTTATCCCACGGTTGGCCTTGAAAGGTTTAATGTAAAAGAAGCAAAACAAATAATTGTACAGTTTTATACCGTATAAAACATTTCTTTTTTACAGTTAATGAAGCATGATTATTTGTTTGTTAACGTTTGAATTCTTTAATAGTGGTCAGGTGAAATTGCTGATGGACCCTGTGTATCACACAGTGCAGTATCCGAACTATTTCCCGATAGCGGATCCCGAAGACTTAGAGCGAACTCAGGCCAGGGAATTACTACGCAGGTAGTCACAAGGAAGTGAACCAGTGAAATAAAGCTGCAATTTTACTTAATTTCAAATAGTGAAAATATTAAGGAAAGAAACAAAACCAAAAATAAGAAAGTTAGTTTTGAAAACACTATTTTTTATTGGAATAGAATACAAAGACTATCCAATCAGACCTTTTCATAAGAATTAAGGTTTGGAATATTCCGTTTTACAACAGGCACTGTGCAGACTGTGTTTTCTGTTACAGAGAGCTGAGCATATCTCCGTCCAAACTCGAGGACTATAAAAAGTATTCACCCTCCACAGTGTCCTCAATGTCCTCCTCCGAGAGCCGGTGTAAAACTAGGACCTCCCAGGTGCCGAGACACGCCATGGAGGTCTGTAATCTGGGGGCCTTCGAGATAATAGGTGTGTCTTCATCTGCTTTTAAAAAAATAGTCTAAAGATTCATTTTAAATCTGGGTGAATAAATCATTTTTTTTTCATAATTGCTTTAAAAACGAAAGAAGGAATTGGCAAAAGTTTGTTTTTAAATTGATTTTAACAAACCAATAATTATAGCTTTTGTAAGTATCCGTTAAAATTTTTCTCTTTTTGTAACTAAAACACAGCATAATGAGATTCAAAAGAAATTTTAAATTCATGAACATTTACACATTTGAATTAGATTTATTAATGATCAAAGTTAATAAACATGAATAACAGAGAGTCGTAAGACTCTCTTTTCTCACGTGATGAAATGGAAAAAAATGTGTTCAAAATATCTTCCTTTTCGAGACGGAGGTACATTTATAAATTCATTCAACTGCAATTTGAAGAAAGTGAAAAGAAACTGAAGCAACAGAAGGTACAACTGATTGTACTAATTTACTGATTTTACTGATATATACTTGTGACAGGTGACCTGGAGGCGGTGATTGATTTACCTACATACTGTTACACGGTGAAATGTTCCCAGGAAGCGGAAGTGTTCATTCTCGACCAGAAAAACTATGACAGACTGATAGAAAAACGCAATCCTAAAGTTATTGAAATTCTTAAAGAGTCAGTCAGAGAAAAATATAAACTGAGACTATCATGGCTTCCAAAAAAGGAACTTCCACTTATACGATACTTTCTGTTTATGCTTCGGGAGGAGGAACGAGCAAAAAAGACTCGTCCCCAGAAAACAATCAACAAAGAACCCACACAAGATTGGAGTGTGTCCAACCTTAAAAAAGGACCCTTAATAGACATGTTTGGACCCGGGAGTGTGTTCTTCCTGATTCGAATGAAGGAAAAACAACGTCAACTAGAAAAAGAACGTTACCAGGGTGCCAAAAAGAGGCTGCAACAGACACGTCCAAGGAACCCGCCAAAGATTGCTCCTACAGTAGAAACAATTATGTACCAGAGTTCAAACGAAGGAACATTTGTGTCACAGTTAGGGCGGGCGTCCACACTGGACAGCGGGGTTGGTTCCAGTAGAACTCCAGATAGAATGGAGGATGTCTCATGGGATGACAGTGGCAGAGAGTCTTCCCACAGTCGACTTGTCTGTGAAAGTTCACAGGGTCGCCATGGAGATATGTCGCCTAGTCACGACTTCACCTTTATTGACCCGGAAATTAACGATGATAACCTTTTACGACTTGAACAAAGACTTGAAGCTTGGAATAATAAAATGTCTTCCGAAACTCAGAGGAAAAAGAACACGAAACCTGTCAAACTACCTCGATATGTGCATGAGGTAGGGGGCTAATGATTTCTGCTAAATGCATATAGATGATACTCTGTAAAACTTACTCGAGAGTAAAACAAAATTCTAGAAGTATTTTTAAAGAACTTTGGAAATACAGATTTCAAACAATGATATCGAAAACCAGACCTCTTTAATTGATTTATTATTTCTACTTTATATTCCTAAAGGGTCCCTTGGCTCCCATACCTGGTAAAAAGGTGTTCATAAAGCCGATACGGAGGAAAGACATTGATATTATTGAGACTATAAAAAAGAACCTGGAGGACAATAACTCTAGTTCACTAAGGTATGGAAATACAAATTTAAAATTTGTTTTTATATATACGCAATTTGTTGGAGGCACATTCTTTAAATTTTAAATAATTTCTAGACATTAAAAGAGATTCCTTACTATTTCGATAACAGCAGTTACAGAGAGGCGGAGTCCCTCGATCGCAGCGCCCCGCAGACAGGTTCGACAACTCTCGCTAGTTTTAGTTCTGCTTTTTGATAACGACATTGCGAAAAAGATTCATTTTTATCATCACATAAAGCAGAAAGGATAGTTATATATGTGTAATACAGATATACATATCCTCTTCCTTTTTAATATCATCCCGTAGAAACACTGCTTTTTCCCCTTACACTGCATTATCACCATATGCCTTTTGCTATGTAGATATTTGATGGTTTTTATTCAAATTTAAATAAAACACTGTGGATATCATCTGGTAGGATTCATTTAGGATTCATTTATGTGTACAGAAATACTACATTTATTTAGATAGATATATTTACTACATTCCATGTAATAAAGTTACCTATAGTAATAGACCACAAAGGTAATATTTCCTCAGAGATTCAGTGAGTTGTGTTGTGTCATATATGTAGTGACATGTCATTGTGTATGTAGAAAAATATAGTAGTTGATTTTAAGTATGACTTGTTTTTTTAACAGCATCATCGGTCAGAATCCAAACAAACGGAAAGAAAATTCGACATCGGCCCTTTAACGTTTCGTTTGGTCAGCATCCTATTGTGCGCCGGAAAAGGGTAAATCAAGTTCTCCTTAATATTAAACACTTTCTAAAAAAAATTATGAGAAATTGATTAAAATAATCTTCCACGTTAGAAAGATAATTAAAACGTAAAACGTAGCAAGATAAGTTGACATTTTACCAGATTTTCTTTGAATATAAAATGTTTTTCAGGCCGCAAAAGCGAGACAATACACCGCGGAAGAATATGACGCGCTGAAAGAAGAACTTCGCCGGAAACAACAAACATTTAAGTCGATTTTTACCCGACCCCAGTCGGCGTTTGCCTGAAGATTTTTCGACTGACGACCTGGAATAAGAAGAACACCCTCTCATCATTGTCCTCGTATAGAAGATATTGATTCTTGAATTAACATTAAAGTATCTTATGAAAATCAATTGTCATACAGAAAAAATGGTAATTTAAAATTCATTAAAAATTAATACATCTCTTGTGTCATTTTTCTTGTGTCAAGTTTTCCTTTCTTTTCGTCAATGATTTATATATTTTGTATGTATGCACACCACCTTTTCTCTCAATAACAACATGTGTACTGTTCAGCTGCTTAGAAAAGGAAAATGAATTTTCTTGGTTAATATACATGATATACATATACAACACTCGTATGGTCCGCTAACATCTCTCTTCTCTGCTCGCTATTTTGCTATTCAAAATAAAAATATGTACAGAATAGGCAGTAAGACTTTATTTACACTTCCTATGCAAAAATATTTCATAACCTCAAAAATTGTTTTGAAATTCAATCTTGTACGATGACGACAAGATGTATTGATGACTCAAAAATGTTGATGTAGTATATCAGGAGTGGGATCAGGTGCCAGGTAGAAGTGAGCATGCCTGTTAACTGGTCACAGGGTCCTTGTCAGGATCAAGAAAACGGAAAAGTATAGACAATTATGATGCATAATTATGAGGATATTCGATTTAACCATAGATTGCATTTGCCAAAATGGTCATATTATCGAACATTGAATTTGTGAAATTTTATCTTATTTAATCATCTATGTCGGAAGCTTGTCTCGTTTTAGAAGTTGTATGTACGTAGAATTGAACATGCTCTTGCCATTCAACTTGATTAAGTAGGCCCTATTTAGAAGCTTGTTCAGTTATTTTTAGGTCAACTGAGTAAACTCATGTGACCTATTGGTATCTGTTTTCGTCCGTCGTCGTGCGTTGTGCCTTAACATTTGAACATTTTCAGCTTCTTCTCTGCAACGGTATTATGCCAATGATCTTAGTACATATTTATGAAGTAGAAAGGTGCCTATTCCAAAATGATTAATTCAGGGCCCCTGGTTGAGGGATACTGGGGATGGGTGGGGTTACATATTCTGAAAATAAATTAATGAAAACTGCTCTTTAGTATTATAATCAAACATTTATGATGAAATAAAATTTATGATTTAATTTCCAAAGTTTGAAATATGGGCACCAGGGTCATTGGTTCCTGTGGGGTAGGGTGGGGTGCATAACTGGTTTTAAAGTGGAAATGCATTTTCTCTTTGGTACTCTGATCTACCTCTGAGTATTAATTAAGTAACCAGAGTAAGCATGCTAAGTGTATAGACGTTATGATAAGTAATGCTGCCTTTTTCAGAATTGTGAATTTCATGGCCACTGCTTTAAAACACGAATCAAATTCAATTGTTGTAACATAATACTCAGGTGACCTATAAGTCCAGTGGGCCTCTTTTCATTCTTTTCCAAGGAACATTTGGAAAATTTGAAATCCAAGATTTTACCAAAAATCAACAGCTTAAAAACTAACGATTTTTTTTATCTATATACACAACCATTGCCCGCGATCAATTAAAGACCAGGCTTTTTAATATCATTGACAAATGCTTTTTCAATTAAAATGAAACTCGTTAATTTTATTTTCCTTTTCATTAGTCATTCGCAAAATAGTTTTGTTAAAAAAACATTCTGATTGTACACACAAGAACTTTGAAGTTGACATCAAAAAGATGCTTGAGTTTCTGATTGACAATATTTATGTTGTTTTTGGATATCAGGTCTTCCAACAATCTATTGCGATTCCCATGATATAGCCTAGGTAGATTACCCGGTATTCTGTTGAGCTTGAGATTTAAGATACCACAGAGTCTGAATATACGTAAATCACCTGTGTAGGTGGTTTACGTCTCCGTATTGATTGGATACGCAAGAGCATTCTCAATGTATGTACATGTGTGTGTATGACAGTTTCCAAACCGAGGAAACGTATGGACAAAAAGGGTTGAGAAAACAAAAAATATCAGCAGTTTCGTCTAAATTCAACATTTCATATGGTCGATGCTTTGACCTTGTCAGAGTATACAATCCGTCATTAAGTCAAATGCTTACTGTCGTTTTTATACTTATTGTAAAAATATGGTGATAACACATATTTACACATTGAATTGTGTAAAACATAAACATTTTGTATCAAACTTTGATATGAACCTTTGTCTACCCTTTATTTTGATAATTTAAAACTATCATGACAAGGAGTTTACTTCCGGAAAAATTATACGATTCAGGGTTTCCAGTGACCGAAAAATTTGAATGTATATTATTCATAGTTTTGTTTTTAGTATGTTAATGAAAAAAATAAAGTTGTTATTAAAACTCGTAAGAAAAAAAATCACATTTGTTAAATCTAGCATGAAGATTATTTTTGACCCCGTCTTTCAGTACTGTCTCAGTACTTTGATTATACTTATTGTTATGGGAATATTTACACATTGATCCCACATCAAGTGTATTATTTTAGGGATAGCCTGTGTTTGCTCTTCTCCTGATTGTTATTGTTTCAATGACCTTTGAGCTCATAAACGTTCGTTATCTCAATAATTTATACATAAAGACAAAATCTCAAAATCTTGAGTTCAGTGAAATTAAACATATGGAAATAACGAACAGTATTTAAGATCAAAAGTCCATAAAACAATACAAAATAGGAGCAGAGCAAACACGGACATCCAATACAGCAGAGGTGGGTCCAGGTGCCATGGAGGAGTGAGCATCTCCTGCCGACCGGTCACACCCACTGTGTACTCATTGTCATAATCGGGAAATAACGGGAAAAACTGTCGCCAATTCAGTATATAAATAATAGATAACTATTAGTATGAAAAATGTCAGTCGATCAGCATTTGACTCAATGATAAATTGTATTTGCTGACAAGGTCATTGTGTCCAGCATAGAACTGGCTACTTTAAACAAGACTGCTAATACTACTGTTTCATAAATTTGTTTGGCAATAATTTACTTCGTTTTAGAAATATTTTTTTGTTCATACGTAGAGCATGCTCTTGCGTATCAAATCAACTGAGATATACAAACTTTGTCTGCAGGTGATGAAGGTATATTGCTGCATAAGTAAGGGAAGTTGACGATAGAAAAGTTAATGTCATCATATTTATCATGGAGCTTGGTTGTTAGATTATCATTATTGTCTTTTTCGAGTAAAATGTCGAAATATGAAACAGATGTGTCAGACTCTGTGGTATCTTTTATCTCAAGCGCACTAGGATATATCGCATCGACATGGGAATGGAAATTACCATTGTTAATTGATAATGCGTCGTCGATACATGTATATCTAGATGTTGAGCTTAAGGCCACAGCAAGTGTTCTCTTCTTTTCACGCATAAGATTTTGCACAAATTCTGCTTCATATGAATACAAAAATTGTTGGATGACCTGGTCTCCAAAAACCACATTGATATTGCCAATCAGAAACTTAAGCATCTTTTTGATGTTAACTTAAGAGTAATTGTGGGTGCAATCAGAATAAGTTTTAATAAAATAATTTTGCAAATGACCAATGACCAAGTAAATAAATTTACGCGTTCCATTTTATTGAAAAGCAGCTGTCAATGATATCAAAAAGCCTGGACTTTAATTTTTCGTGGGGAATGTTTGTCTATAAGTTGAAAACTCGTAGGTTTAAAATATTTTTTAAGCTGTTTATTTTGGTAAAATCTTGTGATTTCAAATTGTCCAAAAGTTCTTTGAAATTTTTGAGTATCCACATCTGATTCACACCACTTCTTAAATATATTGTTGCACAATACTATTGACGTTTTTCCTTCACTACTGTCAATATCTTAGTGAGGAGTAAAGAGAGAGGCTTGGTTGAACATTTACTGGAACCTTCAATGTATCTTTGTTTGTAAGGATTCTTATGAAGTTTCGGAATCCTATATACATATGGTAGTTCAAAATCATTTTGGTTCTCTGGAATATTAAAAATATTTAAAACTGACATATGATTTTGACTATTATTTTTCATACTTATTGTTAGTCCATTAATTATTTACACTCTGAATTGTCGACGGATTTTTGTTATTTTTTGGTCATAACAAGGAGTACACAGCTGGTATGACCGGTGAGCATCCGGTGTTTTAGAGGTCTGTGTTTGCTCTTCTCCTGATATGTATTGCTTAAAGCAATGTTGAGCGTGAATACTGTTCGTTATCTCCATATATTTCATATACAAGTTTTGTTAAAGTGAAAAAAGCATCTGTCTATGATATGTAAAGCCCAGGACTTTTATTCATCTTGGGGAAAGATAAGATAAATTGTTTTGATGTTATTGATCTTGGTAAAATTTTTGTAATTTCATGCAAAATATATCAAAAAAGCTAATCATCTATTGAAATACAATATACAATGTATATTGTATGACTGCATTTGCGGTTATTTTTCTTGTGGTGCACATCAACTTGCCTTGGATTAAGTTACAGTAGTGTTTCTTTTCGTATACATATACGAGGCTGTTCAACAAATAACGTCCTCTGTGCTGGGAAAGAAGCAAAAAACGGTATTCAATTACTGTATTTAGTATTAATGATTTCACTCAAATGTTCTCTTTTAATAAAAATACATGTCCGTAACATTTCTAACCACTTTCTGATTGTTTTAAGAACACATTTTTGAGTATGACCCTTCATATACTGGAATATAGCAGATCCTATGAGTTCCTGTACTTTTTATTTCCTTCTGAAAGGTGTTTTTCCATGTTTGGAAAATAAAACAAGTCAAGTACTGGAAGATCTGGCGAATAGTGTTCGTGTGACAAAACATTAACTTTCTTTTTATCCCCCAAAATTCCTTCACTCTTAAGGACGTTTGGATTTGGACGCTGTCATGAAGATATTTAATGTAGTAGGTTCCTGCACTTTTTTTCAAAAATTTTGCTTTCTAGACTCCTCCAATAATAAAACATCATCAGTTATAATTTGTTGAATTTTGGTAAACAGTACATTGGTTGTTGTATGTTTTTGTCGCCAAGGACGGAACCCATTTTTAATGCCCATTATATAATTTTCGTTCATTGAAATCCACATGCCCATGTGTCTATAAAACATATATTAGATATTGGTTGCTGTAAATTTCCCATATTTCATTGAATATTTCTCTGGGATTCTGACCACGTTTTACAGCAGCTTTCATGAAGCGTTTAATTTCACTCTAGTTTACTGATTCTTTACCAATCATTTTAATGCAGTGTCTCGAATAGTCCTTGTTCTTCAGCTACTCACAATAAAATTATGCGATGGAAAGTGGTCACATTAACTGTTATCAATTCATTAAAGATGAAATCATACGAGAAAGTCAAGCTTAATAACATATGATTGCTAAAGTGTATGTCATAGGGATCAGGACATTATTTATTGAACAGCCCTCGTATGTAATACAATCACGATTTATACAGTTTTCGATACCATCTCACATTTTTGAATTGTGAAAACGCACAATAAACAAATATCAAAGGAAACGCTTTTAACGAAGCCTTTATCGTATTTTTGTAATTTTAAAAATAATTAGATTTCTCAACTGTTTATATCCATTTATAAAATCCATTCTGAAAGGAATGAAGTTGTCTTCTTTTTCTTTTCTTTTTTGTATCAAGAATTAATGACATATAAATAAGAAAAGAAAGAGCAGATTTACGTCAAATAATAATACATGTATAAAAATACTTAATAGCTAGAAGACATAGAAGAATTTTTCGGAAAAAAGTCAGGCATTGCACATCTTTATTAGTTTTTATAAATCTAAGAGTTATCTCCCGTGAAGAATTCTAGATACTTTAACAATTCACTGTATATGAGAATCAAGTATTGTCTTAGATTCGCAAAGGTAAATTAATTTTCCTACTTTGTCACTCTATTATTTCAAAATACTCGTAAATGCAAGCACGAATGCTATTTTTAATATACCAATTGTAAGGTATTGTGCCTGAAATTATAGATTTTACGAGTTGCCGAATAAACAGTATGAATTTCACTAGTTTTGAGAGTACATAATGTAGTTATGTTATGCGTTAAGGTATCAATATATGTTATAGAGTAGAACTGAATGACCTATGCTCTTAGTTGTCCAGTTATATTCCTAAATAATTGAGCATATAAGTTGTGAAGATCAAATCTGTGGGATTAAAAAAATGGTAGTCGTCAAGAGAAATTAGAACATGAATGACAAGGAAGGAAAGTAAAAAATAATATCACGTGTATCGCCAGGAAAAAATAATATCACAGGAAAAATAATATCTTCAGGAAAGGAAAAGGTATGGTATTGGCCGAATCTGGCTCCTTATTTGATGTAAAAATCAGAGCAGAGTTAAAATTTAAAAGATGATTCTTCCTTTAAATGCAGTACTATTTTTGATTCAAAGCTTGCACAGTGATCACTTGAGGGTGCAGAAGTGGGACATTTTCCCGAGCTTCCTCAATTCTGGTGGAATTTCGTGAAATTTGAGATTCTTTTCGAATCAGGAAATGCTCAAGCTTGCCTATCTGAGATTTTTTAGACATAAGATGCATCTGATACTGGTGACTGAAATACATGTATATAAATCTTGCAGATAGGCAAGCTTGCACTCTTTGTTTTCTGAAACAAAATGTGCTCTAATATCGATAAAAATTTGCATAAAAATGAGAAAATTCAGATAAAACAAAATTGTTTTATTTTCCTGTGGCGTCTGTGTATCCCATAACTTTGAACTAATAGTATCTATGTTTTCTGTGTTAAGAAAATGTTAATTACAACATAAAGAGGAAAAAATGTAAACTATGCAAAAAGTACAAAAAGTGGAATCATGTTTATTATTTTGCTTTCTTTCGTCATTTTCATTGTTTTAATTTAGAGATAGAAATACTTGTAAATGAATTTATCGACTGTATCAACATTACATCCTGTATTTTTGATATGATGTACCATTCCTTTTAATTTCCACGGCATGTACATACAATGAAAAATGATATTATGTGTTTAATGTTACTGGTGGGTTAAATGTTTCCTCTTCCTTGTAAGATCAATACCACGGCTTTTATTTCACTATTTCCTTAAATCTTTTCTTTTTCCTTTCAGCTAAAAAGCAGGAAGTGTTTCTAAGTCTCAAATCAGATGCCTGTCACTAAAAAAAAACTTATCAAGAAATAAAATAAATAATAAATTGAAAAAATTTTACACTAGGACATTGCACTATATGTTATAATTTTCAGTAGGAAAACAAAATAATAAATTTACATACTCTCCGTCTTTTTAACAGGTTTTTAGCATTAACATTGCTAATAAATATATACACATTTACATATTTTTAAACAAATTTATGACAGGATTTTCATTCATTCATTTTCATTAACAATCATTAACAAGGAGTAAAGTTACACATCATGTATGTTGACTTACAGATAAGAATTATTAGTTTATCAAATTTATATGTACATGTATATTGTAAATATAATATGTTACTGGGTTTTTCCGTTAAAAAAAACAAAACAATTTTATGACATGATTTAATTTTATTATTAACAATCAGTAAAATCACACATCAGTTATATATACTTACATAAAAAAATCATCAGTTGTAAATTTGTACATGTGTATTGAATTTATGATATGTGACTGGTTAGGACACATGTACAGAAAACAAGAAATCCGCTTGTTCAAATATGTTTTATTAGCTCATCCTAGCCAAAGGCTCAAGTGAGCTTTCCTTAATTATCGATATTATCCTTTTGTCTTTCGTCGTTGTTGCCGCCATGTTGTCACAGCGATGGGGATACAAGAAAGCCGATCCTCTGAAAGTTATGCACAAGAATTTATACATGTAACAAATACATTGTCTTCTCAGGTAACGTACGTAAAGCAAGATAATAAACAAAGTGTCAAGTTCTGCACCTTTAGAAAACGAATACATCTAAATCTTCATACTTATTCTTTCTGACACACGTCACACACAGTTACATGTATATTATAAATTATCTGGTATATCAGTGCCCCGTTAAAGTTTCAGGATTGTTTGTATTTGTACACATGTATGTAAATCTGTCTCAATTGAATCTCTGATTTCATCTTATATTTCTATATGGCGAAAACACACAAAAAGCAAGATATTATTTCAAACATCAAAGAAAACTTGTTCAAAACCTGGCAAAATTTTAAACTTTAAGTTTAAATGGAGATTCACATATTTTTGACATCTCTCTTATTTTTTTTTAAATTTTCCACAACATAAAGACAAGAAAGAGCAGTATTGCATGAAATAATCATAAACATGCCAATAAATTTTCATTCTAAAGGCTTTCGGACGTACATGATTTAAAAAGGGGGGATGGGGGAAATGCATCGCTTAACTTTCTTAGTTATAATGATTTTTTAGAGTTATTTCCCGTGACAACTCGTTTCACAATAAAACAATCACGTTTCAGAAGTACCAATGGTGAGTTCAAACTATTCTCTTTTTCTAATAATTGCGGGACAAATGCGTTTAACAAATTTGGAACATTTTTGTTATGATATTTTTTCGATAGTGACTTACCAAGATATTGCAACCGTGAATTCTTCTTAATTAACAAGGCAATATAATATCGATATTTATCACGGCTGTTTAAGCAAGCATAATGAATTAGCTAATTTGCAGTGTCACTGCATGTACATGTTATAGATTAATACTGGATGACCGATGGTATTATTTCTCCAATTTTCTCATCATATTCCTTTTTTATTGAATTGATCAGCTCAGATATTGAATTTAAAGCATTATTGATGACAAAACAGACTAAAACTTATATATCAAACATGTACTGTCAGGACATTCCTGTTTAAAAGGCATAAAGGACACGTTATAGTCTTTGTGTTCTAATTGTTAACTAAAAGATGAAGTTTTAAGACAAAGTGTAATCCGAGATTTAAAAAAAGGCAATTTGATTGAGTGGAATCTCGTATGCTACATCTAGTATATATATATATATATATATATATATATATATATATATATATATATATATATATATATATATATATATATATATATATATATATATATATATATATATATATCTTTTAATACCCCCCGCTTGAAAAGTGGGAGGGTATATAGTAATCGGTATGTCCGTCCGTCCGTCTGTCTGTTACGCTTTGGGTACCCATCTCTTATCTGCAACTCCTCTTATACCACTGAGTGAAATTTAACGAAACTTTCACAGAATCTTTATTAAATATTGCCATTGAGCACCTCCTATTTTATTTTTTGATCCGACACATATTTTGGGTTTCCCGGCCACAGCAAAACATGGACTTTTCCATTAAAATCATATGGGATGCGGGGGGTATCATTTAGTGAGCTCATTGCTCACAGTACCTCTAGTTTTTATATAAAAAAGAGGTACTGTGAACAGTGAGCTCACTAAATAATCCCCCACCTACCATATGATTATACTGGCAAATCCATGTTTTGCACCAGGAGACCTGAAATAAGATTCAGATCAAAAAGTAAAATAGAAGTTGCAAAATGACATTACTTATGTAATAAAGAATCTGTGAATAAGTATCATTAAATTTTATTCAGTGATATCGGAGGAGATGCGGATAAAAGATGGGTACCCTTCAATATTTTACTTAAAAAAAATGACAGTGTCAGTAATTTTATGGGAAACCCGAAATATGTTTCTGTTTAAAAAGTAAAATAGGAGGTGGACAGTGGGCTAAAATAACAAAAAATCTGTGAAAGTCTCATTAAACATTTCAGTGGTATGAGAGAAGTTGCGGATAAGAGATGGGTACCCCAAAGCGTAACTGACGGACGTACAGACGGACATCCCGATCACTATATACCCTCCCACTTTTCAAGCAGGGTATAATAAAAGCTTATTTAATTTGTTTCCAACATCACACCCTGCATCTTATCTTTAATTTTAACATCATTCCATTTTTATTTCTATGGCATGTACTGAATATTTTGACATTTTTGCTCCCAGTGCCCCATTTCAAGTTTCAGTATTGTACGATATGTATACATACATGTATATGTAAACTCGTCTCGATAGAGTCTCTGATTACATCTCATATAAAATTTCCATATGGCAAAAACACACAATAAGCAAAATATTATTGCAAACATCAAAGAAAACTTGTTTAAAACTTTATCAAATCTTAAACTTTATAGAGAGATGAACATATTTTTGACATCTTTTTTAATATGTCAACAGGACAAGATAGGGCAGTATTGCATGATATAATCACATACGTACCAATCATTTCAAAGCTTTAGGACGATGACAATTTAAAAAAAAATGCATCGCTTACCTTCCTTTTGTTAAAATGAATTTTAGAGTTATTTCCCGTGACAAAGTCCTCGTAATTTAGTTTACAAAAAACATTCACGCTTCAGAAGCGCGAAGCGATAATGGTGAGTTAAAACTTTTCATTTTTCTGCATATTGCGGGACAAATGCGTTGAACAAATGAGGAACATTTTTGTTATGGCATTTTCTTCAATAGTGACTTACCAAAATATTGCAACCGTGAATTTCGGTAAATTAACAAGTCAATGAAAAATCGATATTTATCACGGCTGTTTAAGCAATCATTATGAAAGCCGGTACGTGATGCAATGTCACTGCATGTGCATGCAATAGAATAAAACTGAATGACCGATACTCGTATTTCTCCAATTTTCTCATCATATTCCTTTTTTTATTTAATTGATCAGCTCAAATATTGAATTTAAAGCATTAATGATGACAAAACAGACTAAAAATTTTATATCAAACATGTACTGTCAGGAAATTCCTGTTTAAAAGGCACAAAGGAGACCTCAGAGTCTTCTAATTTTTAAAGAAAAGATAAAGTTTCAAGACAAGGTAATCCGAGATAAAAAAAAAAAGGCAAACCTATTGAGTGGAATCTCGTATGCTACATCTAGTATATAGAATTTTTTTTATCATTTGCACCGGGAGACCTGAAATAGGTTTCAGACCAAAAAGTAAAATAGGAGGTGCACAATGACATTACTTATGTAATAAAGAATCTGTGAAAATATCATTAAATTTATTTAGTGATATCGGAGGAGATGCGGATAAAAGATGGGTACTCTTCAATATTTCATATAAGAAAATGACAGTGTCAGTATTTAACTATGGGAAACCCTAAATATGTCTCTGTTCAAAAAGTAAAATAGAAGGTAAACAGTGGCCTTAGATACACTGTAACAAAGAATCTTTGAAAGTCTCGTTAAACATTTCAGTGGTATAAGAGGAGTTGCGGATAAGAGATGGCTATCCAAAAGCGTAACGGAAGGACGTACAGACAGACATCCCGATCACTATATATACTCCCACTTTTCAAGCGGGGTATAATAAAGGCAAATGAACTTGTGAATATGTAAATTGTTTCCAGCATCACACCCTGCATCTTAATCTATAATTCTAATATCATTCCATTTTTTTTTATTTCTATGGCATGTATGCACTACAAAAATCGACACTACATTGTAGATATTCAGTTTGACTGTTGGTTATAATAATTTATCTTCCCTGTTAGGTCAAAACAACGTATTGAATTTTACAGTTGGATCAAATGTTTATTTTCCTTATCAGCTAAACAGCTGTAAGTCTAGAATTAAATGACTGTCACAAAAAACCTTATCAATGAAACATATGGAGATAACGAACAGTATTGTAGATGAAAAGTCCATAAAACAATACAAAATAGGAGCAAAGCAAACACGGACCTCCAAAACATCAGAGGTGGGATCAGGTGCCACGGAGGAGTGAGCATCCCCTGCCAACCGGTCACACCCGCTTTGTGCTCCTTGTCATGATCGGGAATTAACGGAAAATCCGTCGTCAATTGTATAAACAATAGACTAACAATTAGTATGAAAAACCTCACTAAGCATTTGACTCAATGATAATTTGCTGACAAGGTCATTATATCGACCATATAGAACTTGATGACTTTAAACGAGACAGCTGAAATTCTTGTTTCATCAAGTTCACGCTCTACTTTGTTAAAAATAGGAAATTACTAGTACATGTACATTATAGGTGATAAATTTCAGGTGTAGTAAAACTAAAATAATCAAGTTCAATCTTTCACACGTTTGACATTTCTTGTCATTTTTTAACATAATCTAATTTTATGACAGTATTTTATTCAATTATTAACAATAAGAAAATCACACACCAGGTAATTATACTTATTAAAAAAACCATGTGTGTTATATCCATGTTATGGCATATGATATGTGTCGGGTCCCTTCTCTGTTTTTTTAAGGTCACACAAAATAAAAAAAAAAAACATTACTAGTATTTTAAGAATATAAATACGTATTGTATTTCGTATGCCTATTGCGAGGACTTCTAACAATATACAAAGATTTATGGAATTAACAATTAATCCATAATATCAGATTCTTATTTTTTAGATGCTGCGATCAGTGGTGTTCAAGAACTTTGTTCATTTTCGGGATGTTCAGGAAGTTCAGTTTGAGAGAGGGCCCACTTTTCTGTTCGGTGGAAACTCGACTGGAAAATCAGCAATATTGGAACTGATTCGACGCTCGATGACGACTAGCTGCAATGCAATGATTTCAAACCCCTTCAACCCAACAAAAATCGCCTTTGTTTTCTGCAAATTTGATTTGTCGACAGCAGATTTACATGTATGGTCAGGTGTACTTATGCTGAAAGAAACATGTTTTAAGCTTGTCATAGAAATAAGATCAAGTAGAAATATGTGCCAAGTATCCAAGTATTCAGTACAGAACCAAAAACTTTCATGTGATAATGTTGAGGTTTGCGATTTTGAACTTCATGAAAATGAATTTTCTTTGTTGAAAACAGGAGAGGAAGAAAATTATTTGGAAAACATATCTAAAGAGGTGGACGTACTGTACAAACGAATTGGGGACTCATCGTTTAGAACAATAAAAGAGGGTGATGAAATTCCAACAGAAAAGGTTTTAAAAGGAATCGAGGAGTCTTTTGTGGCTACATTTTCTGTGAGGTCGGTTAGTCCCCTGCAGTGGACGAGAAGTATTCCCCAGAGTAAAGCAGAAGATACCTACAAGGAGGCCAATAAAAGAGCTGAAATAATGAAGGCACTGCTTCCCAGATTTCAAAAGGATAAAATCTTCTTAGAAACACTAAATTATCTTTGCTATCCAATCGAGTACAATGTGGAGATAGTGGATTCTCAAATCACAGTTAACAATCAACCATTACTGAAGACACCTGTAGGCGTCATCGAAGCGATCCATTTTTGCCTGATTTTGGCCTGTAAGGAATTCAAAACTATTTGCTTGGAAGAACCAGGCACTGGCATGCATCCTGAAATGATAGAGCGCATGCGTGATATCCTTCTTCGGACGAGAGAAGCACGTGTGTTTATCATCGTATCTCATAGCCATGCCTTCATTAACAATTGGACTGTGCCTAAAATCAACGTTTGCTCCAGAAAAAGGGTTAAAAATTATAAAGGTGATATCGACATAATCCATCAAGTTCGCTCTATCAGAGGATTGAGTGACCAAATTCTAGATTTAGATGATATGAAGAAACTGTTGTTTTCTTTTAAGGTGATTGGCGTGGAAGGAAAAAGAGATAAAATATTTCTGGATGCCTTTTTCAGCTACATTTGGGAAACTATCAACAGCCCAAATGCTGATGAAAAGGAAACATCTAAATTTCAAAAAGCTGATACAGTACTAGGGAATCACATAATATGCATACAATCCAAGAGTGCAGAGAAGAATACAATAGATTATTGTAATCTAATCGATCGTCAGTGTTGCCTCATGCTCGATAGAAACGCTCACGTCAGAGTAATGGACGATAAAAAGAGAGTACAAAAAATTCGATTGGAAGAAGAATTTCTCTCTCCATTTTCCGAGCAGTATTTTAACTTCAAAAACTTTCATCATAGGTCTCTCAATGAATTCCTAAATAAGCCAGAGGGTTTTGAAAGGCTCTCTCATATATTAAAATCAAGGAATGTGTTTGTATGGCGTGAAGGGGATCTTGAAGACATGATTGTAGAATCGCTAAGCCCTGCACAACTACAAGCATTTAAGCCAAAAGAAGAAAGTGCCAACAAAAAGAGTAAAAAACGAGGAGTTGAAATCTTAGACTTGACCAGGGAACAACTCAGAAAACTTGTGATAGCTGTTTACGAAGCTGGTCCCCTAAAGAGGCTGTATGATTTCCTTTCATCTTTCGAAAACGGTCTTAAATGACCTCTTTTTTTAATTTTCTTTTGAATGAGACAATTATGTAACACCAATATTCTTTGCAAAGGTTTATTTGTAGATCCAATAAGGCATGCGGATTTTATGGATATAACTGACTTTTAAACTTTATACACAACCATTCCCCACGATAAATTAAAGTCCAGGCTTTTTGATATCATTGACATCTGCCTTTTCAGGAAAAAATTGAACTCGTAAAGTTACTCACCTTGTCATTGGTCATTTTTAATTTTTTTGTTAAAACATTCTGATTGCACACACAAGTACTCTGAAGTTGACATCAAACAGATGCAAGAAAAAGAAGTTTCTGATTGAGAAAATTTATGTGGTTTTTGGACAATCTTTTGGAATTCCCGTGGGTACCAATTGCGCCCCGTTATTAGCAGACCTATTTTTGTATTCATCAGAACGTGTCTAAAATCTTATATGCAAAAAAGAAGAAACACTTGTTGTGACCCCCAACTTGACAATTAGATATATCGACGACGTATACGTATTGTCAATTAACAATGGTTATTTCAGCCATCATGTCGATACGATATATCCTGGTGAGCTTAAGATAAAAGATACCTAAGAGTCTGACACATTTGTTTCATAGTTAGATATTTTACTTGAAAAAGACGTTATTGGTGATATAACAACCAAGGTCTACGATAAACGCGATGACTTTTACTTTTTCAATCGTCAACCTCCCTTATATTTGCAGCAATATACTTTTATCAACTGCATAGGGAGTGTATATCTCTTAGTTGATTCCATACGCAAAAGCATGCTCTACGTATGAACAATTTCTAAAACGAGGTAAATTATTGACAAACAAGCTGATTGAACAATAATATCAGCAGTCTCGTTTAAAGTCATCATTTTGTAAGTTCTATGGTCGATACAGGATATGACCTTGTCAGCAAATCAGCAAAATTGTCATACAATTCATCACTGAGTCAAATGCTTCCGTTTTTTTGGCGATCAAGACAAGGAGCATACGGCGGGTGTAACCGGTCGGTAGGGTATCCTGACTACACTCACTCCTCCATGGCACCTGATCCCACCTCTGATGTTTTGGAGGTCCGCGTTTGCTCTGATCCTATTTTATATTGTTTTATGGACTTCTGAGCTTGAATACTGTTCTTTATATCTATATACTGTATGTCCTTGTTATTTTGAGATCCATGTCTTTTTCTTGGAAAATAAAGTTTAAAAAATATATTGCTACTGATACATGTATTAGGGTTGAATAATATTAAGATTTGGCTTATAACCTTTTAACCGCATCCAATATGACAAAAACCCCTTTTGTCTACTAGAATGTCCTCAATTTCTTTGTTAAATACTCCACAGAACTTCTATAAAAATCAGCTACATGTATAGTTGTCTTACAAATAATCTACGAAAGCTAACAACAAATTTGATGAAAAAAATGTTGTTTTACTGTTCAACTTTTTTGCTAATTTTTGTTGACAAACAACTAAACTGGTAATTAAATATCGAGTACAGTTTTTTTTATTTGAGAGAGAGACATAGAAAAGAGAACGAGGGAGGTGGGGAAAGAGAGATAACTCATTTTTACCAAATAACGGTTTACAAAAACATGTCTTGCCATGTCAATTACTTGTTATGCTTAAGGAATTATGTTTATACATGTTTTAACAGTATTTTGTTCAAAAAGTACACTCACAATCTTTACAATGATGTAAATTGAAGAAAAAGTTTTCACTTGGAATGAAATCTGAACGTTGATTGAGAGAGAGAAACAAAAATTCAAATAATTCAAGTAAAGGAGATGGGGGGATAAGGCGGGCAGAATGCTTATTTCATAGACAAATATTTTGAGTCTTTGTGAGATTTTTGTAAATTATAGAGATTTTACATTAAGTATACTTTGATATTAGGTGAAATATGAAATAAAATTTAAATATAATTGAGATTAAATTTTTCACTTCCTATCTGTCCCCCTATAGGCATTCTGCCCTTCTTATCCCCCATCTTCTTTCAATTTCTTTTGACAAAGTCTGCACTGCTCAATGCCAAAAGGTATGGTACAACTCCCATGAATTAACTTTACTTCTTCAAATCTATTATTTCTAGTCTAAAGAACATATTTCAGAGAAATAAATGCTAAATGGTGTTTTCAGCGCCAGATACTCATTCAAAAGCTGATTTATTGATCAGAATAAGTCATAATAAAACATATATTCCAAGGTAAAGCATAAATAGCTAAAAAAAAAAAACCTAGACACTGAGGTGGAAATCTTACACATGAAATTTTATCTCTGCAAGATTTGTGGTGTTATCAAAGGTCTGTATTCTTTGAATAATTTAATATTTTCAATTCCTCTCGTAAATTTTCAGAGCGGACAGAAAATTGTGATTTTACATATATGATATTTGGAATTTGATATACATGTACATGTATGACATTAATGATACGCGCTGCATTACTTACTGATAGATTTAAAGTTAAACAGCTGTCGTGGAGTATATTTTCAAGAATATACGCTAAATGGGGCAATCTGGCGACATTTTAATATAAAATATGTAGAAGGCTTAGATTTATTTTTACAAAACACAAGTCAATATCTGACCCAAAGATAGACTGTACTTACAAATAATGTCATTGTATCCACAATTTAATTTGTGAATTGCTGATTTAAAGGCAGAGATTTTTTACCGAGTGGTAAAATTCAGGTGAGGGAGGGACTTATTTTGTACAGATTTGAATGCCTTAGGGGCTAGCAGTCTACCTATGGTCATCTGTTTCCTAATCCCTATACACAGGAAGTGATTTAAATACCCCAGGTGTCAAACTTTACCTGTATTGGGGATTTTGAGACAATTTAAAATTAGAATTAAAAAGTTGGAAGTAAAGTCTAAATAATCTGAGAGTACGAGGGTTGTCCCAAAAAGTCAAAGACAATGTTTATAATTCTTTAATCATGCAATCAATACTAACCAAATTTTGCATAGACATAATATATTCAATGTTCTTTAAAATTATGAATTTTTAAATATATACCTTTCATATTAATAATATTAGGACGATTTATATGAAGACCGATAAGGCCTGTCGGCGCACGATAATTTACGCATATAACTGTTACATTTGCTTTTATTTCTGTAGTACTATGTAATACATTCAACTCAAATTTAAAACACTGAAACCAGAATCAAAATCTTAATAATATGTCAAAATTTCATAGAAATAGCATTAGAAACAGACGATTGGTGTCATGATTTTCATAGTATCGTTTGAATTGAGGTTGATGAAAATGACGTCGTCAAACGCGTAAGCAGCGCACGGAGATGTAATAAATTGTGTTGGATATGCTTTATATACATCAGAGAGGGAAAAAAGAATAAAGAAATGACATTACACACCAGGTTTCAATAAAGAAGTTATTTTTAAATGGCACGATATTCAATGAGAGTTTTTTTCTCTATACCGACAATAGTTACGGCATGTAAGAAGTATATGTAGAGTACTGCTGAACACAGACAATTGGGGTCAATCTGGACCGCAAACGACGTCAAACAATGTGTTTTCTCTGCTGCCTACAATGTAAATAGATCTTTCGACTAAATTTTGACTGAAATTTGAATCTGCTTTAAAAAAAACAAACAAACGGACAGTAGTGAATTCAAATAAGTCAGTTGGTCAAGAGTGGTCTATTACTTTTTAAAAATATCGAATAGTAATAGACACGAGTGAAGCAGACAAAGAGATCATGACGTTATAAGAGACGTAATTTACGCTTGCTTTCGTGCGCCGTACACTAACATGCTTTCTTTATTTCTTCATAATTTTCTTATTAAATGTGATATCATCATATAACTTGAAATACATGATCATAAAATGTTACTTTTTATTATGACATGAAAAGAATTTTAATTAACCAAAGAGAAACTTTACTGTTTTCCCTGTCTACGACTTTTTAGGACAACCCTCGTATATTTATTTATGTTTGAATATTGAAAACACCTCTACCAATTAAAAAAAATATTTTGATATCATAATATAAATTCAAATATTAAAACAAGGATTATTTTAGATGTTAGTGCATGTGTTAATTAAATTAACTCCAGTAACAACAATTAAGAATGTATTCATTCATCCAAATGGCAGGGTGCAATCTATTAAAAAAAGAAATATAAACTACATTTTATGAAAAAAATATCTAGATTTATCCATGATAATCGATATTAAAAGAATTTTGTTACCGCCAAACATGCAAAAAAAAAAAAAAAAGATTGCTTGTAAATTAAATTCTTAATAACAAAGAAAAATATAAACAGCCCATAATTAGAAACATTTATGAATATTTTTCAAAATTTAATAACTTCACACAGTGCTGCTCTAAACTTAATGAGTAACATATCCACTTTAGCTTTACCCGTTTAGCATATTAAAATTAAAACCAAAATTTCATTCAAAAAAAGTTTCAAAAATTTGAATTTTTTGAAAAATGTTGATTATAATCCTTGTAAATACTAAAGCTATGTTTAATTCATACATTATCAAGCTAAAAATTTTCATAGCGTTACAGTTTCTCAGTTACCATGTTCGGTAAACATCAAAGGATCAAAAGTTAATTTGAAGGTCCCCATGAGTGCCAAACAGAGTGTACAGGATATACACAGGGACCACTGAGTAAATGTCAATCAAGTTCCAGCATCCAATGATGGACCTGATGTGTAAATAATGAGCAATTAGTATGAAAAACGTCACCGTTTGACTAAATTATATATTGTATTTGCTGACAAGATCCATGTATCAACCATAGAACTTACGAAGTGATGACTTTAAACGAGACTTCTGATATAAAATTGTTTGTCAACAGCTTACATGTACCTCGTTTCAGAAATTTTACATACGTAGAGCATGCTCTTGCGTTTCGAATCAGCTAATAAAGATATAGACCCCGTATGCAGATTATACGGGTATATTGCTGCATAAGTAAGGGAAGTTGACGATTAAAAAATTAAAGTCATCACGTTTATCATAGAGCTTGGTTTTTAGATTACTATCAATGTCTTTTTCTAGTAAAAATATCCAAATATGAAACAAATGTGTCAGACTCTGTGGTTATCTTTTATCACAAGCTCACCGGTATATATGAATTTGTCATAAGAATAGAAATATAATCATTGTTAATTGACAATACGTCGTCGATATATCAAAATGTCGAGTTAAGAGCACACAGTGTTTTCTTCGTTCCATGTAAGAGATTATGAACAAATCATGCTCCGTATAAATATAAAAAAGGTCTGTTTATGGGAATTCCAATATATTGTTGGAAGACCTTGTCTCCAAATATCACATAGATATTGTCAATTAGAAACTCCAGCATCTTTTTAATATCGACTTCAGATTACTTTTGTGAACAATCAGATTTTTGTTACGAAGTAATTTTGCAAATGAACAATTATGACGAATCTCCAAAACATCAGAGGTGGGATCACATCCATCTGATACTTTTAATCTTTTTGGACAAAGTGCCAAGGTCTTCTTTTTTACATTTGTCCCATTGCATGACGTAATCTTCTACAGAATTCAAATATTAACGAAGGTATTTTGGTTCCCTAAATTTTGTACCATCTAAATTAAGTGATTAAAATTCCTCTTTATTAGTTATATTCACTTCACCAGTAAAAGCGTGTTCAGCAGGACTATACTTAGTGCTTAATTGGGGAAGAAGAAAATGAACAAGTCAGAGTATTGTGCTTTGGACGTCGATTTCTAGGCTCCTCTGATTTTTTTTGTAATTAAACGTTTGGAACTTAGAGTAAATTTAATGTATATTTGTAATCAGATGTTAACTTCACCTAGAAATATGATTGAATACAAGACTGGAAACTTTAGTGATTATTAAGACTATTGCTTATATTAAGAATCAACTCCTTTGTTCGCATATTGAAGTTTAGGGGCTTATGTCGCTATGTTCTAAATTTCAATTAAAAAAAAATCGTTAAAAAGTTAATATCTCTTTATGACTTTATGAAAATAATTTTTTTCTTTCTTATTAAAAAAAGGCCGATCCTGCTTTTGTTTTTGCTAACAGTAGGAAAAATGGTAGGAAGGGGGTGGGGATGGGGGTAAATTTAAATGATTTTGTTCCTTTTTTTCTTTTCCATTTTGGCTTCTAACTAATAATGACTATTTAATTACGGTATTTTTGAAAAATCATAAAACAGCGTAAACTGTTCCAACCCAGTTTATACCGTATAAAGGGGGTAGCTATTTATTTCATTGCTTATAACTTTATTTTCATTCATTTGATGTAAGAAAAAAAGGTGATTGTCCTAACAAAATGACTTCAATTTGTACAAAATTTGAATGTAACGTCAGGCGGATTGATACGTTTTTGACGGAAGTCATTGTGACGTAGGCAACCCATTTTATACGATATAAAGTAATTTTTTATCCAATCAAATACAGCGTTACAACCAGAATTAAATAACCTTGAATAATTACGTCTTTTACTTAGCTTTTAAGCCTTTTTAAATTTTTTCCCCTAGATTGGTCCTAAAAGGAAAGGTTTTTGAAGGTATACTAGTGAAGTTTATTAGTAAATTCTTTAAAACGTAGCTTTTGAATATTCAGTCTTTACAATGCATACTTAGTATTTTCTTTACCACACTTTTGCCTGAATGTCTGTTTTATGGAAGGTGATAACTCAATTACTGTCAACCAAATTAAATCAACACGAGCTCCCAGGAACCAGGGCCGCGTTTAGGAGCGATATGAATAGTTTATGTTTATGACAGTCCGTAAGTGTAAAAAAGGATGTTACAATACAAAGGTCGTTGAAGAGGGAAGAACAGTGAATTCTCCAAGGAAAGTGAGTTTATAGTGGGTTTCTCGAGTTATAAGTTCCCCTGAACTGCTAAATTATATTGTATTTAATAATTCAAACAGCAAATGATTCGGGAAATTCAGGGAGGTACTAAACCTCACATACAGGAGTAACGTCCCTTGGGGCAGTCATTCCGACCTCGCCGTGATGAATAAGTTATCACTGTGTGGAGAATGGTGTTTGATTTTTCAAAATAACTGAAGTGTCTAAATCAGATGTAAAAGATTTCATTCTCAGTTTTGTACTTTTTTTAAACAAAATGTGATAAGTAAATAAATCCAACCGTGATCGCTCTACCTGAATCAATGCAAGATGTTAGTCTGATCTTTGATCACACATAAATTATCTATAAAATTCTCTGTGATAACTCTTTGAAAGTTAGCGGAGTTGATTTCTTGATAATTCTACCGGAACGTAAATTAGGCAGGTCAATGAGTCAGGCGCTAAGGAGGCCTAATATTCATGCAAATCTCGTGCGCATGTGTCTCTGTGTCTGACGCTAAGGAGGCCAAATGTGCATGTAAATCTCGTGCAGTTGGACTATTGAAATTGGCATGGGAGTCCTCGTGTAATTAAAATATATGTCTACATTTTTAAAGTCTAAATCTATAATTTTATTTCAAAATGAAATGGAAATATAAGGAATCACTGTCTAGTTAGTATAGTATGTCAGAGACATCAAGGATAGTCGGAAACATGGGATAATTTATGCATAACGGACTTCGCCCGTTATGCAAATTATCCTATGTTTCTCACTATCGTTGATGCCCTGGCATACTATACTAACTAGACATTGATTCCTAAAAGAAATCTCTCACAAATTTCAATCATTTGTTTATTTCATAAATAACAAAAAATATAACAAAATTGCACCATATACACAGCTAAAATGAAATTAAAGTACATTACTAACAATAAATAACATAAACGATAATTTACTGTTCATTACGATTTGATGAATTCTATGCTACTGTAACAATGTAAAAAGATGGTGAACAAGAACATCATATATATACCAGGAAGAGTACCACTAAGAGTATGTGTGAACTTTTTATGAGTGAATTGTACATTAGGATGCTGCGCCAGCCGCTAGGCGTCGCTCGGTGAGGTTGAGGTGGTTGCCGATGGAGAAACCTCAGTCTCCATCAGAGGGAATCCCCGCTGTTCCGAGTGAATACGGCGGTGTGTGTTGAGGGTGCTGGCCAGGGTAAAGCCTTTTCCGCAGATGTCACAGCGATGGGGGCGCTCACCTGTAAAGTGACATTTATAATGAATTAAAATTAATCAAATTTTTTACTCATAACAAGTATATTTAATTCAACTGTGTCATTTCATTAATCATGTACATGAGACCTACCTACCGGTATGTGTATAGCAGTGAATTTTCATGTCAATCTTCTGGTGGAACCCCTTCCCACAGTACGGGCAGATGAAGGGCCGGTAGTTGGTGTGAGTGCGCATGTGCGTGTGTAAGTTGGAGGCCCGGTTGAAGGCTTTGTTACAGGTCGGGCAGACATAGGGCTTGACTGTGGTGTGAGTGAGCCGATGTCGTGTCAGATTGCCCGGCTGCCGGAAAGCTCGCCCGCAAATCTCACATTTAAAGGGTTTATCTCCAGTGTGGATACGCTATAAAAAAAATATCAAAATTGCATTATATTAAAAACCAATAATTTTTATAAATATACACATTTTCATTTTTGTATTATCAATGTCCTATTTAAAAAATGCACTTAATTACATTTGTAAGTTGTTCTTTTTAAGGATGAAAAACAAAAAAGGGGGAAAATATAGAAAACAAAATTAATCATTTTTTTTCCATTCCTAATATGGATAATCTGTGAAAGTATATTCATTTTCTGACAATAAGTTTAACATTTAAAAATTTAAACATTTAAGAATCATATATTTTTTTCTGCTTAATCAGACATTAGCCATTTTATATATAGTTGTTTGGATAAATTAAAATTACTTGTGCAATAACTTTTCCTAAAAGACAAACAAACAGATTCGTGACCGAATCACTATCGATATTATTGATAAAAGTGAGATAGTCGCGTGTTCTTCACGCCCGCAAACCATTGATCAAGTGATTGTTGATTTTTGGTAAAATCTATTTCCAAACACCGGGAAAGTGTTAATTGAATACTCCATTAATTTTCATATCAATCCTTTTCAATCTGAACTTTCAATTCTTACAAAGCAAATGCCAAATTTGTAGTACTCTCAGATAGTAAAATATCCCTAGGAAATTCCATTATTTTCTCATTATAATCAATGTTCTTGACAATTGCCGGAAATTGTCTAGTTGAACCGTTGTTTGTTTAGTATTTTGTAAACAAATGCGATGCGCGGGGATATTTTCTCTCTATTTGGCACATCAAAACATTTCGTTACCGAGTGGCTTTTGGCGTTATGTTCGTTTAAATGCCGAAAAGGATTATTTCAATCAATATTACATAGGCAGAATATTTTCCATCGTCCATATTTGAACAGATGTCTTCAAATTTAAACCGTTTTTTTAAAATTCCTCATTAGAAAATAGTGGGAGTAAAATATACACATTTCTTTATTTATTCTTTAAAAATATATCCCTCAGCGCTTATAGTTACTAATGGAATTCAATTCAATAAATATTTTTTAACAATTTCTAAAAAATATTTTTTTTGATTCGCCAGTGAGAGCTCTTGATTGCTATGTTTTGTACCTTGTGGGTGACCAGGGTGTTGCTCCTGGAGAACGCCTTGCCGCAAACGTCACATTTGTATTTCTTCACCGGCGGAGGTTTTTCCTGATTTAGTCGCTTCTGTCCCAGGGCTGTCATGTGAAGGAACGCTGGGTGAATCATGGCGGACTGACTGGACATCCCGCTCATGAACTGAATCATGGACGCCTGGGGTATGGAGCCGGAGAGATGAGGGAGGGCGTCCATTGTGGGAACTTTGGATGGGTAGGGATGCATCTGAGAAAGACACAACAGGGCTGGGTTAGCCATCATGGCAGAGAGGTTTCTGTACTCTCGGTCACGGAGCGGATGTGAGTTGTAATTTTCTGCTGGATTGGTGGGAGATTTCGGTGTCTCTCCGTCCTCTTCTCTGTTGGATTCCTCTTCGGAATCTGACTCCGGTTCTTCTTTGGTTACAGTCTCATAGTTTTCATATTCTTTTGTGCTGCTATTAGAACTTTTTTCTTCTTTTTTCAGAAGCTTTGTTAGGTTCATAAAGTAATTGGTGAAGGGAACTCGGGGGTCCACGCGGTAGAATACATCATCTGACGGGGTCTCGCGCGGAATGACTTCCGCTCGAGAAGTTGACGTAGGAACTGCTGGAAATCCTTTTGATAAGGCGTCGGCTGGAAACCACGGTGACACGGGGAAAGAAGGGAAGTAGCCTAGTCCTGGAGTGGGATACATCATAGGGACCGCTGCAGATGGAAAGGGGTATCGAGGGTCCAAATTTGCCGAGGGTTTCCGAATTTTGCTGAAGGCTGATGATTCCGATTGAGATAGAGATCCTGTCGTACTGGACTGGTCGGCATCGGACTTATAATCCGGTGAGCTACATGACGGACTGATAGACGGATCTTCCACTCCGGAATCTAAGACAAAAAAGTATAACCATAATTATCAGTAATATTTTATTGATATATGTATACCCATTATAATCTTTACTGACAAATAGCTCATATAATTTTTTTCAAATCATTATATCACGTTAAAGTAAAATCCATATAAAGTGAGGTTACAATTTCACCTACCAAATGAATTTAACTTATTGTACTTTTTAATATAAAACATACATACAGGTACATTGAATTGATTTTTATACTTAGATTTACTACAAATACTTTACACAGAATTATTTATGTACTTGAAAAGTTTTGTTTTGTTGTAATAATATATTTTATGAACATATGATACACACGAACTTTTATTAAAATCTTGAAAATTAAAACACAAGTCATCTGTATATAAGCAAAAAAAAAAAAAAAAAAGTTTTACCGCATTGATTTCAATTTCTTTTCATTTGAAGTTTCACAATAATGACAAAATTTATGTGATTATCATTCAAATTTTTGGATTAGGTGAAGTAGGTTCTGAATATTAATATTTTAAATTTTTTTTTAAGTAGAAGGTTTTGTCAAAAATAATAAATAATAATTGATACCATCCTATAGGTTCACTGCTCAATTTACAAACAGAAATCTTCTTTAAATAACTATTTGCATTATTCTAAATTAATTCGACAGTGTAATATATCGAATTTTTTCTCAAGTCTCTGTTTCAATTTTCTACATGAATAATATTGTCGTTTTGTTTCCCCCTTTTTAAAATATGAAAAATAGATATGTTTCTGTTTTATGCTCCCCCTTTTTTTAAATAATAAATTGAATAAAACTTTTGAGATATGTAAATTCTTTTCTTTTTTTAACGCTTAAATTAATTTTATAAACTTTTTCACTTTTCAAATAACATTACATTTAAAAATTAAGACAAAATAAAAACAAAACAAATATAAATAAAAAAGGGGGAAAAAAAAGAAGAAAAAAAAAAAAGAAACGCAGAACTACACTCACCAGAGTTTGTCGTGGGGGAGGTGATGGGTTCTACTTTCCCCTCCGTCAAATACGGCCTGTACATGTCTTTTTCTTCTCTCAGAATCTTAAAAAAGTCAAACTTGTTTTGTAAATCTTTCCGTAACAACCTAGGAACAGTACTTGATTATCAAAACTCCACAAAAACTAATCCCGATTCTTATATAATTCAGAAAAATTCTATGTTCTGCGATTTATGACATGTATCCTGGTCTTTTATTCCATTTCATCGGTTTCACATATTTTATTACAACATTTCTGTAATCACATTATGTTCTTTTTTTAGAAAAAATGTCAATCGAGCAATTTGATTGGTCGAAACTCGAGAGTTGTAACACCCCCTAATAAATATCAATGCGCGATCCATAGGTTTGTAAAAGCTTAGGTAGGATTATTGTCGTGTAGCTTAATAAATTAATCCTATCCACCTGACAATCGAAATTTGATTAATCTCGTTATTGAAGTCACAGATTTTGGAGTTTTCCAGTCATTATATATTAATAAGTTTGATCATGTTCCCGGCGCTAATTCTATTGTTTAATTAATAGAAAATAACGTCTTTGTCACTTTTTCATTTATTTATCATCTTCTGTCCTTATGTTTCCACACTAACGCTATGTTTCGTATATGACACCCGTTGACAAATAATGTAATTACAGAACAAGGGAAAATGAATCCAATACAGTTGTAAGCATTTCTTACCGTGGACCAAGGCTTATTTAATAATTATACAGAATAATTAACCCAAAAACCGTAGATAATGAAGTGAACATATATAGATAAAAAAGTATGTCATTTCTTGCATTTTTTAGTTTTAATGGAAGTTTTATAGAACTTACTTTATTTTATTTTTGTTTACTAATCAACATGTATCAATTTCATAATCATAAATAAATATGTCATTTCTTGTTTTTTTTTTCAATTGTAAATTAATTTTTATGTAGTACCTACTTACTTTTAAACATTTTCATAGGATATGAAGCGATTTATCCAAATAAATAAATAAATAAATAAATAAATAAATATTTTTCCGTATTAGAAGTAAACAAGATATGGACAGTTTTTAAAGGAGAAATTTCTTCCCATTAATTTTTACACAAATATAACTCTTTTGAAAGCTCAGAGTTTGAGTATTTTAAAAAATCTTATCTTTTTTGTCAATTCCTTAATAATTATTTAGATGTTCAATAAAAACCGCATATTTCAAGAGTAACTTTTAATTTGATTATAATACTTAATTTTTTCGATGTTTCTAAAGATTAATTTTTTTTTGATAGAACATATAATATTTGTAAATTGTTTATTTTAGATGTTGAAAACAAATTTAAACCAGGGATAATTTCTAAAGAAATCTTGAATGGTGACAGGGGGGTGCTCCTAATCTGTCCAATGTAGGCAGATGACCGAGGCGCGGATCACCTGCCGTCCACCACAACAAATCAATTTGTCCTGATTGAATCGCGATCGATCCCTCGCCTCGCCTGCCGGAGATCGAAGGAGAACCTGCGGGTTTTATCACCTAGACGAGAACAGACTGTCGGTTTGTAAAATGCATTAGTGTCCGTATGGACAGAGCACAATGCGTGGTCATTTACGCTAAATAAAGCATAATCAAGGACAGAGGTGTCACGCCGGAGCAGGTAAACAATCAAAAACAGCGATCCCTGGGTACCACCATCTTCTAAAGAGATAAATAATTACCGTTTGTTGTGAAAACGGGGTATCTTGATAATCCATTGTTGCCGATTGTTAGGGATTTGCTAATTTGCGATTTTGACAAACCCGTGTTTTGCCTTATGAAGACTAACAATTCCCGTCGGGCTCCTAACGAAGGTTTGAGATGATAGCTTTGGCTTTGGGAGATCATATATGACTGATGCCGGGTTTTAGTACCATTTAACACCACAGCAATTACAGGCGCATCTAGAAAGCACGGACAGACCGCTCAATATTTCCACAGGAAAAATCTGCCGCTTTAAATGGTTTATTGCTTGCAGTGGAGGAACACGAAAATATCGTTATAAATTATCTAAAATTTTCAAAATTTTCTCTTGCAATTTCTTTGTATATTAGCTTGAAATAAATAGTAAGTTAAATTAAAGATAAGAATAAAATTAAAAAAAAAAGACTGCATGCTGAAGCAATGTTAAAATGAGAGATTTGGAAGGTTGCGATGTCTTGATCTTCCCTTCACACAAGTGTTTTGTGATTACAATAAAGAAAACTTCATCATATATTTTTTTTCTTACCTCCAGTGCTAAACTTCTGTAGAGTTCCATGTTTTCCTTTCTCAAACTGTCCCGTCAAACCTTTCAACAAAGAGTGTGGATACCATATCTCAATTCCGTTATTTAATATCTCTCTATTTAATCGTTTTAAGTGATTTGATGACTTAAAGTCATTTTCCTCTCCCGCAGGAAAAAAACAAAAACAAAAGATTTAAAAGTAAATGAGTGTGAAGATTAAGAGTTAAAAGTCAGCCGCTATTTGTAACCCCTGCAATGGACAATGGGGATTCATGATTGTAGTAAACTTACAAAGGAGCCGCAGAGGAGTTAATTCGGACAATGAATCACCAAAATCCGCGTGTAGATTTCTGTCCGATTTGGTTCCGCAAACTTTGGGTAAATGGGAACTTGAACATTCTCACCATCGATATTTAATTTTTCCTAAGTCGGTAAGACGGCCATTTGACACTGTTAAATGCAGAATTAAAATTGGTATAAAACAAAAATATATTGCATTATTTTTCATTTGTCATTAAAAATCTTTGTTATGAAAATTAAGGAAAATTTCTCCTAATATTTTTGTATTGTTTTATTTAATTTTTCCTGTTGTTTGTTTTCTTTTCAACAGACTGCTTAAATAACATTTAATATATGAACACTTTCAGAAAATTATTTTGTGCAATTTGAAATTGCATTTATTGTAATTTACTGAACAAAATAATTTTCAAAAAGGACATTTTAAGTTTGTGCCAGATCCTTTTGTTGAAACTTGAGAATAATAGAATAAGTTAAAGCCCTAGAACTGACTAAAAAAGAATTCTGCAAAACATATCTTTTTAAAAATTAAATGACAAAATTGGTAAGTAACAGAGAGGAAAAATAACAATTATTTAAAAACACTTTAATAATAATAATTATATGAGGGCTGTTCAATAAATTATGTCTCTGTGACCTACAACATAGAAATCATATGACATTAAGCTTGACTTATGATTGAATCTTTAATGAATTGATTACAGTTTATGTGACCACTTTTCATTACATAGTTTCATTGTGAGAAGCTGGAAAATAAGGGCTATTCGAGACACTGCATTGAATTAAATGTGAAAGAATCAGTAAACTAGAGTGAAATTAAACGCTTCATTAAAGCTGCTGTAAAACTTTTTAAAATACCAAAGAAATATTCACTGAAATATGTGAAATTTACAACAACTCATGTCTGTTATTATAGACACATGAGCAGGTGGATTTCAATGAACAAAAATGATATAATAGGCATCAAAAATGGATACTGTCGTTGGCGACAAGGACTTACAACATCCAATGTACTGTTTGCCAAAATTCAACGAATTATCACTGAAAATGTTTGATTGACTTTAAATCACATAGCAAATTTTAAAGGCATTTTAGGGGTAGTTCACACTGTTTTAAAGAAACATTTGACAGAAAAAAAACTTAGTACTCAATGGTCACCCTATGTTTTGAAAAAATGAGTGAAAACGACCGCGTGTAATAATATCTAAAAAATTATTATTTTTTTTAAAATCAGAAATTGTAGTTAACAACGTTTGGCTGAAATTCAAACAGATAATGGAACTTGAATTTATTGCTTTAAACCCTAAAAAAAAAAAATTAACAATAAGATGCACTTGACAAAAACAACAAAGGTCTTAGAAGGACAAAGAATTGCAAGAGCACAAATACAGTTTTATATCGAATTTTCTTAAATATTGGTGATCTTGTTGTTCAAATTCTTATTCAGGGAGGCAGTTCAATTTCTGGAGGAGTCTAGAAAGCAAAATTTTTGCAAAAATGCGAAATGTTTATGAGAGGGAAGAACCAGAATCGAAATCCACTACATTAAATATCCTCATGACAGCGTCCAAATCCACACGCCATGAAGAGTAAAGGAGTTTTGGGGATAAAGAAAAAGTTAATGTTTTTTCACACCACAATATGCGCCAGATCTTTCACACTTTGACTTGTTTCATTTTCCAACTTGGAAAGCACCTTTTAGAGAGGAGAGAAGAAACAAGTCCAGGAAATCATAAGATTTATTTCAGTTTAAAAGTCACTATATATTGGATAAAAATGTTACGAACATGTGTTTGAATTAAAAGAGAACATTTGAGTGAAATCATTAAGACTAAATCCTTGTAAAGCAAAGTTTCTTATCGAGCACCGAGGACATTATTTATTGTACAGTCCTCGTATAAAACTAATTTGTGTTGACTCGCTAGGGAAGGTAATACGTATTTATATGATAAAGTAACTTTTTTTCGCAAGAGCTAGAGAATGGGTAATGTTGATCAGTGACTTTAGAAAGTTTGTCATGTAAATACTCAACTGGTTCAGTAAAAAAGAATGATTTGAATATGTTTTTTCCATGGTTGTTTCAAAAAAGGTGGGAAATGTTAAGTTGTACCCCCCCCCCAACGCACAGAAACACACAGTAACAATGTTCCACGGGCCTTAATATCACAGTCTGCATTCATGGTAGCTTCTCTTCACTATATATGTTGCTTTGAGCTACCAGCAAATAATTTTTATCTTTTTTCTCAATTCTCTTAAACATTTTTTAAAATGCATATTATACAAATTTACCACGGAACTGTATATGCTGTACAGCACAACTCAATGCTAAAAATCATAAAGTAGCATTAGGATATATATTTAGAAATGTGCGTTATTTTAATTATTTGAAGCTTCGAATACTTCATATGCATTAACCGAATTTGAATTTTAAAAGGGGCTTTGTTTACTTAGTATATATAGTAAAACCATTTTCGTTTTGAATAAACTAGAACTGACCTTTCTCATCAAATACATATCACGAACATACAGCCAACTATAGACTTGTTTACTCATATAAATTTTATTTCTAAATCTTAACCACATCTCTCTGATCTCTGTGATACACCGCATTAACGATTGATCATGTTTGCTTAAACAGTCTATGTCACATAGCTAATTTAAGCTACTCAATATATATACTCCATAAGCTATATCAAAGTTCCGTTGAATGCATGTTTCTATTAACATGTAATATTGAATGTGTGCTTTTTTGATAATGAATGTTTCCTTTTTCTCAAACATATGCGTCTCTGGGAGCATATCTACTACTTGGCAATTAATGACCCTTTTCTATCCTACTAGATGTAAAGTTCCTCATCTGCTCTTTTAAATATTTCCCTTTTCTTACTTTGAAATTGGAAATACAAGGTTTTAAATATCTCAGGAAATATCAGTCCTCTATCTGTTGTCAGCACAGTGTACTCCCTGTCCTGTATTGAAGATATTTTTGTTCTTTCCATTTATGCCCGGAGGGGGGGGGGCTAACGCCTTACCAATGTCCAGAAGTAAACATTTCTTCAGTTTAGATAGAAATTTTGAATAGGAAATATTAAGGTACAAGTAGGGATAAAGAATTGATATCCCAAAAATTATAATTGATGCAACAGTGATCTCTTTCTTTATTCCTTTAATAAATATTAAAACCATTTTCAATTAAAAGTTAATTAGAAAGTAATAAGCAGAAGTATATTTAGATCTTAGTTGTTATTTATATTTTAAAGCGGACCCCAGTTCCTATCTTGTGATTGGTCATCAACAAAATCACTCTGATTCCACACAATAATTCTTTGAAGTTGATAATAAAGGATCATAGGGCTCATTGACAACATTTTTTTTATGTAGTCTTTCGAGACAAGGTCTTCCAAGAAACTGTCGGAATCCCGATGGGCACTGATTATTCTACGAGGGCTGTTCAATAAATAATGTCCTCGGTGCCACACACACACACAGAAAAAAAAAAAAAAAAAAAAAAAAAAAAACAAAACCAAAAAAAAAAAAAAACGCTTTTCAATGATTTAGTCTGATTACTTTAACTTGAATATTCCCCTTTAATTAAAATACATGTCCATAACATTTTTATCCAATTTCTGATTGTTTTTAGAACTTATTTTTGAGTATGGCCCTTCATATACTGGCATATGACAGACCCTATAAGATATCATGGACTTGCTTCGTCTTTCTTCAAACCTAAGGTGCTTTGTCAAGGTTGGAAAATGAACCAAGTCAAAGGGTGACAGATCTGGCGAATATTGTCGTTAGGACAAAACATTAACTTTCTGTTTGTCCCCAAAGCACCTTCATACTTCAGAGAGTGTGGGTTTGGACGCTATCGTGAAGAAATTTAATGTAGTGGATTCCTGATTCGGATTCCTTCCTTTCATAAACTTTCGACTTTTTTGCAAAATTTTTGCTTTCTAGATTCCTTCAGAAATTGAACTGCCTCTCCGAATAAGAATTTGAACAAAAGACCACTAATATTTAAGAAAATGGCATACAAATAAAATGTTTTGTCCTCTTGCAATTCTTTGCTCTTTTCAGAACTTTGCTGTTTTTGTCAAGTGCATCTTATTGTAAATTTTGTTTTGAGGGTAAAAAGCAATGGATTTTCATTAGAATTTCATTATCTTTAAAAAAAATAACTGTTTAGATTGAATTTCACTTATTTTTTTTCAAAACATAGGGTGACCATAGAGTATTTAGCTTTCTACTGTTACATTTTTTGTAAATGTTTCTTTAAAATAGTGTGAACTTTCCCCAAGATACAATTTCTGATTTTAAAAAAAATTGTTAATAAGAATTTCTTCTATTTTTCCTTAAAATTTTAGGAAATATAAAGCTTTTTAATACGTGTTCAATTTTTTTTTTATTTTTTTTAAAAACATGGGCCTTATAGGTCACCTGAGTTATGCAACAACTTTCCAGTGATTGAATTTGATCCATGTTTTAAGTCAGATGCTATGGCATTCACAATTTTGAAAGAGGCACTTTTCATAACAATACACTTAGCAGTTGCTTAGTTTGTTTACTTAATACCCATATGCAGGGTAAGTGTACAAAAAATGCATTTCAACTAATCAGTAATATTCAGCAATAATCAGCAGTGCCCCTACCACACATGAACCCCTCCCCTTAGGCCTTGATATTGATGACAGATTTTTCCAGTATATAAGTACAGCCCCCCCTTCTATCCCGGTTGAAATTCACAATTCTGG